TGATAGTATATAGGTAGATAAAGAAGGGGTGACAATGAAGGAGTGTGCGATAAGGGATTACTCTGCAGAATTCTGGATAAAGAAGAAAAAAAGGGGGAAACAACCTGATTTATTAATGATGCGTCGCCTCTTCCTTGTGTCTCACAGTCCCTTCTCCATCTGGTATTTCGCCCTGAGGTGGTGGGCACACAGTTGCACCACATCACTGCCTTTTAAAGCCCCACCTTTTGGCTCTAACTTTCTCCCGTCTACCCCTTGTCTTTTATCCCTTACTTCATCTCCCTTGCCTTTTAATATTTCTCCTGCAGGATCAGAGGCTTGCTATTTTTCTCTCTGTCTCCTATCAGAGGCACAAACTTGCAGAAGCAGCACTCTTCTTTTGAATTGGAAATTATCTCTTTTTTCGTGCCATCATTAGACTCACAGTATGAACTGAACATCTATTTTCGATTTTCATTACATGGCACTCTCATGTTCTTTTCCCTTGTAAGGCTGGATGTTTTTTTGTTTATCAATTTTTATTCATCGTCTCATTTCTGTGCTCTTTGTTCGGCTCTTGAGGTGATAAGAGGTAATGTTTAACAAGGGACTGGTGAGTTCTTAATCGCAAGTGCACGTTTAAGTGCAGGCATCTGTTTAGGCACAAATAAACCTAAAGTCTGAAGAGATTGAATGAGAAAGGAGAGGAGAGTGTTGAAGAAAAAGGACGAGGGGAGAGAGAAAAGCAGGGTGAGGAAAGAGAATGTCAAAACCTGTGACATTTGGGATTCCATACAAGGATGACTGACACCAACTTTTACCTGTATGTGTACGGGAGACTGGGCTGTGCACTCCGGCTGTGTGTGTATGCGTGTGGGCATGATTGACATGGTAAATTGGAAAGGTCAACTGTTGCTAGTGTGTTGCAGACAGGCAGACAGCAGGAAGATGTAACCTTCCCACAGTCCATATTTATAGACTGAAGGAGAATCTCAGCAAAAGACAGGATTTGGCTCCAATATAGGGAAGGAGAGTGAAGGGTTGTGTGAAAACTAAGATTTAATATGTAAACATGCTCAGTGCTGTTTATATGCTATGTATAAATGATAACTCGCCTCAGTAGACAGACTCATGGGTATAAGGAGAGGAAGCTTACAGACTACGAATTTTTACCAATGGGGTCCGTCAGGAATTGCTCTGAGGTCTGAGGTCAACACTCCAGCCAGCTTATTATTTTACCGCACACAAGTGTGTGTGTGTGTGTGTGTGTGTGTGTGTGTGCGTGCGTAGATGGCTCCATGAGTCCTTGTGTTTCTCTCTGTGAATGTGTCAGGATTGGAAATTGGAGTGTTACATCTGTATAGCCATTGATGTGAATTTCAAATAGGTGTGTGTTCATGTGTGTGTGTTTTAGAGTGAGAAACAGGAACAGAGGGAAGGGAGAGTGAGATTGACAGGGTAAATTGGAATGGTAAGGGGTTTTGAGGTTGAATTCTGGGTTTAAAACAGCCGAGAGAAAGAAAGAAAAGACCCAAATGTGTTGCTAAAAAAGTATTCTTTAGCTTGGGGTGATGTGACAGTGGATGCAGATGTGGGTGGATGGGGAGAACGAAGCGAGGCTGAACAGGAGAATAGATTGTCACCGAGGGCGAGGGGTGTCTGGTTGTATGTAGATTGAAAGAAGGAAGGAAGGCCCAGGGGGGCTGTTTGTGTGTCGAGAGCAGAGGGGGGGTGAGTCATGGAGGGTTTGGAGGTGCTGCGGCAAATAGGTGACCCACAGCTGGGGACTGAAGGGTCAGCACCTGCACAGGTCAGCACAGTGAGGCATGACACACAAAGCAACAACAGCCTTTACACACAATAGGACAGATACAGCACACAGGGTTGTTGTATTGAATAGCAGACACAACACACAAGTACTGTACTTAATCCTTGTTGCATTCACACAAACACATAGATACCCAGTAGAACAAAAACACACACTGTGGCATGCACACACAGAGGACATGGCGACCTGCTTGTTTGTAGGTCCTTCAGGCAGCTGAATACACAATAGTGAATTCATGAATACAAATCATACTCAAGGCTGAGACACACTTAGGCACACGCTAATATTTTCACATCACCTCAAACTGTATTTTAAACACATCACATTAATATCAACCATGATACTGAGTGGTGGCCTGTTTTGTATAAATACAGGGCTAAGAGTTAAATCAGGAAAGCATTGTTTACCTCCACTACTGTAGTCATCCCTGCTGTGAAATGCACATCAATAAACACATTGATTAAGACAACAAATGATCCAAGGTATTTTAAAGGGTTCGGAAAACAATGAGGGAAGTGAAAGTTAGTGGAAAATGTGTTTAGTGGATTCAGCTCTATGAACGTCAGATGCTTTGTTGTGTTGTGAACACACACACACTCGAGCTCGTGCTCTCTCTGTTGTCCCCTGATGTCCCCATTGTTTCTCTGTTCCCGTTTGAAACTGAAGATGACTCAGTATGACACATCATTTGAATACACACGCAGAGTTGTATGCCCCCCAGACTAAAGCCTGCGTGTTTCTGCTTGTGTGTCTGTGGGCATTTGTGTGTGTGCTGACCCCCTTTTAGACTCTCCACAATAATAGACTTGCCAATACTGCAATGGCATAAACTGTGCTCCGGTTAAACGACTGTGTTTAGGTGTGTTTTCAATAGGTCTGGGCATTGTTTTTTAATACTATGGCCAGTATTAAAATGATCCGTGTTTTTAGATACCTTAAGAAATATGCATTACATGTGTTAGTCTGAGGAAGTTCGATGTCTGGTTGGTATGTTGTTGTAGTTTTTTATCATAAAACTAGGATAACAATGTTTTTCTCAGTTTTGTACCTAAATGAAGCAGCGTGCCTTGAGTTTTAGAGAACAATATGTCTACCTGTGCGTCAGGTGTTACTTTCTCCCATGTTTTGTTTTTATTCAATTTAAACTATGCATATGTTAGAAATGTCTAGATCAAGTTTTTTTGGCCCCAATCCTGATCTATCTATCTCCCGATACCAAATCCTTAACATAACAGTTATATCCTGCCTAACTTGGCACACCTCATTTTTCATGAACTTCTCAAGCCGAATACTGAGGGTCCTGGTTTAAAACTATAAAGTTTATAATCGTAAATTATTGATATGATATGAATGAAAGTTTAACTGGGAGAATGCGACTCTTGAAGTTGATGTGAAGTGATCCACTAGAAAGAAGGCGTACCGCCCTGTTGTTGTTGTTGTTGTGGGAACTACAGAAACACTTCCCATACAAATGATCTGAAGCAGAGTACAGACGCCTGCTTGCACAAAGCACACAAACCAGACAGGAGAAAAGTTTTGTGTTTGTCCTTTAATCAAGTTACTCACAGAATTAATGTTAATTGGCGACAGCTGGAATGACTTGCTGCTGTTTTAACCAGCCTGTGCCGGCAAGTGTTCCCCTTACCTAAATCTGAACTAAACCTTATCCCGACCCCAACCGCTCATCTTCTGATGATGCCTAACTTGACCCCAACCTTTCCCTAACCCCAACCAGTTATTTCTTCTACGCCTAACCATAACCTGCCCTAACCCAAGCCACGGAAGAGGGCACTACAGGAAACATCATTTAACGGGTAGAAACACTATTTGAAGGGTAAACAGACTTCGACACAAGGCCGGCTAAAAATGAGTTGCTTCTACCTTTTGTAAGCTGCTCTTTGCTAATAAGAAAGAGAGAGGAGAGAGATTGGGTAGCATTGAAATTCAGCCAATCTATGCATTTTGCCAACCTCAAAATAAAAATTCATTTGCATTGAAATGCATGCACTTGGGAGCCCAGCAGTCATAAAGGAGCTTTTTAACAACAGCAGTTTGAGCTGAACAAGTACAGGATCTGATTTTGATATATCATTTGATATATTTTTGCTGCTTAAGACAGGTGGTCAACAATTATTTTGGATGCTGTAGTTTGTGGTGCTGTTGAATTGTAGTGTGTATGTTATACTTTGAGATGTTACTAATATTACTAGGGATTTTGTCCGCCCTATTTTTATCATTATCAGTATCAGAATAACATTGTCCATAGAAGAACTTCCGAACTGTCTAAATAAAAATAACTCTATGGGCACATTTTTGGTCTAAACCAAGTTTTCATTATAAACCCTAGTTTACAACAGAGTAATATTAACAGACTCGTTATTTTCAGCCGAAGTCATGAAAACATCTGAACTCTGAATCTGTCAGTATGTTTTTTGCTGCTTTTGTTGTACATCCTCATCAGCTAGCTCACTCTGTCACATAGGCTGAACGAACTTTGTGCTGATGCTGATGTGATACGTCAGAATCTAAATTCAGTCAGTGACGCACATTTTTCACTGCACACACACAGACAGATCAAAACACATATACACACAAACACACACCAAGTATTCAAGTGTTCAGTGAGTGGCTGAGTAGCTGAATAGGAGCGTGAAGGGGTATTGTATTGATAGATGAATGGTGAATGTAGATTTTCTGCCAGTAGAATGTCAATGCCATCATTTTCTCGCAGTGTACAGTCTTGCTACCTCCAGACCTGTGACAAATACAGGGAGAAAGGCAGAAGGAGGCGAGAAAGGGTGTGAATGAGAGAGACGAAATTTGGTCGCTGGCAGTTGATGGATGGGCTGCAAACAGCTCGTCTTACTTTGGACTCAATGATAACATGCCGTTCTCTCTTCTTCTCTGCGTCTTCTGTCTGTATTTGTTTTTTTCTTCCTTCTCATGGAAGGAGTCTCCCTTTCCTGTGTGCCTCTAAACTCTAAAACACATTGGAGCTGCTGATTTGTGAAAGCCTGTATTTTCTTTTGCTTTTGTGTATTTTCTGTGTATTTGCTAAATGTGTCTTTTTGCTTGTTGCCCTGAGGGAACTTGAAATCTGAATTATATCTCCTATGTTTTCCCCTTTATCCTACTCTTTACCTCCCCTTTTGTCCCACTTCTTTTCATTTCATTCGCTCTGGCTGACGGACAGTTGGCAAGAAGAACCGTGGGTCACCAGGTAAAGAACCCATTTGCATTTACATTATCTACCCTGCTCTTTCTCACTGGCTCCTTCCTTCTCTCTCTCTCTCTTGCTCTCTCTTTCTCTCTCTCTCTCTCTCTCTCTCTTGCTTTCTCTCTTGCTCTCTCTCTTTCTCTCTCTCTCTCTCTCTCTCTCTCTCTCTCTCATTCTCTTTCTCTTTCTCTCTCTATCTAAACAGAGACAAATATTACTGTGACCCTTTGCTCCAACCATAAAGTCAGAGCTAAGGGCTGCTCAAAGCTAAATGCTTTGCTGAAGGTCACATATGCACCAGTGGTTGATACATGCTGTAAAAGATGTTCCACCAGTACAGTTTGGCTGTTTCTACCTAGTGGCTAGTAAGAAAAACCTACAACTGGATACCTGTAACCTCAAGGTCAACCCGCTGTAGGCCTGTAATTTCATCATTTTAGGGGCAAGGCCTGGGGGCACAAAGGCCAAATACCAAGGCAGCAAGGCCATCATGTCCACGGAAATTATGGATTTATTTTAAGGGTTAAAAATGATTTTATTGAAATGTTTTTTTATTTGTTATGCTAAGTTCTAAATTGTCAATAATCATAACCATTCATGCATAACAATGAGTTTCGAAAGTTACCTGTAGCACTGCAACAATGTCCCGCCCCATCCAGGCTGTGATTGGTCAGTTCACGCATAGTGGACATTGACGAGCGTATTGACTTTAAGAAAAGTTGAACAAAAGGCAGCTGATAAAGCCAGCCAAACCTTGCTTATCTTATTCCTATTGTCTTCTGCGTTACTGCTTCAGCTGCAGAACATTGACTAATGGTTGAACCGTTTCTTATTTCAGCTCCGTCCACCTTCTCTTTTCAGAAGTTCACTCAATCACATCTTTGCAGCATTGACACATCAGGATTAAATTGATTAAGTCTCCTGGTTGGCGAGTGCTAGATTTGTGTCAAACTATCGTCATAAATCATCTACCTTGGACCTTGAACCTTAAATAGTTTTCTAGTAGTTCGTTCCAGGCTCTAAATAGAATTTAATTTGTGCTCAGCCATTTCACCTGATGTTGCCCAAACTGAGGAGGGCCGTGGCCGTCATGGTCACCGTGAAGTTCCTGCGCTTCCTCCATCTATTGGGCAATATGATAAAATGCTCTCATGTTTTACAGTATGGGTACAATGGTACTCTTTTCAGATGATCTATTCAGCACACAATATCTGGTTCAGTCTAAAATGTGTCTAAAATACTCTATTTACTATCTTGACACACGAAGAAGTGCAAGTTGTAAGAGGAAAGCTTCGGTTGTGCTTCAGTTGTCTGTAGCTAGTTGGCATCATCAGTGTGGCATCTGGGGAGCTAGAGCTGGAAGAGCCTCTGACGTCATTTTAGATCCCAGGTTGAAGGTATTTTGTTTTCCCTGTAAAATATAGCAATGCTGGACAAGACTACATCAGACAAAACCTGACACTTGACCTTGTATAGTCCCCACGAGGAAACACTAAGCTCAACAAAACACTAAGTGGGGAGTGACAGTAATAACTTCCTACCTGTGGGAACGTTAAGTCAGAGCCTATAGGTTGATGCAGGAGTGTGTGTGTGTGTGTGTGTGTGTGGGGGGGGGCCTTTTGAGATGCTGTAACAGCAGCAGTAACTGGTGTCAGCATAGCTTTAAGATGAAGTGCACTGCAATAAAGGCAGGATATTGCAGTGAGAAGAGTATGCCATGTCAGTGCTGTGGCAGACTCAAGTTGACTGCCTGAGCTAACCCGCAGGCTTTGCTTCATTTGGGCAACATTTTGTCTGCTACATCAGACATGCTAGCTCATTTTCCTACTGAGTGTCTATTACCTGAGCTTTGGCAAAAACACACTGAGGTGCCAGTCTTTCTCCCACACTGCATTCAAGCAGCCTCTCGCTGCAGATTCACACTGGGCCAAAGCAATTACAAATGCCACAAGAGTGTTTATCTCTGCTGATATGCAACCACAGAGTCACAGAGAACACTGAGTGCTTGAGCTCTGCTATAAAGTTTCTTCACGGCCACATACTGTTATAATTACATTTGTGCAATACTGACATTTTCTCCTAACTGCGTGTAAATGTCACGTGTCACTGTCATGTGTTGACGATTTTCAGAATTAATAGGAGAAAGAGATATTTTATCCCAGTTTTCCCCACTGTACTAAAAGAAAGTTTGCAGGCATGAAGCAACTGCACACGCCCTTATTCCAGTATAGTGATGATGAAATGTTACCTCATTATGTCATTGTGAGTTTTGTCAAGCAGCAAAAAACCCCCGCTGCAACTAATATAATACTCAAAATTAATCAAATAATCATTGAGCACTCCCGAACTTAGCTTAACTCTTGCCCTGCGTCTCCATTACTGCTACATGTTTCCTGTTTCTTCTTCTTCCCCTCTTTCTTGCCCATCTTACCATCTCCTCCTTCCATCACTTGTGTAGCGCAATGACAGAGATAGATAGCGGGGTTGGCAGCTCAAGGAAGAGATGAATATTTAAAATCGGGCATCTTTCTCGGTCCTCTCACTGCTTCCCATTGTCTGTGTCTGTCTCCCCTTGGGTCTTGGATCGTCTACTCCTGGTGTGGCGTGGCTTTTATATGTGTGTGTGTATGTGTGTGTGTGTGTGTGTATATGTGACATGTCTTGGCTTAGGGTTTTATATTGGCATTCTAAGGCAAGTGTAGTCAGACGATGACACTTAGCTGTCAGCATGCAGCATTAATGAGCGCAGTGACACGCACAAACACTCACCCTGCTCACACACAGGCAGCGTTCTCAAGAGAGATCAGCAGATGATCACCTTCTCCCCTCCATTTAGTTTTGTATACCCACCAAAAAAGCTCTCCATTTTCTTTAACCTCTCATTTCCAGTGTCCCTCCTGTTCATCTGTCTTTCATTTTTTTTGCTTTCACTCTAAAAATCCAGCCCTTTTTCTTTCTCATAAACTCTTTCTCTTTCTCTCACTCTCTCCGCTGTGTATGTGTCAGTGTGATATGCGTTAGGTGGCTGTGAACCCTGCAGACACCTATCTGACAACTCTATTAATACACAGTCGGCTAACACCAGCCTCCTCCTGTGTGCATGCAAAGGGGTGTGTGCGTTTGTGCGTGCGTGTGTGTGTATGTGGGTTCAACCCTCAGCCAATCCCTCTGCTTTCTAGGTCTCTGCAGAGATTTGTCTGAAAGGCTTAAAACACACAGATCTCCAGTCACACAAAGATCATACACACACACACACACACACCCGGGCTGACTCACTGACACAATAAGGAGTTTGGAGTGACTGGCAGATTTAATAGGAGAACAAGCTGTAATCTGAGAGAATCCATTCGACGAGGGATTACTTTCTAATCTGTGGATGGAATAGCCTTTCATCTCTCTCTCCCTCTCTTTCTGTCTATCTCTCTCACCCTTTATTTATCCGTCTCTATCTCTTTCCTGCCCTAAAGCTGCATCAATCCTTTTACCAGCCCTGAATTTTTTTTTTTATCATTCCAACCCTGATTTAATTTGTTGGGTTTTTTTCTTGTGCTTCCATCTAAATACCAGGCACAGACACACACACTCTCACACAGCTGTGTCACCTCAGCAACACCTTGCTGTCAATCAGCAATGATTGCACCGACGAGAGCATTGTAACATTGCAATGCGTCACTGGCTCTCTAGTGCTAAATTATACCCACATCCATGTGCACACGCACAGAAAAACAAAATATGTTTTTTTCGAAGGCATTTTGATTTTTTTTTCAACAGCTTTAACAGCTCTTCTTTTCCTCATCCCTCTTTCTTTAATGAAGCTTTTCAGCCCCAAGTTGTTGTTCTGATAGTGCTTCATTATACTATATCCCTCCCTGCATTTTCTTACCGCCCTCCTTCCTTCCATCACTCCTACTCTCCCTCTCTCTGCCACATGGTGTTTCTCATTTGCTAAATGAGGAATCCAATAGAGTTAGATTAAACTTCTGGACTCTCTTTGTCGAATCTTTACAGGGAGCCTTTTAGCTGTCACAGCTTGCGCGCGCGCGCACACACACACACACACACACACACACACACACACACACACACACACACACACACACACACACACACACACATATAGTTTGATAACACTGTCTGCCAGTTTAAATATTTCTCCTTGTTTAAATTGACGAAGATTAATATAATAATCCATGTTTAAACAACAAAAAAGGAGGAGATAAGAGGATGATAGGGAATAAGGCAGGGAAGCGGAAGGGAATGAGAAATACAGACGAGATGAAATGATAGAGATTTCCCCAGAGAAAGAGGATGTTAGACACGCTGACAGAGAGAAAAGAGGAGTGCAGATCACACAACCATATGGCATTTTGCTTTCCCCTCTACTTCTACCATCATGCCTGTCACTCCAGGAGGAAGAAGACCATCTGCGCAGTCCCCTCTCACTTTTTCCCTCTACATATATACTCTGTATATCTCTCTCCTCCGAGCCCTTTTCTTTTTCCTCCGTGTTCTGCCTTGTCATACAGGTGTTCCTGCTGTCCTGATTTGTCTGTGTGCTCCTCTCAGACACACAGCCCAAGTTAACAGTTTGGGTTCACATCCCCCTCTGCTCATTATCAGCTGTCGCTGCTGCCATTAAGTCTCCACTGATGGCCACTAGCTCCTGCCTGACCTCTGCTTTCCACAGCGAACAGCTAATGGACACTCTCTTCTTGCTCGCTCTACATCTACCGCTGCCTGTCAACAATCCCTCTCTGTCTTCCGCCCACTCCTGCTACCTATCTTTACCGCTACTCTGACGCCAAACCTTTCGAATTGTAACACATCGTACAAGATGCTGCTGTCTGCACAATGAAATTAAAGACAAAACTGTTTTGTGTGTAGACAGTATATGCCACGCATTCTCAGGGTGAATGAGGCCTCCACTATTTCTTCCCTTCTCTCTTTTTTTTGTCACTTTACTTATCTTCTCCATTAAAGACTCAACCTCTACCCTGAGTTACAGCATCTGTGTGTGTGTGTGTGTGTGTGTGTGTGTGTGTATGTGTGCGTGCGCTATCATTTGCCTGTCTTCCTGTACCCGCATATCTTATTCCGTGTGACAGTAGAATATGACATTTCGGCTCTTTCGGTCCGATTATAAAAAAAGAAAAAGAGAGAGAGTGAGAACGAAGAATAAAGAGCAGGGAGTTAATTACCACCTTTTCCTCCTTCCTCCCTTCAAAGGGGAGATCAAAGCTGCTCCTCGCCTCCCCCTGCCTACCCTCCAAACTCCCCTTCCTTTCACCCCGACCCCCACCCTCCCCACCAAACCCTATCAGACCTAGCCTGTAAATGTGTAGTCCCTCTCCTTCCTCATTGGATACTGACACATTCATCGGTTATACAGTGTAACCATGGGAAACCCAAATGATGTTCACACACGTGCTAACACAGTAAAATGTAGCCTTCATAGATTCGGTAAAACATTTCTAAACACTTTTTCCATTCTCCTATTCTACAGTTTTCTACTATTTTGCTGAGCACATGTTACACATTTCAAACTGATAACAATCCTAGTCTGTCCTTTTCTTATGAGAGTCCATTCACGCCATAAATCATACTCACACACACAATCATAATCTTGCACATACACCACTATACTCTCCTACACACCTTTTAGGCCATAAATCATTCGTCACACACTCTCACCACTGTACTCTTTTCTAAACACTATCAGTGTAACTCACACACACATCACACTCTCTCCAATACATCATTATACCCTGTATGGTAGTGTGCAGACAGAACGTGGTGTGTTTGACAAAGAGTCATATTGTTTATAGGAGAGAATTATGGTGTGTGTGTGTGTGTCTAAGATTGAAAATATGTCTGGGATAAGAGACAATAGCAGTTTAGTATTAAGTATTGGAAATAATTGAAGAGATTCATTTCAGTCAGACTCTGATACTCAAACATTTGTTCTGAATAACATATACTATAATTTTCTCTGAAACACTGTCAGTCATTAAATATGCTTTTTTACATATTATCATTCTGTCATATTCTATAATTCTTTTTCTATTATTACTAATTTCCATGCATAAAATATACTATCATTCTCTAATATGTACTGTATACTGTCATCAGGCATATTTGTGTGTGTGGACAGAGACTATACTAATTTAATTAATCTTGTACATTGGATAAGATTTAATCACTACTTCTACACGGCCAAAGGGTATAGCTTCTATTATCACAGTGTGTGGTTCGATCGACTGGTCACAATGTGGTTGCTCTCGCTGAACATGAACACAGATTTGATTGGTTTTGTCTTTTTGTCAATTCAGAGTTTTATTTAAACAAGGTTGTACAAAGATGCACCTCCAGGTTACTCTCTACAATTATACTTTAAGTGGAAAATAAGAAAAAAAAACAAAAAAAAACATCTGTTTTGCATCAAAGTTCTGTATTATCGAAATCACAACACAGTCTCAGTCAAGAGCAGTTTAAGTTACCACATGTAAAATACTAATAATATAAAAATATGCTCACCGCAGTTTATAACGGATCTTTTGACAGCAGCTATTCCTGTAAATGCCTCAACCTGTCATGCCAGAAATGTTTCTGATTGTCCAACTGAATATCGGACTATTCGGACAGATGATAAAATAAACTCTTGACCAATTTGGAATTACGGTATCTCACAAAAGTAAGTACACCCCTCATATTTTTGTAAATATTTGATTATTTTGATTATCTTTTCATGTGACAACACTGAAGAAATGACACTTTGCTACAATGTAAAGTAGTGAGTTTACAGGTTGTATAACAGTGTAAATTCACTGTCCCCTCAAAATAACACATCACACAGCCATTAATGTCTAAACCGCTGGCAACAAACAGCAGTTCAGCAAGACAGGTACCAGAACAGGCCTCGCCATGGTCGACCACATAAGTTAAGTTCACGTGCTCAGCATCATATCCTGAGGTTGTCTTTGGGAAATAGACGTATGAGTGCTGCCAGCATTGCTGCAGAGGTTGAAGGGGTGGGGAGTCAGCCTGTCAGAGCTCAGACAATACACCACACACTGCATCAAATTTGTCTGCATGGCTGAAGTCCCAGAAGGAAGCCTCTTCTAAAGATGATGCACAAGAAAGCCCGCAAACAGTTTGCTGAAGACAAGCAGACTAAGGACATGAATTACTGGAACAATGTGCTGTGGTCTGATGAGACCAAGATAAACTTATTTGGTTCAGATGGTGTCATATGTAGCGGCAATCAGGTGAGGAGTACAAAGTCAAGTGTGTCTTGCCTATAGTCAAGCATTATGGTGGGAGTGTCATGGTCTTGGGCTGTATGAGTGCTGCCGGCACTGGGGAGCTACAGTTCATTGAGGGAAACATGAATGACAACATCTACTGTAACATACTGAAGCAGAGCATGATCCCCTCCCTTCGGAGACTGGGCCGCAGGGCAGTATTCCAACATGATAACGACCCCAAACACACCTCTAAGTTGACCACTGCCTTGCTAAAGAAGCTGAGGGTAAAGGTGATGGACTGGCTGAGCATGTCTCCAGACCTAAACCCTATTGAGCATCTGTGGGTCGTCCGCAAACGGAATATTAAAATATTAGTACTGCTAGTGGTTTAGACATTAATGGTTGTGTGATGTGTTATTTTGTGGGGACAGCAAATTTACACTGTTATTCAAGCTGTATGCTCACTACTTTACATTGTAGCAAAGTGTAATTTCTTCAGTGTTGTCACATGAAAATATATAATCAAATATTTACAACAATGTTAGGGGTGTACTCACTTTTGTGAGATTCTGTGTTAATAAGGCTAAATGTGCACAGTGTCTGCTGAAGTGTAAATAAAACAAGGGACACTGTGATGTGCGTATAGTCATGTGTGTTAGAAGAAGTATCATGGTATGTGCAAGAGAGTGAGATTGTTATTGATACATGTGAAAGTGGGTGACTGTTGTGGTCTATGTTTGAGATTATGCTGCAGTGTGTGAGTTATGGCCAAAACCTAAACCTCTCATATTTTCTCACTCTGTCACAGATCCTGAATCAGAACTTGTGGCTCCGGCGATTGTGATCGGACCCAAAGACACAACTGTGGTGGCAGGCAGCGAGGCTACATTGGAGTGCATTGCCAATGCCAGGTATTTTTTCACACACACAAACAAACATTCCTCTCTTTCTAGACAGTACTGTTTTTTTCCAGGGCAATTAGAGGACACCACATAAAGATAAGTCGTAGCTCAAGTCGTTCCTTCGAGAATTAGTGTATAGACACACTGATACACGCACACACGCATCCCCACACACACACACACACAAACACAAACACTTACTGACACAGTGGGTGCAGTCTTGTCTGACTCAACAGATGTTTTTTAGAGCAACAGCAAATTCTACTTCAGTTCAAGAGTCGCCAGAAACTCTGAAATCAGTTTCCGCTCATCCCGTAGATGTCCAGCCTCCCCCTGAGTAACATTGCAACTGAGCACCGGCTTGTGTGTGCTGTATGTTACAGTAAAGAATGTAGTATTTGTTCTGAACACTGCCTGTAGTGTGTCCTTTTGTGTTCCATTTAAACAATCGTTTCGGATAGACTCCTCTATCAAGACTAAAGGAACACTTAACACCAGTTTTCGACCTTAGTTATTTCTATGTATTAGTCACACATGATAAAAATAAATAGCTTGTGTTTTCTGTATCACACACTGAATTCACTGATTCTGTTGCCAGAGGACGGAGAGACACCTGCAGGGACAGTCCTGCCATTTTTCTACATCCTTTAGGGAGGTCACTGCAGCTCATTATGAATACTTAACATTTTGTAATATGTTGTCAGTATGAGTCCAACATGTATTGAAAAGAAAAGTGAGGATGAAAGTGCTTTGATCAGATAAAAAACCTTTTAGGCTGAATCGTCAGAGTGTATTGGGTTTCACAGTGGCTTATTTGTGCAAGGTTCTTGTTGGTTTGTGTTACTTAGTCTGGGCAAAGTTCAGCTGCTCTGTTCTGCAAGAGCTTAAGTCCCCTTTAAATGTTAAATGTTTCTCAGCACCACTTGACCAGTGGGTAGCACTCGAGTTACAACATGAAAAAACAAGTGACTGTATTACACAAATAGAAGATGAAAACATGCTTTCAGTAGGTGTAAAGTAATTCTTAGCAAACAGCAGGATCCATTTCCATCATACAAACAATGAGAAATATGGTCAGACTTTATTTTTAAACTTTCTATTTAACACAGAGTAATTTGATCTTTGTAACCTGCTCTACTTGTATTACAGCTGCAGACAAAAAAGCTCTCCTTCATTTCTTCTTCTGCCAGAAACAATCAACTCCACGGGGACTATTTCTGATATCAGAGAAGCACCCTCTGAAAGAGACTCACTCCAGAGAGATAATTTTGTATCCAGGGAACAACTGAAAGAGAGAAACTATTCCACTGAAGTTTGGAAAAAATGAGAGGATGATCAGTGAAATCAAGTGCAAGTCTAAAAGCATCTGCTATCCACATCCATTAACCATTAATCAGTCATATGCAGCACTGCAGTCCTGGTAGAGCGCTAAAATAATTTGTAGTTGAAAACATGCATTGCCAGTAGGCATATTATTAAGGGCTTTAAAATCTGCTTTTCAGTCTTAAGCAAAAGTTTGAGTTTGAGTAAGCAAATTCAAATTTTGACATAGTTTAATTACTTTTTCATTAGGGTTGGGCAATAAAACAATAATGATAATTATTGCGATATAATTTTCCTCCATAACAATAAAAAAAATGTTCAATATATCGTCAATAAATGTTTGATTTAATTAATTTGAATCACGAACAAATTAGCACTTAATTTTTCTGTTAAGATATTTTTTTGTTTAGGAAAAGGGACTGAGAAAAGATTTACTTATTATATTTGTTGAAAGAAAATTTTAAACTTAAAAGATTTGACATTTAATAATTATCGATTATCTAATGGTATTTAAATGTTTTTATTGTGATAAAATCTTTGGTCATTTCGCCCAGCCCTGTTTTCCATCCTACTTTGAGAGAAAGCAGCATACTCTCAACTGTATCTAAAGAAATGCAAAACACATTTTACATGTGACATAGTTGACTTAATCTTTACACTACATTACATTTATTTAGCTGATGCTTTTATACAAAGCAGCTTACAAGCATTCAACCATGTAGATACAGCAATCAAGCAAGTACATCAACTTCATCAAGTATGCTGATGTGCTTCAAGTGCTAGATTTAGAAACAATAAGAGAGAGAAAGTTTTTTTTGTTGTTGCTGATTTATGTGCCACGGTGCAGTCTAAGCAGATGAGTTTTCAGTCTGATTTAGGTGTCTATTACATTAGACATTCCCTTTCTCCAACATCCAGAGGAACTGACTGAAGCTCCTTCATGCTGAGTAGAGCTGACTGCTCTGATATACAGACTGTCATCATTCATTTCCTGCCTCATTGACACATAAACTGATGGATTTAATATGTTGTAATTGCCTTCTGTCACTCTTTTCCTTTTTTTCTCCAACTCACCCAACTCTTGCTATTCTTTCTCCTCTCCTCTCTTCTCCCCTCAGACCAATGGACATCCTCGTGGTGTCTTGGAAACGTGATGGGCGTCGGCTGGCTAATGGGTGTAGACTCATTATTCCTGCCCCCACCTCTTCTGACACAGGGTTATATGTTTGTGAAGCATTGCTTAGCAACAGCACTGCCAAACCTGTGGAGGCTAGGGCACACCTCACTGTAATGGGTAAGAGAAAAAGGACACACACACACACACACACACACACACAGCCTAACATGATTGTGCATGATTAACCCTCGTAGGCCTGACCCATCAAGCCTAATGCCCTCAACATGTGCCGTTAATTTTGTTTTAACCTCGCTCTCGTCTGTTCTTGTATATTTTTGCTCCGGGCACTGTTTCTTTCTGTTTATTCTTCCATTTATTCCTACTTTTCTCCTGGAAGCATGACTGTGAATGCTCCAGGCTTTGACTGTCAACTACAGGACTACAAGAACTGAATCTGTTGTCCACACTTAACCAATAAACTGCCCATTTTAGTCACCAACAGCTATTTACATACATGTGTACACTAATTCAATCATGTGTGCTCTCAAACACATGCACGTCTGTGCTTTACGCTCACACACAATCACGAAATGGCACCGCAGACATACATGCCTGTTTGCCCGGCATCTAAATTAGCTGTGCTCCCTGAAGTTGCCAATCAATAAGAGAGCACTGAAAGCACTCAAACACGAGCACTCTCGTCACAATCCACTCCTGTCCTCGATATGTGTGCGTAAATAGAAAACAACATACACGCAGGGAAGGGAGCTTGTGATTGATGAAGCGAAACTTTTCTCTCGGAGTTCGTCAGCGTCTTTTTTGATCTGCTGTGATTGTCGGAGTAAGAGAGCACCTAACGCAGAAAGAGCAAGCTCCCCACGCCTACAGAGTATTCAGTAGTCAGAAAAGACTCCCCTGAATATTTATACCCGACTCATTCCCTTTCTGTGCACCCCCCACTATCTACCACCAACTTTTGTACTCTTTCTTTCTGCCCCCCCCCCCCCTTTATCTCCCTCTCTACATTATCTTCCTTCATTAGGCCAACAGGACTGTTAAGGACTGCCTGGCAGGGACAAAGTCTGCATGCTTTCATATGTTTCAGAGGGGTAGAGACTGATGAATACATTGGTACTGATCCTCTTTTTCTGCTATGGGCTCAGCAATGAAAGGGATTCCTAAACAGAATAGTCTATGTTTCTGTGTGAAAGTAGGAGACAGCCTCAAAGGTATTCATTATTCAATTTAATTTTTTTTTCTGCCCAGATCCACTAATCGGAATATGTATGACACTGCTTGGTTGCCGTCTTGTGTACTGTACAGACGACTGCTGGTGCAAACAACAATATACCTGTTGTTGTTCTCCATCTTTGTTTTGCCGGCAGACAGCAGGGAATCCACGGAAGCTCTAAGCTCTAAACCCAACCACCCAAACACTCCAAAATGTGTTTTGTTGTGCATCTAGGTCTTTGCACTCACCTGACTGAAGGCGATTAATGCATCTGTGTTATCGGTGTCACGCCACATGGCTGTTATTCATCTCTTGTTTTCCTGTTCTTCCTTCATTGCACGTCTGCCTCGTTCTCTTGACAAAAATCGTGCTGAATTCCACAGTCCTCTGTAAAGATAGGAGTTGCGTGCATGTGTGGGTTTAAAAGTTACCATGGAGTAGTAAGGAACTTTAAAGTCACCCTTCGTCAAGTAGAATAAATGCAGCACTAACATGAAAGCTGTAGCTGCCCACACACACACACACACACACACACACACACATTACTGTTATGTTATTATTGTTAAACAAGTATGGAGACTCCATTAAAATGCTTTGTCCTCTTTCAATAAGAATTATATCTTTACAGTATACACATTCATTATTTATTGCATATACTGGACATTTTAATTTCCTCAGAGTCATATTTCAGTGAAAAGGCGTTACTTTTCCAGAGATGTCACACTGAAAGTGAATTAGAACATGAGTGTGTCTCCATCTCCCCCTCTGTGGGCTCGGTGTGTCAATATCTCTCTCTAAATATTAACTGCGAATGTTTTTGAAAGAAATGGAGCATATGCAGGAGTAGGTAATTTTTTCATAACATGTAGCATAATACACCAAAAGGCATATATTCACTATCAAACTGAGGGTAGCTTTGTCTCAGAGCTGCTGTCAGCATTTAGAGCGACACTGGTGAAGATGTTTAGAGGGAGCAGTTATTGGCAGTGAAATTGAGTAGTTTAAAAGAGGGATTGTTTCCCTTGAGAAACTCAGAGGATGTGTTTTTCTGTGACTGTGTGTGGAAGTAATTTCAGAGGGCATATAGACAGAAACCCTACCTTGCAATGACACTCAAATACTCAGGGCCACCAGGGGGGACCCATTTTTATTCTGCAGCGCTGAGTTTTCCACTCCAAGTATCTTCTCTATTAAAGAATACATTCTTGGAGAGGGCAAACTCCCAATTATTCTTTCAAGGTTTTTCTAGCTATTTAATGAGTAATACATTTTGTAAGCCTTTTTAAGGGTTTTTTATTAGTAGTTCAAACATGACAGACACAGCAGGGGGTGTTCTTAGTTGTTGTTCAGTTTGAGATGTTATTTCATCCATATATTAATATGAATATGCTGTGAATGTGCTGTATATTTAAAAACTTTACATTTTTCTCTGCAGAGCCACCTTCTCTGACTGCTCAACCTAAGAGGAAGATCTTTGCTGATCTCGACAGGAATATAGATATACCCTGCATGGCTACAGGTAAATCGCGCTTGTGTGTGACTTTGTACATACTATAAGGACTGGTATACATATTTTATATATATACATATATAAAGTATGTCTTAAAAGAGTACTCACATGCCCATACATTGAGTCATTGGTCGTGGTAATAATTTATGCAAGAAATGGGGGATAAAATCCACAGTCCTGTTTCTGTATAAAAATGCATTCTGAACCAAATATAAGGCTCAACTGTCTGAGTTACTTATGTCATGTAGGTACTGTGGATGGATAAATACACAGACAGGGGATATTGTACTAAAAAACTTTTTGCACAGAAAGAGGACTGTATATTTTGTGCCCTTTCTCTGATATTGGAATTGCATTAGAAAGGGATCTATTCAAAGCCAGTATGGAGCAAAGGAACAATCACAACAATGAATACCTAATTTGAATGTGCATATGAAGACGTGAGTTTTGTTTTAACATTTAAAGTCTCAGCATGCTTTAAACAAACTAGCTTAAAAACCAAGCCTAAAGCTAAGTCGTCACACCTAAAGTCATCGATCACATCACAGAAGTCTTTATAACTGTGCATTCGAAGAGCCTGCAGTCATAGAGAGGGCCGAGACACAATGAATTGTGCAAACTAGCACAGCGGTGCACACAACAGTCTGCTCAAAGGCATTCATGACGGTGGACTCAATTGTATTGAAAGGTCACGAAAACTGACAGAAGTAGTTGTGTGAAGGATGAAAAAAGAGCATGAGAAAGAAGTTAATATCCTGCCTACTTTCTCATCCTTGCACACCTTGCAAATCCACACGTAAACTGGACGTGATTGTCAGATTGTCTGTTTTTCAGAAAGATCAAGTTGAGAAAACCCCCTCAATTCTGATGTTGGAAGGTGTGTGGGGAGGACATTTCACACGATCCAACAAGCACTTTGAAGCATTCTGAGGCTTAAACTCTGCTGGTGTTGCATGCATTTGTTTATAGGCTTGTTGAACAGTGACAGTACACTTGTGACAATACAAGCAGATTAACATGCGGAGACCAAGCCTGAAAATTGCCCTTGTTCATCACTGTGTTGTTCTGAAATGAATTACATGAAAACATTCATATGAGCAGAGGGTGGACAAAAATTGCAACGTACTCCTCTCTCTTGCGCCCTCTCACACACACACTGAGCCAGTTTATGTTCCTCCTCAGTAATCTGATACAGTGGCAGTGTAATTAAATAGCAGAGGCCTGAGGGTATGGAGAGAAGGATGGAGGCTGGGTGGAGGAACAAGGGAAGGAGGAAAGACAGAGTGCAGAGTGACAGAGTACGCAAGACAAGGAGGGGGTGAAAAATACTTCACATGAAGCTTGACACCAACAGATTGAGAAAAAGTGTGGACTTCATCTCTCTCACACACACACACACACACTCATGCTGGTGTGGAGGGTTGAGACAGAGTAATTGGATGAACCCCCTGCCTGTCATATCTAGCATGTCGGTCAGACAGGTGGGGGATGATTCTGTAGATATTTGGTGTGCTGCTCTTGCCCACATCTTTTATTCAGAATGTTTTTTGGCCCCTTCTGCCACCCTTACCCTACCACCCACACCCTCCAATCAATATATTATTAGCAGTCATTATGTCCGCATGCATATTTATAGAAAGAGAGTGGGTAACAGCGAAGAAAGATTGGTGAAAAGCGTGTGTGTGGCTGTTTTAGTGGGAGTTGGAGCAGTTTGCTCAGCAGTGAGGTCAGCTGGCTTGTTATTAAGGAAATTGAAAAATGTCTCCGTCCGTCTGTTCATTTATTTTCCCTGTCTACATGCGCATGTGTAGGTGTGCCTCAGCCCAGGATAGAGTGGTTTAAGGATGCGGTGCCTCTCTCCAAACTGGCCAACCCTCGATACAAGGTCACAGCAGCAACCGGGCTGACGGTGCGAAGGGTGCAGCCGGGAGACGGAGGAATATTCCAGTGCTTCGCTCGCAACGCTGCCGGGGAAACCCAGGCACACACACAACTCCTTGTCTCTAGTGAGTTTGTCTGACACATGTGTATGTACACACCTATAGCAGCATTGCTTCTGTTCTCAAGTCTTGGCTAATTCACCCTCTCTTGATGCCAGTGTTGTCATTCCCTTTAACTTTCTTTCTCATTTGTTTCTTTCCCTGAAATTACTCTTCTTCTACCATACTCCTCTTTCATCTCCAATATTTGTGTGTCACATTCATTGTATCAGCTCATAAATGCAGTAATTGTTTTTTAGAGCTGCAACTAAAGATGATTTTCATTATTGATTAGTCTCCAAATTATAAATTAATCGTTTAGTTTCAGAAAACAGTAAAATAAATTCCTTTTATAGTTTCCTAAAGCCTCTTTTTCAAAATCTAAAAATATCCTGTTTCCTCATAGATAAGAAGACGGAAGTAGTGAATTATTGCTATTTTTGCTTGATTAATGAACTAATAGTTTCACCTCTGTTGTTCTTACCGTCCCACTTTATCCTCTACATTTGACCATACCATACATGTTGACATTTGCAACAGTCATTTGAAAATCACATGCCTTGTTTGCTGCTTTGCCTTGCAAAGTGAGTTTGAGGTTGGAAAATAAAACCGTGTACGTGTAGTTTTTCTTCTGTTTGGCATGACTAGCCAATCACAGCCCCACCTGAAACAAAAGACTGTTTTGCATTTAAAATTCCAGTGGTAGTCAGAGTCAGCCGAACACTCTGCCTTGACATGATAGTGTGCAGTGCGTGTCAGCTGCAGACGTCTGCACGTACCACTTTGTCTCAGTAGAGTTATGTTCTGTTTAGTGAGCGTTATAATTAAAAGTCCCCATGGAGCCTCCACACCACCACATCCCACATTTATGCACGTAATGCTAGGTAATGAATAAAGGCCACATTGATCAAAGGGGAAGCATTTGTGTTTAGATCAATACTGTCATCCTTTCTTTTCCATTATTCTGTTTACTCTTTGCCAATGAGCTTCACTCTTTTTTTCCCCACCAATCTCCTCTCAGTAGCCATCTCTCTGTATTCTTTCCTTTCATGCTCTCTCCCTGTGTTTCAGGTGTGGCCCCGACATTTACATTCCCTCCGTCTGACCAAACAGTAACTGATGGGCACATAGCCTTGTTTACCTGCCAGACAAGTGGAGCTCCAAAACCTGCCATCACCTGGAGGAAAGGTAACGGCCCGCACACTCTGCATTACACACTGACATTGTAATTGTAATTTTAAAATGTGCTTAATGACTTTCATTTATCTCAAGTTTTTTTTTTACAATGTTCCCTCTCTTTAGGATCACAGGTCTTAGCTAGTGGCTCTGTCCAGGTTCCTGGTTTCACACTTTTGCAGTCAGGTGGTTTGCTGATTCAGCCAATCAGCTTCCAGGATTCAGGAGAATACACCTGCATTGCCTCCAACTCAGAGGGAACCATTAACACCACTGCTACTCTCACTGTTTGGAGTAAGACACATACACACACATACTATACACAGTTAAACAACTCAATATACATTTGCTAAACAGACTAAAACAGACATGAAACACTAATTTATCTGTAGCCGTCCTATCACATTAGCTTCACACTAATGAACAGCAGTGTGAGTGGTTATCGATGCAGTGTGCTGGTGCAATGGTGAAATTGATTGGCCAGGGTAAGAGGATGATTGATTAATTGGTAAACTTATTGACATATATATATACATACTGTGTATATATATATATATATATATATGTGTGTGTGTGTTTGTGTGTGTGTATGTATGTATGTGTGTGTGTGTATATATTTAAACTCTGAGTGCCTGATGTATAGATGTATGTGAAGATTCCAGGTGATAGTTATCCAAGAAGGGTTGAATCAAGAGCAGCAGAGATAATTAAAGATGTTGAGGCTTCTTCAAGTATCTTCAGCCACGTCCAGTTGGCCTTGATTTAACCTCCCTTGGATATACTGTGATGTATAAAAACAATACTCACCTATTGGTAGCCTAGTTGCGTCCCAAATGTACCATGACTGAGTTAGGGACATAACAGATGCACTTCACACTGGAACCACGTTTGTTTTTCACCAGTACACCATTTAGTGAGTGTCTCTGTATTTGTGAGTGAAACATGAACCATGCATGCTTCAGTAGTTCAGAGCTAAATTGTAGACAAATTAATGTCACATTATTCTGGAGCATCACACATTTAAATGTACACAAGACTGTGTGTAATAAAACAATCTTATTGTTTAGCAATAAGAGAATGCTTAACAAATGTCATTTCAGCCTCTAAATTTATCTCACCTGTGTCACTGCTGATCCTCCTCCTCCTCGCTCTCTCTTCCTCTTCTTCTCTGGATTTCTCTTTGGTATTTTGCAGGTCGGACAGTCATTTCTGTGCCTCCTACAGACCAGCGTGTTATTAAAGGAACCACTGCTATTCTGGACTGTAGTGCTACACATGACCCCAGAGTCAATATCAGGTTTGTGTGTTTACATACATGTATACTTATTCTTATAGTGTTTGCTTCCCTGCTCTGTTTTCCATGGATTTCAGTAGTTTCTGTTTGTCTGTAAATACATACAGTACCAAAGATATGTATTTGTTCTCTGTTGCAGCTTTAAATGGGATCGAGGTGGAGTCCCGGTCCTTCCAACCAGTGGAGGCCGTGTCTCTGTGCGCCAGGGCTCCCTGACTATTGGCCAGACATGGTCCGGTGACATCGGGGACTACACCTGCACCGTGACATCACAGGCTGGCAACGATTCTCGCTCTGCACGTCTCGAAGTCATGTGAGTTAAAAGAATCATGCGAAGATGTTTTGACCACCTAATTTCTGCCTACGTTGGTTCGGTCTGGCACATAACCTAACACAACTTGTCATTTTTGCTCTTCAGTTTTTGTACGGATTAAACAAACAAGATGAGTTTTAGTTAGTGATCTTTAGAGGTGCTAGTAGAGGGATTTTGTGACGTTTGGACACTGCCAGGCAAGCTGTTTCCCACTGTTTCATGTCTCTGTGTTACACTAGGCTAACCAGCTGCTGCCTGTAGTAACTTACTGAAATAAGAGTCAATCTTCTCATCTAGCTTTTGGCAAGAAAGCAAATAAGCACAATTCTGTTCCTTTCTTAAGTTGCAAGCACATTGCAGTTTGTTTTGCTGCATATAGTGTAGACATGCTTTGTTTCTGAACATTATCTTCAGAACATTTTCTGATTTTAGATCTTCACATTATTAAAATCGTATTTATATACATTTATTCTGAAATACAGAACAGGCATTTATCTAATAAACAGCGTGAATTGTTTTCTTCTTTGTGATTATGCACAGCAATATCTTCTATATCTATATCTGCTGCAATTAAGCGGGAAAACAAACAGCCAATCCATATCTAGCAATCTGTCTGATTTAAATTGCAGACAGGATTGACAGGGAGTAAGAGTTGAGCATTATAGTAAAAATTACTGACTGTGCAGAACATGATTCAGGAGAAGCAGCAGTACAGTGCCAAACATAAATTTAGTTAATTTCAGCGATTCTCTAATGAAATAATTGCTTGTTTCGAATAATTACCATGTTCTGTCAGGGGTCAGACACCCTCCAAACCAAATACAGGTCTATACCATTGAAACTGTAAGGTGTGAGATGTTGGCTAGTTAGTGGGAGTTATTATTAGGTCATATTGGATGTCAGGTACCCTATACATGTAGTGCAAGTGTAACACATTCCAAACATGTCATATTGTGTGTCTGGTATGAGCAGGCATTCCTGACGCTCAGATTAAAGCATGCCGCACACATATTTCAAGTGGATACAGTGACATTACCAACACACATTACAGCAAATGTGAGAGAACACTATTAGGTAGAGGCCTTTATGTTATGTAATAGGCACTTGTATAATATATTTATAAAAGTATCTCACAAGTGAGTACATCCCTCATATTTTTGTAAATATTTGATTATATCTTTTCATGTGACAACAATGAAGAAATGACACTTTGCTATAATGTAAAGTGGTGAGTGGAGCTTTTAGCTTGCAGCTTGTATTACAGTGTAAATTTGCTGTCCCCTCAAAATAACACATCACACAGCCATTAATGTCTAAACTGCTGGCAACAAAAGTGAGTAAACCCCTAAGTGAAAATGTCCAAATTAGCCAATTAGCCATTTTCTCTCTCCGGTTACAAGGTCTCAGGTGTGAATGCGAAGCAGGTGTGTTAAATTTGGTGTTATCGCTCTCACACTCCCTCATACTGGTCACTGGAAGATCAATATGGCACCTGATGGCAAAGAACTCTGAGGATCTGAAAAAAATAATTGTTGCTCTACATAAAGATGGCCTAGGCTATAAGAAGATTGCCAAGACCCTGACAGCACAGTGGCCAAGACCAAACAGCGGTTCAACAGGACAGGTTCCACTCAGAACAGGCCTCGCCATGTTGCATCTTTGGGAAATAGACATACGAGTATTCCAACATGATAATGGTCCCAAACTTTTGTGAGATACTGTATATTAATACAATTGCAGGGTAGGAGAGCGAGTCCACATCCTTCTGAATTACACAACGACGAGAGGTTAAAGATGTCAAACTCAGAGGGAGGAAGTGGGTCTCGTTTATGGCGGTGCAAAAAAAACAAAGAGATTTCTGTACGAGTGTGTGTGTGTTTGAGTGCGTATGTGTGTGGGTGCATGGTTCCATGTGTGTGACTGACATTCTCGTTAGCTCAGTATCAATGGGTCATGAAGGCTAACAGACGCTGGCGGGTGAGGAGACAGACTAATTACCAGCAGGTTATTGGTTCAACTCCCACAAGACCCACCCATGTGTTCGTGAGTGTACTTATGTGTATGTGTATTTTCTGTGAGATGTGTGAAGGTAGGTGCTCTAACATTCTCTAAGCTCATCCATTAATTAATATGATCGTGTCAGCTCAGAAAAGAAAACATCATTCTCATTTCCCCTTGCTCGCTCTCTGCCTCATTCACCACCGGCCTTGCTTCTTCTTGGTACCTTATGACTCTCCGTCTCTAACATTAAGTCCTATTCTTCATATATGTCTCTTCCTCCCACTCTCTCTGCCCTCATTTTCTCACTTTATACCAAGTCCAATATTAAAATGTAAAACCACACACACACACACACACACACACACAGCAAATGTGAAAGAGAACTATCAGGTAATGAGCAGCCTTTATATTGTAATAGGCACATCAAAAACTGAATAATGTTTTAACTCTGTATAATCTCATGAAATCAACAAGAGTCTGCAGCTTGTCAGAGGAGAAGTTCTTAGACAGGATATTCACACATCCATGATTGTTTAGAAATAATTAATGAGCTCCTGAATATGAAATGCAGCTAGTTTAGGTACATGGTAATGTGTCTGTCATCATGTTTTCAGTGTAATTATATTTACTTTGTGTGAGTTCATATCTTCGCTCCTGTTATCTCTGCTATCACCTGTAGCCTTTACATAGACCGACACTGAGATCTGCTATCCATTACTGCTCCTCATTCAAGTCATGCTTTTTATAGAGGGTTATGATGCGCTGAAATCAGTATAATCAAATGTCTGGACACTCTTTATTGCTTTCATGAATATATCTGTGTTGCTTTCTTTGTTACTATCATGGCAGGGATACACAAATATCCACTGGCGATGGCCAAATGTCTGGAGAATTTATTTTTAATAGATGTGATGAAATGTATTTGCTGTGGTGCAGATCACGCACAGAATAAAATATCACAATAAAAATATGCAGACCACAGCCATATTTAAAAATATCACCCACTGGAATGGATCCTGGACCAGACCCAGGAACCATCCTGGGTGTCACAGCCAACATTATTCCACCACACATATCTAATAGAAAAACATTACACTGGAGACAAATATGTGTGGAATGAAAGATCTTTGTCACTTTGTCGCAGACTTGTTTATGAAACACAAATGCATAAATGTGTTCAGACACATGATTTTGTCAGTCATTTAACTTAATTTAGCTTAACAGAAAGACTGGAAACAGTGGGAAACAGCTACCCTGCCTCTGTCTGGAGGTGACAAAATCAACCTACCAGCACCTCTAAAGCTCACAAATTACACAGTTCTATTATATTCAATTAGTTTGATATAAAAACGTCAAGATGTGGCAGGGGTGTTATGTGCTTTTTCTTGGCTAGGAGCAGTAACTTCCTGGTGTCTCGCTGGTTGCTTGACAGCTGCTTGTGGCTGAGAAATTGTGAAATAAAACCCTGTAAAACCATGCTGCTTGTCATTGAGTGAGTTTTAGAGGTGCTGGTAGGTGGATTTTGTTACCTTTGGCTACCCTACGGATCTACTATTGGTTTACACTTTTTTCCCCCGTCTAGATTATTGTAATTTCCTCTACACGTGCCTCAGTAAAGATGCTGTAAATCGTTTACATTTGGTTCTGTCGTCCCACATTACCCTTGTTCTTGCATCCCTCCATTTTTCCCTGCATAAGTAAATCAGTTGGTTATATCTGCGAGTCAAGCAAATTAGCATTAGCTTTTCAGATTTACAGCTGCATATGCCCAGAGCCCTTTAGAAATAATCTCTCTATAGGGCTCTGCATATGACTAACCAATCCTCACTCCTAATGGCTAAACCTGACAGCAATTCAGGGGCAGAGTAGGTTTTCAATTGTCACCTGACACCTGAATTTTGTTTCACTTTTACATAAATTAAAATCATTTCCACCATAAATTATTGCAGGAAAGGAAATTGGTACAGAAAATTTCACCAGAATGCAGGAAATTAAATGTTTAATGTGACACCAATATCGTGTATCATCTACTCTCGTGAGCTCAGTGTATCGTCACACCCCTAATCTGAGCCCTTATTTTCCCACTGCTTTTCAACACAAAGTGATGCCCTTGCGTATCGAGATCTTTCTCTTGTTGCAGTAGACAATTGCAAGTTATCTATACAAACATGGAAGCTTAAACAGACCCCTCTGTCTCTGTGTGTTTATCTGCTTGCGTATCCTTCTCACCTTTTTTACCACTGACCAGTTTGCATGCCTGAAATAAACCGCAAGATCCTGTTGATTACAGATGTCACTGACTCTACATATAAGGCACTGCAAGACCATGCCCTGGCTATGTTTCACATTTGCACATCTCATCCCTCATTCCACTTTAAATCCTCAAATCTCAGCCTTTTATCCCCTTCAAACTGACCGAGGCTAGCTGTTTCCAGTCTTTAAAGCTAAGCTTAGCTATCTGGCTGCTTGCTGTAGCGTCATACCTACCATACAAATATGAGAGTTGTTTAAATCTTCTCATTTAATTCTTTGCAAGAAAGTGAATAAGGGTGTTTCCCAAAATGTTGTTCTGATCAAATGGCCAAACAAAAATTGTCAAACTTGGATCTGATGTTTTGGTGTCTTGTCTTTTTTTGTGTTCAGTGAGCTGCCTCACTCTCCTCGCTCGCTGACTGCCCGTCTCAATGACTCTGACTCCCGCTCTGTCCTCCTGTCCTGGCTACGCCCCTTTGATGGGAACTCCCCACTTCTGTATTACCTTCTGGAGCTCTCTGAGAATAGTACGTATCTGTGTGCGCAGCGTGGGTATACTTTATAGTCCCTGACAGCTGTTCACGTGCTGTCTACCAGGCATTGAGACACACTCATTTACAAGACATACGGAAATTGGTGTTGCTGCGTAAATGTACATCCAGGTTCCCTATAAATAAACTCTTATTTCCCTCCCTCCCTTACCCTCTCTCATGCTCGCTCTCTTTTTCTCACCCTCTCTCTGCCACAGATGTTTTAACAGCAGGCTGGCTCTTTGTCAAATGAGAAATAGAGGGAGAGAGAGGGGGACTGAGGAACAGAATGACAGGAGAAACAGATTGGAGGGAGATGGCTGTAGAGCCACTCGGACTCCTGCTGTAAGCTAAGGGGATGGCTGGACGTTAGGTGCAGAGCCAAGCATTTGGTACATGACTGTAGGAGCTGATGGACAAATGTCAAATGTTAATATAGTTTGACATTTAAAGTAAACTTAATTCCGATAACTTTTAGGGACACAGCAGGAATATGATTTCACATTCACAAAGACACACCAAAATAACAAAATATGTCTGGTCAATTTTAGTAAACACTGACTCCAGACAGTGAGGAATGGACAAGAGTTTTGTGCACACTGATTACCAATGAATGAGGCATTATAAATGCAATATATTTTCATGTCAGGCAATAGCTCCAATATACTCGCTGGGCTTGCTTTAAATGGCACGCACACTATCCTTCTTACTTACGTAGATACGCATTTGCGATGATAATAGTGCTTCTGTCTGTGATATCTTCAGAATAAAGACTGAAAGATAAGCTGGCAACAAGCTGGCAACAATATACAGAAGCATCTGTGCTTCTTTATTAATCCCTGTCTTCCCTCCAAATTTTCTGTTGCATCCAGTGGTACTTCTTTATTTTACATTTCTCCCCAGCTCACCCCCCTTTCTATCTACCTTCCCTACTTGCTTCTTTTATCTATGCTTGAACCTTTCCTCTTGATTTATGGGTCCTTAATGTCCCCGTGTTTCTGTTTGTCCTCCCTCAGCCTGATATTATCAGCCTCTAATCTTTGTGTCTTCTGTCTAGACTCACCGTGGAAGGTCTACCTATCAGAGGTCGATCCTGTTGTGACCGAGGTATCAGTGGGCGGGCTCACACCTGCCAGGACCTATCAGTTCAGACTTTGTGCTGTCAATCAAGTAGGCAGGGGTCAGTACAGTGCTGAGACGCAGAGGTAAGTGCCTGAGGTGCATTCAAAGACACATTCAATCATTGACACACATCAACACACATCTAGGGACACACACTCTGCACTACCGGTTTTATTAAACACATCCTTTACAAGCCACACTACTATTTCAATGATGATTTCTAAAAAGCATGAAACCGATTTTTTTTATGTAGAACATGCTATGAAACAATTTCTTTGCCTGTTCCATCTCTGTGTAATAGACTTGGTCACACTGACTTACACAAACTGGGAATGAATAAACTGGAACTTTTCTACAGTCAAAAGGCGTGTGTGTGTGTGTATGTATGTGTGTGTGTGTGTGTGTGTGTGTGTGTGTGTGATGATTCAGAATGGTGATGAAACAGGGATGGATTCTAACAAGGAGAGGATAAAGGGAGCTGCACTTTTTGTTTAGAATCAATTTCCTTTGGCAATTTTTATTCATCACATCCATGCTGTAGACGTCTACGTGACTGTGTAAATAGATTGCTGTGCAGATGTTTTGTGTTTGTGTGTGCTCGCGCGCGCGCGTGTGTGTTTGCATGTTTGTCCCAAGAGAAAACACTAATGGGGGTAATTATGATGCCTTAGCACTGATGGAACTGGATAGAGGGAAAGAGTGTTGGAGGAGGTGTGGCAGGCCTCTTAACAATTTTGCCCCTGAATATACACACACACAAACACACGCCAAATCTCTAACATTCACACACAATACAACAGATGTGGTTATGCATTGTAAAGTAGACACGCGCACACACACACACACACACACACACACACACACACACACTGGCTGAAGAGAGTGACCACAGGCAGATGCCAGTTGTAGTTCTGCCAAATAGACTCTCAGCAACAACAGCGGCTGTGAACGCTGCCATCACACATTCACACATCTCAGATTAAAGTCTTGTAGTTCCTTTATTTTCTATTCTTCTTTCATTTAATATCTTTACCACTTCTTCTCTTCTGCCTGTTATCAGTCATTACTCTTCGCCCTCCTGTTCCTCTCTTCTTCTTCTTCTTCTGCATGCACCAGTGCATTGTTTGTGTCCTCCACAGTCCAGAGTTGGTTGTTAGGGCCACTGGAGAATAGATTGGATTGATCCTCGCTAAATGAAGCACTGGCAGACAGACAAGTCATCATCGGTCAGTGTATCAGAGCAGATGGACACGTCTCTTCCTCAGAGTTTGTCTCCTACGTAACCATCCGCACTTTGCTCTTCATTTGCTGGATTTTTGCCTGGATAAGACACGAGCAGTCGCAGAAGCCAACGCACGTGCTCCACTTGACACACGGGGAGAGTGAGGCAGAGGAAAATGGAGCTCCACAAGAGATGGATGACAAAATGCAGTAAAGTGGACAGAGTGAGGGAACAGGACAGAGAGCGAAGAAGAAGCTTGTAATATTCATGACAAAAAGCCCTTATTAAAGTTTGAACTTCCAGCTGCTTCTGCACTCTCCCATTTTGTTCTTGTCCTGATTAGGATCTTTATCATACCAGCATTCTTTTTTTTTCTCTTTGCTCTACACCATTACCCTGCTTTTCTTTTACCTCTCTCTCTTGTCCTGGGAGGTGGACATCCATTAAGAGGATACGACTGAATGTGAGAAAACCTGAAAAACATCACCTTTAAATGCAGAAACTCTCTTGAAGAGTGTGTGTGTGTGAGACGCTCCAGATGGAGCGCACACACACACACAGAGTTATTCATGCATGATCTACACTCACACCATTAACGTTTTTAAAGAGGAAGCTTTAGCAGAGGAAAGACAGATGATGCATAAATGCCTTGAACTCCGGGCATCATCAGAAGTTCAGAGCATCTGTCAAGATTCTGTTCAATTCAGTAGGCTTTATTGGCATGTCGTTACTCTTTGCCTTTGCTCTCATTTGCTCAGTCAGAAATAGTGCACATTAGACTTTAACAATGGATGTGTAACAAAATACTCTACCATACACACTCTCATAGACATACAATGTAAAATGAGGAGCTTCATAAGGAGATTTTATGATGTGATTTCTTTATGTGCTTTCCAACATGTCAATCTTGAATTATGTGTTTAACTGTGGCCAAAGCTAAACCGAGAAGTGCCCATAGCATAGTGAGTTATTTTCATACTTTATTCTATAGAGCAAAAAGACAATTACAGAGATATGGCTTGCACTGACAAAGGCTCTGCCAGATGAGGAAGAGTTTTGTCCATTGTTTGTCTAGCAATATGCTAGAGATTACAGGCATTTCTTTGCCTCGCTCAATGTTTTCTTCACTGTCAACATACACAGAAAATGTCTCCTAAAATTAGATGTTGGCACATCTTAAGTTATTTGAGGTGAATATGATTTTTTTTAATACCTGGCCTATACAATTATAGCTTACTAGACTGAATGAAATGGAAAATATTGTTCTTTGGGCTTACAGTAGAGAAATAAATAACCTCAGACCTCTACCTTGAACCCAACTTCTGTTAAAGCAAGGACATTTTTAAAGACATTTTTTATAATAAAAGAAAACTACTACATTTTTAAAATAGTGATGTTGTTTCTTTCACTGTTAAAGATGGGCTTTTTTATTTGTTGAAATGTTCTTTACATCCCAACAGCAATCAATGAATCAAATGTTGTGGGAAAAAGAAAAAAAGTGTGGCAGGACTTTAATAAGCAAGCCCAATCATTTAATTTGGTCCGAATGAAATGACTGAATAAAATGAATTAAACGTAATGCTTTAAGATCCATCATTTCAGTTAACCTACACAATAACACGTCAGCCTTTATTCCCGTAAATAGAGATGACATGCTATGCCCTCTAACTTCTAACCCTTGAGCCTTAGTTAAGCACTAAAAACTACTATATTAAGCAATATTGATGAATGAGTCATGAAGTGGAATGTTGTGTGTGTATGATGTGTTTTAATTTCCTTGTAGGATCTTCTTTCTCTTTTTTATATATTTTAAAGCTACTTTTAGAGGCTCTTATATATGTAACAGTATTTACCTGTTTGCACTTTACTGATGTTAAACTGATCGGATTGCATCCAATTACATTGTATAGGAACAATGACAATAAATATTTTATTCTATTCTATTCTAAGATGTATACACCTGCCAGAAATGTTATTATTTACATGAAAATAAAGGTCAACAGTGTTTCCCACAGAATGACAGAATTTATTTAACTTAAGCTAAAAAAAAATCAAGCTACTAATTATGAAATGACCCCAAAACGTGCACACACCAGTCAGTAATGTTAACAACTTATTGTTGCTTATTTCTTTTTGGCCAAGTTTTCCGTTCTCTTATATTTTTAGATTTTCAATTGTCACCTGCCGCCTGAATTTTGTTTCCCTTTTACATAAATAAAGTCATTTCCACCATAAATTATTGCAGGAAAGGAAATTGGTACAGAAAATTTCACCAGAATGCAGGAAATTAAATGTTTAATGCTGAAAAATTTCTGGCAGAGGACCCCCTAACTCATATATTTCAGCATTAATTGTTTTCTATAAAGTAATGCTTTCTATAAAGTAATGCTTTCTATAAAGTAATGCTAAAACATCTTCTTGTCTTGTATTGTTGACACCAATATCGTGCATCATCTCCTCTCGTGAGCTCAGTGTATCGTCACACCCCTAATCTGAGCCCTTTTTTTCCCACTGCTTTTCAACACAAAGTGATGCTTGTCGATATCTTTCTCTTGTTGCAGTAGACAATTGCATCTATACAAACATGGAAGCTTAAACAGACCCCTCTGTCTCTGTGTGTTTATCTGCTTGCGTATCCTCACCTTTTTTTTTACCACTGACCAGTTTGCATGCCTGCATTTTATACAAAAATGACCTAATAACCTTGCTAACTCAACCAGGCAGGCTATTAACATTAAACAAATTTTGTATGTACATAATTTTATGGCAACTCATCCAATAGTTGTTGAGGTATTTAAGTCTCCGCCAAAGTGGTGGACAAGCGACCGTTATTGCCAGCTATACTAGCAATGCTTAAACATTTGTTATAATCCTCAAGAGTGCCAACTAACGTGACACAAGTCATCTTCAGCTGATTTCACCAAAAATCTTCAATGTAATATGTGATATTTTTCTAATAGTCACAAAACGTTTGTTGTTTACAGTGTTTGTGGAGACATATGTCTGTTAAGCTTATACTAGAAAAGACCACCTGAACAACAGTGAGGGCTTCTGCAAGAATATTGTTTCTTTTCAGCATCGCAGAAGGTAATCAGATGCAACTGGCACTTAATCCATCGATTACCCTTTGTTTGTGAAAGCTCTAATCAGCTTTAAATTAGCCAAACCGATAAACTGATGGACTTCTTGCTTTGATGCACAGTGTTGCTGCCCCCCACCACACGCACACACAGACACACATATTTTATCATAGGTATACACAAACACTGACTGAAGCAGGTATAGCTGTGAGTGTCAGTATTAGTTGCCTTGTATTAAAGGTGTGAAAATAACATCAGGGCAGAAAGTACAATAGATGTAAAATCATCCAACATTTTGTTGTTTTATTTTTTACATAAAACATATTATATACATATAACTACAACAATAATGACTGAGCATCTAGTGTCACATTTGATTTGTTTTGAAACATTGTTGCTGGTAAAAAATGGCATTGACCAGTCAGGTAATGTGACTATAAATCTATTTTTCTATTGAAGTGACAAACTTAAAGCACATATACAGCAGCAAATGTTTCTGTATTTCCCCGACAGAGTCTCTTTAGTGTGTCACCCTCCTCCATCTGTGAAGCGTTTAGCCTGCGGCAAAACAGCACCACATTTAAAGCAGACCATACTTGTGTCAAACAAGAAGAAAATAAGCTCATCTATTTGGCTAGTTCTACCCAATCATGTCACATTTGGTTTTCATCTCTCCCTTTTTTTTCTACTGCCCTATTCTAATTTCTCTCTATTTTCTACTCCTACTGTATCTAAATTTTACCACCCTGTTTGAACAGAGGCAGATTTAACATCCCGGTAACACCATTAAATTTAAGAGTCTATGGATTTAGTGAGAAAACTAGTGGGCATTAAACTGTGGAGAATGACACAGATAGAAACTTTTACTAATTCCCACAGCAGAAGGACTCGCTAAATACATGCAACCCCCTCACTTTCACTCACACACTAGAAAACATGCACATCTTCTGCAGAAAATGTCCCCTTTTCCTTAATAACAAGGGACAGAAAAAGTGTGTCACACAGCTTTCAGGCAAAGTTGTTTTTGGGTATAGGTATGAATGTTTGTAGGTGTTTGGGTGGATGTGAAGTGGCGTACTGGGTGTAGGTGGGTGGGGTTCATATATTTAATCTTTAGTGCGAAGTTGATGTCCTCATGCTGAACCCAATGCTGAATATTTACTACTACTAATGGTTGGGAGGGAATTAAAGCAATTCACAAGGAGTGTCTGCTGTTGAATATAAGTGTGTCAGTGTGCATTTGTGTGTGTGTGTGTTTTAAACAGTGAATGACCACATCTGTTTAGTACTGTATGGGTGTGTGGTTGTTTGTGTAGCGTGAGTTTGTGTGCATTAATGTGTATCATCAATTGCAGTCAAAAGCAGTGGCATAGTTGAGGATTATATATACCTCATTTCCCGACTGCTACACTAATGCCCATCTCATTCACACAAGGCCCATTAGCCTTTGTGTGTGTATGTGTGTGTACATGTGTATGCCTACAGCACCTGGTGCTGTATGACAGTGCCTAACCTAATGGAAGTAAAGCACAGCTGTAAAACCACTGGCCTGTGCCATATATCCGCCTGCTCAAGTCTATAGCTAACAGCTCTCACACCCCTGCTTTCTCACACGTGCATTTATAGATGTATAGATGTGCACACATATTTATAGGCACACACAAATTCACACTGCTATAGCAAGGCTAATGGCTCAATAGCTCATAGGGAATCAGTGAGGGAGACATGGGGCAAAGACGGGTAGCGAGGGAGGTTGGAGGGATGTAAATCTCCAGATATAATCCATGGAAGGGAAAAGACCATCGGATGTAGCAGTCTGTCTTAAGCTGGGAGAAATTTGTTTGGTGTGTTTATATGTGTGTGTGTGTATGTGAGAGAGCACATATGGCTCTGATTACGTTCGCTGAGCTGCTTACAGTAAAGCCAGAGGCTGACCAGCTCAGCCTGTGTGCTTTACCAACCATGAGAGTGCTGGGAGCTTTAATCACGGGTGGGGCTGCAAGGGGAGGAGGGAGAGGGGCGTTACAGAGTAGAAGAGGAGGGAAGGAGATGGGTAAAAGATAGAAGGATGAAATAATTGAGGCCAAAGGACATGATGGATGAAAGGTGAAAGTTTGCAGATGGGAGAGAAAAAAATGGAGAAAGGGATCAAAATGTCGCAGGAAAGATGGAAAAAAGGTTCGGAGAGACAAGAGAGTTAAAGAGGGCAGAAAGAGCGAGGGATCACTCTGTCTCACTGGAAATTAAAAGACAAGCTCTTTGCTCATTCGCAAATAATAGTGAATTAACTATCTGTTGCTGTCAAACTGTATAGCTGGTCTAATGGGGATATTGTGAGAGGGTTGAGGTTGAAATAGAAACTGCCCAGACAAAGATTGCTGGTAGATAAATAAGAAGGAAAACCTCAAGGTATGATATGAAACAGAATACAAACAGTAATCTGCAACATATAGACAGTAAATGCCTGTTTGTTGTTCTAAGGCGCCAGTGGATAAAACACAACAGCAAACTTATACCAAGTTCATGAACATTTTTTCATTTGTTGTTTTAAACACCCAGTGTCAGCTCGATCATTCCCAGGAGAAATCCTCTGGCGCCCTGGAAGCAATGCGTTCAATGTTTCCATCAGCAGCAGCGTGGTTTGTTTGAAATAAATTAACTATATAGCCAGAGTTGAAAAGCAAATGTATTAAATGAAAGTGCAAGCTACACCAGGAGAACGAGGGATGAGAGAGATGAGCCAAGAATTCAATAAGAATTAATCAGAGCTTCTTAAGCTGTGAGATGATTCTCTATAATAAGTAGCAGCTCTGTCCCGTGTATCTCCGGTGACAAACATGATCATTTGTTTGTAGACAGTCAGTCAGTCCGTGACCCCAGACTAGAAAAGACGAAGATACTTGAGAAAGAGAATTTGCTATAAAGATAATTGTTATAAAAGTCCTTTTTTGTCTACTTGCTTAATATACAGCTCCTGTGCAAACTGTCCATATATGTGATATGTTATACCAGATGAAGGGGACGAATGCTGTGCACACACTGATATTCTCATTACAGGAAGCCTAATAAACTTAGTCAAAACCATTTGTCTCCCTTGCTGTCTTTCTTTCTCTCTTTGTGTGTGTAGATTGATGCTGAGGGAGGAGGCACCCAGCGCTCCTCCAAAGAATATTGTAGCCAGTGGGCGGACAAACCAGTCCATCATGGTCCAGTGGCAGCCTCCGCCAGAACCTCAGCTCAACGGAGTCCTCCGAGGATATGTACTCAGGTATACATACAAATGTGCTTCATAGGATTGAAACGTCTAGACTCAGATTGACTCGTCCATTTCTGTCTATTTTTCTTTTTTTTTTGAAAAGTACAATTTAAAGACCAGCTCTCGTGTGCACAACTTTTCATCAATTTCAGGACATTGGGAGTTCTGTAATGTATAGAATTTGTTTAAATACCAAACGGGCTACAGATTGAAATTATACTGGTTTACAGAAACATTTAGTCAAGTGATTGAACAGTAGAATATAAAATTAATTAACAAACTAACTATTATAACAAACAAACATATATAACAACTATTCTGATAATCAGGCATTCATTTAAGTAATTTATCAAGGTAAAACAAGGAACCAGCTTCTCAAATGTGAGGATTTGTTGGGGTTTTTTTTAAACTAAAAAAACAAAACAAAGAATTGTCAGTTGCAGCCCTAGTATAGAGAAAACCTTATGAAAATGTATGTTTTCACCCCTCCCCTACTCCCTCTTTATCAAATACATAACCACACACACATTCAGTCATAAGTGTTCTTTGCAGACGCTCTCACTGCCCTTGGTCCGCCACTCTTCACTTTGATGTCTACCTTAAGTGTGACACAATGGGTGTGTAATCAAACCGTCATCAGCTGCGCTTACAAGAATTTTCATATAATTGCAGTAGAAGTTATCAGGTCTTTATTCTAGTTCTGTGTGTTATCTGCCTCCACTTCAGAAATCAGCTGAAAATAGAATAGGACTCTCATACATCTCCACTGTATCATTTCGGCTTTATAGGACAGAGCTTCTACCTCCTCCTGTCCTCCCCTTTGGATTCTCTTTTCTCCCCGTTGTATCTGCTGGCAGGTCCTCACCCTTTTTTTCCTGTTGTCTCACACTTTTTCTCCTCCGTCGCTCCCCCTTCCTCCATCTCACCCATTGTGAGTGTAAGTTTGTCAGGTGGAGAGAGAGGAAAAAGGGGTTATCTCCTCTCCTCTACAGAGATCCCCTGTCAGCCTCCTGCGCCCCCTCACTTTGTGCATCTGTGTTTGTGTGTATGAGTGTGTTCCTGTGTGTGTGTGTGTACAGTATGCATGTGTGATAGAGCGCTGACTCAGCCGGTGAAACATTGGAATATCCTCGAATAGGCTCCATATTAAAATGCTGACATGTGGATTATTGCTCCATTCAGCTCCATTAGATATGTACAATATCTAAGTAATATTACACCTCCCAGTCTAGTTGGGTCATATATCCTTTTAACTGGACACTTATATCACATGTACTAAAGCGAAGGCCTGAAGGCACACTATTCAGAGATGTCTACCAGGCATTGAAGGTTTTTATTCCTTAGGGATTCAGTGTGATTCAAGCGATGGAAAATCCTTCAGTATATTTTCTCTGCCTCTTAGATGGTCAACATAAATTTTATTGTGTGAAAGTAAAATTGTTTATTTTAAAAGGTATATTCAGGTATGCTCACTGGTATGATTGTATATTATTAAGCTATGTCCAAAGTTTTTTCTGGGGACTGGGGACATATTTCTCAGTACATTTGGTTATATTAGATTGATTCATTACATGCTTTTGTCCAAAACAAATATTTTTGCATGTACAGATACATATTTCTATCCTTAAATCTGGGTTTATGTTTTTTCTCAAGCACAACTTTAAATGTATGTAGAAAGAGCTAAGGATATAACCATCAAAACCTATGATTACTATATACAGCTGTTACTCAGGTCTGCCACCTGAGTAACAGCTGTAATATAGTTCATATGTGAATACATTTGTCTGTGTATTTTGATTTATGCTGAAACCAACAAGTGTTTCTGTGTGTGTTTGGGTTTGTAGGTACCGTCTGGCAGGGCTGCCAGGAGATTACCAGGAGAAAAACATCAGCAGCCCAGAGACCAACTACTGTCTGCTGAAAGATCTGATCATCTGGACGCAATACCAGATCCAGGTGGCTGCCTACACTGGAGCCGGCCTTGGTGTCTACAGCAGCCCTGTCACGGAGTACACTCTTCAGGGAGGTAAGTAAACAGACACACAATTTTTTATTTCTTATTTTTGGAGGGCAAACCAAATGTTCCAAGACATTTTGAGTCATCAGTCCATCCATACACGCATATTTTTGAACTAAGTATTACTGCAAAACATATTGATAGCATTATCTTTCAGTGTACGTTAATTTAATTATTATTATTATTAAATGCACATATGTTCCCACTTTGTTATGTTATAAAGAATATAATGTGTGAGACAAACATACAAAATTTATGAAAAACTTTATAGTCACTTGCTTATTCTATATGCTCTCAATTAATTATTTGTCCGATTAATAAATTGTCAAAAGTCAAAATACCAGACCATGGAGGACATGTCACTACTTCTCATTTCATGTACAAGTTAGATGCAAGACCCCTTCAATTTTGATTTGGTATTTGTACAATTAATGAGTAGATAAACAGGGAGAGCATCTTTTCATAGACTCTGTGAGCTCGAGCAAAAGACAGTTGCTGTAGATAGAAATAAAGGGAAGTTGCTGGTAATTGATATGTTTTCTTGACTTCGTCAAAAAATCTTTATCCATCTGTAATAATAATATGAAAGAGAAAACGAAATTGCAAGTACAAGGTTCCCCACCTAAACATATTTTAAAAAACTGGCATGTGAGTAATTGATTTTCCCAGCCCAGATAGATTCACTTTATATTTTGTGTGGAATGTAAAAGATAAAGTGCATTGAAGAACGATACATTTTGATGCAATTGTATGGACACATGCGTCTCTGAAAACGTTTACACTACAGTACACAGAGACATTTCTAGAATAGTAGCAGGTTGCATTATAATGAGTAGATAGACCATCCTCAACTATTGTTACTTTTTTGGGTAGAGATCACAGTTACAGGCAATGAGCTACCTCGGCAGGCTTCCCTCTCAATGATAGGATGAGGAGGTCAGCTTTGAGACAGTTAATGCAGTTCAAACTTGAGTTAAAGTTGCCCCTGAGGCATCCCCTCAGAGGCATACCAGCTTCAACCAACTGGGAGGACACCCTAAGGGTGACTCGGGACACGCTGGAGGGACTACATTTCCCATCTGGCCAAGGAGCACCCTGGGATGCTGGAGGATGAGCTGGAGGAAGTTAGTGGAGAAAGTGTCTTTACTGCTCTATAAATATATTATATAAGTAGTGGTATGTTGATTGTAACCCTTGTAATAAACTGGCTGCACAGATAAGCACACGTTCAAGCCTTTCAAACATAAATCCATTCAGAAGCAGTTAGAGAAGGATGAAATAAAGGGAGATGAGAGGAAGTGGTTTTGGGGGTAAATAATCTTTTAAACACGTGCTCTTCCCTTCACGACTTATATTTTTTTAAAAAGTATATTATCATTATTAAAGATGGGTTGAGCTACACACACACATGTGCACATAAAACTTGCAGTCATTATTACAAGAGTTTAGGACAGGTTTATAGACTCAGAAGAGGCAGTTAGGCTCATTAATTATTCTAATGTGGTTTAATGGGAGTGTCTGCGATGGATTGGACATTTTCTCTCTCACTATCTCTGAGAGGATGTGGTTGAACTCAGTGTTAGACTCTGATAGCATTGCTCTTCTCCAGCGCTCTCACATACAGGCATACTAAGATTCCCCCAGAGGACAGAGTTTAGTGTTTTATCTGTAGCTGTGAGCTGTGAGGGGTTAGAAGCCGGTCCCCAGGAGTACAGTCAGCATGGCAAGAGGGGAGAGAGCATCTTTAACATCAATTAATCTTCCGTCTCTCTCTCTCTGTCTTCTCATCCTTTGGCTTTCTTCCTCTCACTATCTGTTCCCTTCCATTTTTCACCAGTTTTTGTTCTGGTCTGTGCACTTTCCACTCTGTACACTCTCCTTTCTCTGTGTGTCTGTGTGTCATCTGGCTTCTTTGGCTCAAACATAAGATGTAAAGGGCATTCCCATCATGCAACAGTGCATTATCACTCTGTGGCTTTCTAGCATTGGCATAAACCCCTTACAGTTTAATCACCATAACGTGCCCACAAACCCGCACACACACGTTTCATAGTCACACTCTTCTCTTCTCCTTGGCTTTAATATTGTCATGGACTCTCCCGTAGATAAAGTCCATATAACGCAGGAAGACTCACAGTTACACATTCTTCTTCTTATACTGACAAGAAGGAAAAGGGAAAAATAAGAAAAACATAAAAGGCAGTGTATCAATCGTGGAGTGGATGAATTAAATTTGTGTCCAACCTGTGAGAAGCAAACACTACATGGTCAGCCCTTGTTTACGATATTTTACATATTAATTTTTTGCTAACTTAACAAATGACCTCCATTTCATTGAAAAACCTGTTCTAATAAATATACACAGCATATTCCACAACTTCTTTTGTTTCCCATCCTATCTCTTCACTCTCTGGTGGATGATGAATGACTTGGCCAAGATTATACACATTTCAAACAGACTTATTGCTATTCTGCTATTTACAGTATTATGTTAATTATTATTGTTCTGCTTTAGTTTGACTGGAAATTCTTATTGTTGAAATTTTTAATGCTGACTCTTTGAACTGATATTCAAATTTAAACACAGAAACACACAGGGCTTAAAGTTCTCTGGTGCTGTGCCGGAATTCCGGCGCAAGGTGTTTTTGTATTCAACAATATATAAATATGTCTGTGGAAAATATTATTGTATATTCTTTAACTGTTGCGTGTTAGGTGTGTGTGAAGCACCAGTCTTCCTCTGCACAATTGGTGGCTCGGTGTCGGTGTATAACGAAAGAAAGGGGACTGGCACTTCCTGGCTATGTTTACATGCTAGCTGTAGTTAGGCTAATATAAAGCGACGCAATAGCAGTCCGTGTGTATTTATTGAAATAATAATGCGTTTTGGACTAAATATTTTACTGGATTTAATCGTCTGGACCTTTGCCAACATAACATGGCCATTTTTGTGGAATGTAATCCACCGGTCGAGTACGGCTTCACAGATAAGTGGTGTCAATTTTGATAATAGGCAGTGCTTGAAGTGGGCCACCGATTCCAGTAAGTTACTTCTACATTTTACTTTTTGGCGTCCCGGGACTTTTCTTGCAGGTAAGAGTGGGAACAGATGAGCGCCACATAGAGTACCTATGTGGCGCTCATCTGTTCCCATTCTTGCCTGTTTGCTAATCTCTGTCGGCGGAGACGGAGCAGGTAGAAGCTCAGTGCCTTTCATGCAGCCATGAGCTCCTATGTGAATGGGGAGTACCAGCAGGGCTGGGCAATAAAACAATAATTATTATTATTAATTAATTATTGCAACATAATTTACCTCAATAACAATATAACAAATGTTTAATTTAAAGTGTTTGATTTAATTATTTTGAATCACGAACAAATCAGCACTTTACTTTGTTGAGGAAAAGGGACTGAAAAAAATATTACTTAATTGAAATTTACTTTATCATAATTGTTTTGAATGTTTAACTCTGATTTGTTAAGTGATCCCAGTGTTTCCCACAGAATGACAGTGTAACTGTGGCACCAGTTATAGACAACGTGCTAACCTTGACAGCCCAGCTGTATTCTAACATTAACTTTGCTCTTCTTATTAGCTAGGCTCCTTACGTGCTTGCTAATAACGTTTTTTAAGTTGGGCGTCTGCTGGGCGCCAGACAGTGTTGTGTTGGACAGGTTTGTGCAGCGGTGTTCATGAGGGAGAGAGAGAGAGGGACGAGCGAGAGGATGTGCTGCGTGACTGCGCTACGGGGCTCTGCAATCAAATACCATTTTAAATAGGCCTAGTAAAAAAAATAATTCGAAAATCAATATGTGGCAGTCAGCATTGATATTGTGGTGTTCCGCCACAAATAAATGAATGTATGGGAAACACTGGATCCACTGTTTGTTCTGACCATAAAAATAGTTTAAAACCACAATTAAGAATCTGGTTTCTTCAACTTTCACTCAGGAGTAAAAATCTGCCTTATAATGATTTGACATTTATCATAAGAATAATCGATATTGAATGATGTGTAATGTTTTATCGTGATAACATTTTCAGCCATATTGCCCAGCACCTATATTTTCCACTTCAAGCACTGATTATAGGTGGTGGCAGAAAATGTTACCAGAATGCAGGAAATGAACTGTTTAATGCTCTAAATATTCTGGGGGAGGATCCCCAGACCACCCTTAATATATTTCCACATTGAACGTTTTATCAAACCAGTGTACAATTATCTTGTTGTCTTTTTCTTGTGAATCCAGAATTGTGTTTCTTCATGTTTCGTGAGCTAAGTGTATGTCAGAACCCTAATCTGAGTCCCTATGTCCCCGTCAGTTTTCAACACAAAGTTACACTCTTGCCGAACACATTTCAAGCACAGAAAAATGTCTTGCTTTAATGAGCCCTGGACACAGAGTCCTAATTTATTACTGATTAGCAACATGGATGTCTGGATGTTTTTTTTCCTTCTGAAACCCATGTCTTGCATACATCTATGCGTGGTGGTTCTTGAAGCACTGATTCCAGCTGCAGACCACTCTTTGTGAGTCTCCCCCACATTTTTGAATGGGTTTTGTTTCACAATCTCCAGGGTGTGGTTATCCCTATTTCTTGTACACTTTTTTCTACCACATCTTTTCCTTCCCTTCGCCTCTCTATTAATGTGCTTGGACACAGAGCTCTGTGAACAGCCAGCCTCTTCAGCAATGACCTTTTGTGTCTTGCCCTCCTTGTGCAAGGTGTCAATGGTCGTCTTTTGGACAGCTGTCAAGTCAGCAGTCTTCCCCATGATTGTGTAGCCTACAGAACTAGACTGAGAGACCATTTAAATGCCTTTGCAGGTGTTTTGAGTTAATTAGCTGATTAGAGTGTGGCACCAGGTGTTTTCGATATTGAACCTTTTCACAATATTCAAATTTTCTGAGATACTGATTTTGGGGTACCTGTGTGTGTGTGTGTGTGTGTGTGTGTGTGTGTGTGTGTATATATATGTGTGTGTGTATGTGTGTGTGTATATATATATATATATGTGTGTGTGTGTGTGTGTGTGTGTGTGTGTGTGTGTATATATATATATAAAGAAATAAAATCTCCATTTTCCATTATAGCTCAGTGGTTAATGCCACTGACTTTTGTACAGGTGATCGTGGGTTCGGTTCCCTTTATGGACCCTTAGGCAAGGTCCATAATGCTACCAGCCTACCTCAGGCATGAGTGAAACTGCAAATACAAGAGCCATATCGGCTCGGATGTCGTCCCGGTCAACAAGGTCCGCGTCAGGTGCTAGGGAACCAGGGCAACCTGATGACAAATGGGCTACTGGACTACTAGAGCAGAAATATAGATCTGATGCAATGCTACTATACAAGCAATCCCGGTGAGAGGGCTTATATGCAGAGACTATGGGATATATGGATGCTTCGAAACCCATCATCAACACTGACAAAGAAATAACTCCTAGCTCAGTGTTCTAACTTCCGCAAACGGCAACTGCTATCACAACTAGAGATTGATGAAGCACAACAAATATGCTACGGCAAGGGGGAGCCAGGACGACAGTTCAGCGGGGAGATGTCATCATCATCCCCACACTCAGAGATTGGGTCCCAAGCCACAGTAACAGCAAGCGCACAGAATCACTCAACATAAGGGCGACTGACCTACGATTGAAGATCCTTCTGAAAGTCTGCTAGAAGATGTTCTAGCAGATGATCCCTACAAAAGCCATAACCGAGACCAATGAGCTGATGTACGCCACAGCAACAGTAATCCTAGAGATGCTTGGCTATAAGATGAACACCACAAGCCACAAAGAGCCGTGGAGGAAAAGGCTAGAGGCCAAGATCAAGGCGACACGAAGAGAGTCAGAAAGGTGCAAGGAAGAGGCTACCTAAGAAATCCCTAAGAAATACAACAAGCTGTCGATGCCTGAGGCACTGGAGACTGCCAAACAAAGACTTACCACTCTGGCTACCCGCCTAAAGAGATGCAAGGGAGAAGCAGAAACCTTGAAAATAAACCTGATGTTCTCCACCAAACCATCCAAAGTGTACTCTCAGTGGAAGGGTAATAACACAAGATCAGACCCACCCAGAGCTGAGACTGAACAGTCTTGGAAGAACATATGGGAGAAAGAGGCATCACACAACACCAATGCTCAGTGGCTAGTGGATCAAAGAACAGATCGCAGCAATCTCCCACAACAAGATCCATTAACCATTACAATAGCAGACATCCAAGAAAGAGTGTCAGGTATGAAGAGCTGGACAGCACCAGGCCCTGACATGATCCACACCTACTGGCTGAAGAAACTAACTGCACTCCATGAATGTCTGGCAGTAGAAATGAATGAACCCACCCAGAATGGTTAAACCAAGGACCCACCCAGAATGGTTAACCCAAGGAAGGACAGTCCTGATCATGAAGGATCCCCAGAAGGGAACAATCCCATCAAACTACCGGCCAATAACCTGCCTCTGCACAACACGGAAGCTCCTGTCAGGCATCATAACGGCTAAGATGAGTTGGCACATGGCTCAATACATAGACAGAGCCCAGAAGGGAATGGGTAGTAATACCAGGGGGAGCCAAGCACCAGCTACTGGTCGATAGAGCAGTCACTCGAGTTTGCAAGACCAGGCAGACCAACCTGCGCACTGCCTGTATTGACTACAAGAAAGCCTACGACTCAATGCAGGACAGGACACTAATAGCTTTCATCAAGAACTCAATGGGGCTGTGGAAAACAAGTCTGGAAGCCAACTCAAAGCTTAGTGCACAAGTCACCATCAAGTGCAGCATATATGCCAAGGTGATGCACCATCCCCGTTGCTGTTCTGCATAGGACTGATCCCCTGCAGCCAGATCATCACAAAGACTGGCTACGGATACGAATTCCAAAGTGGAACAACCATCAGTCACCTCCTCTACATGGATGACATCAAGCTGAATGCCAGAAATGAGCAAGACATCGACTCACTGATCCACACTACCAGGATCTACAGCAACGACATTGGAATGTCATTCTGACTGGAAGTGTGGACACATGGTATCAAAAAGAGTGAAAATGATCAGAACCGAGGGGGTTGAACTACCAGAAGGCAAAATTGCAGATGTTCTGTACAACTATAAATACCTTGGGGTCCTGCAGGCTAACGGAAACCATGAGGAGGCAGCAAGGAAGTCGCCACAGCCAAGTACCCAAAGAGTAAGGCAGGTCCTGAAAAGTCAACTTAATGGGAAGAACAAGATCCGAGCCATCAACACAAATGTCCTGCCAGTCATCAGATACCCTGCTGGTATAATAAACTGACCTAAGGAGGAGATAGAGACTACTGGCATCAAGACAAGAAAGCTCCTCACAATTCTTAGAGGGTTTTACCCCAAATCCAGCACCCTGAGACTGTACACCAAGCGTAGCGAGGGAGGCCGAGGGCTAGTGAGTGTCAAGACCAATGTCCAGGATGAAACAACAAAGATCCAGGAGTACATCAGGAAGATGGCCCCCAAAGATGAAGGGCTTAGAGAATACCTCAGGCAGCAGAAGTCCGAGTGTGAGGACCAGGAAGACGAAGCACTAATCATGGCGGCACAAGAACAGGCACTCAGTACGAGATCAATAGAGGCTGGAGTCTACCACACCAGACAGGACCCCAGGTGCAGACTGTGCAAGGATGCCCCTGAGACAGTACAGCACATAACAGCAGGGTGTAAGATCCAGGCAGGAACAGTGTACATGGAACGCCATAACCAGGTAGCTGGCATAATGTACAGGAACATCTGCCATGAGTATGGGCTGGAAGTCCCAAGGTCAAAATGGAAGACACTTCCTAAGGTAGTTGAGAATGACCGAGCTAAGATCCTGTGGGACTTCAAGATCCAGACTGATAAACTGGTGATAGCTAACCAACCAGACATCGTATTGGCCGACAAACAGCAGAAGAAGGCTGCAGTGATAGATGTGGCAATCCTAAGCGACAGCAACATCAAGAAGAAGGAACACAAGAAGCTCGAAAAATTACTATGTGTAGGCTTACACAGTGGAGGTGTGAGGTTTGAAAGAAGTGGGACAATAATTGGTCAGCGTCGATGTTCAGCATTTTTCCAATAATCTGCATCGGTCATTTTAAAAACAGTTTGCCGAAATATTTAATTAATAAAAAGTGCGCTCCTTTGGCTCTGATGCAGCCTCCTCTTTCTGTCTGTACTCACCACTCTGTGAGCTTGAGTAAGCACCCCACAGAACTAGCTGATTGGTTACAAGTCACGAGTAATAACCTATCAACACTGTCTATTGTGTGAAAGCCAAACGAGCTAGCCATCACGTTGCAGCCCCTCCCCTCTCAGCAGAGCTCCGCATTCACAGGCGGGGGGGAAGTAAGCGGAGATCAGTGTAGATGTTGACCATAACTACGCTCGTTACTGTAAGTAAGTGCAGCAAAACCAGCAATACTAGTAAAAGGCTGATACTGCATCAGTACAGTCAGCAGGAACGTGTACAGAGCGATATTTTAATCTGCTCTGTCTCATCCACTGCAGCTGTGTTTTGGTTTTACACAAGCACATGTGCACATGTGTTAGCTTAGCTAATAGCTAGTTTGTTATAAACAAGCTAAATCTCTCTGTCTGTAGGCTGTTTAGCTAACAAGTCCATCTGGGATGTATCTCTAATTAATTTAATTTACTATTTATAAAGATTAAACATTACTTGTTAGTGTAATCTTTGAGTTTGTGTTATTCTAAATTTTGACACCAAGATTACATTTTTTACTGCAAATGTATATCAGTTCCACATATTGGTCTAATTGCTTACTAATAATCTGTTTCGGGATTTGCCGAACGCACATTATCGGTCGATGATTCTTGTACTGTAACTAATACATTGTATTTTTAATCAATAAATCATGAGTTACATTATGTGTAAAAGTTGACAGGGCTGCTTACTCCTAAAGGAAGAGAGACTGAACCAACAAATCCATTGAGTCATCTAACTTTCTGTGGCCACCGTCTGGCTTCCTGAGGTCACTGACTGAAAGGCTTAAGAGTTTTAATTCAAAATTTTAGCTGTCTTTATGAGCTGAAGGGGCAGTGCTCTAATCTCACTTAGTCATTCCTAAACTATTACAATGCAAAACACGTGAATGCAAAATACAATAGATGAGTTTCATTTTATTGAGAAATTAGGTAATTTTGCAGCAGAGAGTAGCAGTGTAGGTTGACATTAAACTTTTGCAAGCTCAGCAGATATTTTTAATTAAAATATGAACTGAATCGCAACATGAAATATGGTGTTGTATGAGATATTTAAAACCACTACTTGTTGAAAAAGTAAAAGCATAACACTAAATACTATTTATTTCTTCAGCTTAGGGCTCCAAGTCTGTTAATGTATATGTGTTTTCCAGTGTATCTAAACACTTATCCTCTTTCTCTTGGTTAACCCATTTGCAACTAAATGATTGGTGTGTGTGTATCTGTGTGTTTGTGTGTGTGTGTGTCTATCTGTGTGCTTAGTTCCCACAGCACCTCCGCAGGAAGTGGAAGTTGTCGCTATCAACTCAACAACCATCCGCTTCACCTGGAACCCTCCGCCTCAGCAGTTTATTAATGGCATCAACCAAGGATACAAGGTAAGCCTCTATAAAATAAAAGACTGTCTGCTTTAAATGAAAATCAAAAAATTTTCTCATATGTGCAGGATGTCACTTTTTCTGAGAAATGTAATTCTTTAAATTGTAAAATAATAATAATAATGTATTTGTACAGCACATTTCATGTGAAGTGTTTCACAAAACAATCAGATGAAAATAAACAATAACAATAAGTAAAAAATAGCACTTAGCAATGAAACCACCAAATTAAAAAGATGGGTCTTTAATTACTTTGTCAATATTCCAAGTGAGTTAGCTGTTCTAAGAGGCCAGGGGAGGTTGTTCTACAGTTTAGGGCCATAAAAACAAAAGCAGCCTCACCAGATTTCTTGTGGGTGGCACTACAAGAACTTCTAAAAGAAAGGAGAAATGCTGAAATGATGTGAGTGTGCTAGATTTTGTAAGGCTTTGTGGAAAAGTAAAATTACTTTATAATCAGTCCTAAAAGATACAGGTAGCCAGTGCAGTGACGCGAGCAGAGAGGTGATGTGATCTCATTATTTATTTATTTTTTGTATTGGTCAAAATCCTGGCTGCAGCGTTCAAAAGTATCTGTAATTTTCCTAAATACTTTTTAAGGAGGCCAATAAAAAGAAATACGATAATCTACGCTGCTTGTAATAAAAGCATGTGTCATCAGTTCAACATTGTTCTGAGTTGAAGTGGTCTAATTTTGGCAATGTTCCTCAGATGAAAAAATGTTTTTTGCTACATGGCTAAATTTACGTAGCAATGAAAAAGACCGATGGAGATATAGGAAAAATGGAGGATTAAATGGGGAACGAGGTGTTGAGAAAATATGGAGCAGGAGACAGAACAGAAATAATAGGTAATAATAAAGAAGCAGGCTAATGGGGAGCAGTGCAGGAGCGGAGGATTGAATGGTATGAGTGATCCATATGTACTACTTCTGGTATGTGATTTCTTCTTCACTTCATTGTGGCAACCAAACCCCTAAGGACCTGATTAACATGACAAAGAAAACACATCACATTCTTTCTGTGCATTACTGGGTGTGTGTGTGTTTGAGTGTTGGCTTCTTTGTTGCTTGATAAATACTATATGGCTATCCATCTGTTTGATGTGGCTCTCTGATGCTGCCTCTGTGTACCAGCCTTTCTCATATCAAATCAGTAGAGCCTCACAGTGCTTCTCTGCACATGTGGGTGTGCATCTTCGGGTGTGTTGTGCTGGTTAGAGGACAGTAGATAATGATATTAATTAAAGGAGGATATGAAGCAAAGCCTCATCTCATCTCATCCCCGCACACATCGCTGAGTGTATACAATACCCTTAATAATATAGCTCAAAACTGATTGCCGGAGGGAGAACCAAAGAACCACTTGAGAAGACAAGTTTCTTTAGTGTCTTCCAGTTGCACGTCCTTGAAACTGTCGTATGACTTACTTTAGATTTTCTGTTGGAGTGGTATGAGTCTGTCTGTCTAAGCTTACTGATAATCATAAACGAGTTGTATACAGAGCATACTAACAGACAAAGAACAATTAAATTCAACTTTATTTATATAGTGCCAATTCATAACAAAAGTATCTCATTGCACTTCATAGAGTAGTTCAAATCATACTCTGAAATATTTTTAATAGAGGAGGAGAGAGGAGCTCAGTGCATCATTGGAAGTCCCCCAGCAGTTTAGGTATATAGCAGCATAACTAAGGGATGATTCAGGCCTGAGCCAGCTCTAACTTTAATCTTTGTTAAATAGGGAAGCCTACTCTTAAATGTGGAGATGGTGTCTGCCTCCCAAACCCAAACTAGGACCTAATTCCCAAGGAGAGGAGCTTGATATCTGAAGGCTCTGGCTCCCATTCTACTTTTGGTTACTAGAAACCTCAAGTAGCCCTGCTTTCTGGGAGCACAGTGTTCTAGTGGGGTAATAAGGTACTATGAGCTATTTAAGATGAGATGGTGCCTGACTATGAAGGGCTTTGTAGGTGAGCAGTAGGATTTTAAAATCTAGTCTGGATTTTACAGGGAGCCAATGCAGAGAGGCTAAATATGACAGGAGAAATATGATCTCTTTTCCTGGTTCTTGTCAGAACACGTGCTGAAGCCTTCTGGATCAACTGAAAAGTCTTAAGGGACTCATCCGAGCAGTCTGATAATAAGGAATTGCAGAAATCCAGCCACTTTTTCCACATCATTTTGAGACAGAATATGCCTGATTATTGAAATGTTTTCATAGGTGAAAAAAGGCAGTCCTTGATGTTTGTTTTATGTGGGAGTTGAAGGACATCTCCTGATCAAAGATAACTCCGCGATTCCTAACAGTGGTGCTGGAGGCCATGGCAATGCCATCCAGAGTAACTATATATTCAGATAATGCGTCTCAGAGATGTTTGGGGCCAAGTACAATAACTTCAGTTTTGAAAATTGCAGGTCATCCAGTTTTTTACATCCTGAAGGCATGCTTGGAGTTTAGCTACCTGATTGGTTTCATCTGGCTTGATCGATAGATATAATTGGGTATCATCTGCATAACAATGAAAGTTTATGGAGTATTTCCTAATGATATTGCCTAAAAGAAGCATATGCAAGGTGAATACGATTGGACCAAGCACAGAACCTTGTGGAGCTCCGTGACTTTGCCGTGCGTGGAAGATGGAAGATCAGTGTACAAAATGAGATCGATCTGATAATTAGGGTTTACACCAACTTGTTCCAATTTTCAAGTCTCTCACTGCATGAAAAGTGGGATTTTCAGGGGTTATTGGTACATTAAATTGACGTGGAATTTCGGGTTAACGGCCACATACGGGAATTTGACACCACTGACTATCGCATCCTATTATACTGTATTAGATCTGTAATAGGATGTGATAGTCAATGGGGTCAAATGCAGCACTATGATTTCACAAGACATGTACAGAGACAAGTCCTTTGTCTGATGCAATTAGAAGACAATTGTCATTTTCAACAGAGCATTACTTTTTTATTAAAGGTATAATGTGTAATTCCATGCCACATGCTCCAAACAAATACGAGGCAACATTTCACCTTTCATCACCTCCTCCCCAGCAGCCAGGCTGCTCTCTAAGCAATTCTACTCCTACACTCTTTTCTGATCACATGTAACATTAGAGCTTAACTTTATATTAACCTGTGGAATAAGTACATAATACAAAAAAAACACAATAACAAGGAATATTGGAAAGAATGTGGGCAGCCCCCCCCCCCAGAAAACGACAGTTTCACACTGAGTGCCCAGTCAGAGACAGAGAAGTTCAAGTGGTGGCAGGAGACAAAGAAGTAGAGATAACGGAGGGAACAAGAGGTCGGGAATGCGAGGGAGAGAGAGCAGCTTGTGCAACAGAATTGATGACAAGCTAGTTAGCCGTCCTCGAACTGAACTGAGGGCAGACTGGACAGTACAGTGACTCACTATCATCTCTTGAAGCACACGTGGTATTATAACCTAGGACCTGCTGGAGCTACCTGGTTAGCATGCTAGCTTCGGTGGATATTTCTGCAACACAATATATAAACATCTTTAACATGGCGTCAAAGATGTTACTTCTCACCGCATTCTGTTGATCATTTAAACTAACATCCTTGCCAAATTGTACACATTGTTTCTTTAAAGACATTCCATTTTTCTTAAATTCTTTTTACAAAATCTGTACAAAATATGTTGTGTATAAGATGTAAATATATACAGAAAAAATAAGCACTTACTAGCGCAGTATATAGAAACCTATATGGGGAATTTTACCAGAGACCTGAGGTAGCACAAAGATCACACTATGGTTTTTCCACTGTGTACCATAGTGCCGTACTGTCATTGCTCTGGTCCAAGGTCTGCTTTCAGACAGTACTGTACTGCATTGTGTTCAGCACACTTTGGGTTTCCATTGCATTCTGGTTCAGACTCCACACGTTACTATAGCAACAGCAGACCCAGCACTTGATGCTTGAGGGTGCCAGATCAGCACTCTTTTGCTGCACCCAAACTGTACTGTGCTGATAATAAATTACAATAGAAACCCTTATTTTACCATGACAGACTGGGTGCAGTGCAGCACTCTTTAGGCATAGAGTAAACAGCCACTCAACTGTCTCTGCGAATAACCAACTTTTTCCTCATAGGAGATTGATTGGGTCCCTGTTGCAGATTTTACTGGTAATATGAAGCAGTGTGTAGAGTGGAACAGCATTTACAGTGTTACAGTTTTTCTCACAGTTTTTCTCAGTCGCTTTCATGCATTTCTCAGATCAGAATTGAAATTCTTGAAACTACTTGTTCAACCTCCACATCATCTATACACTTGTTCAAATCATAAAAGCAATTTCTCATTATTTTTGAACAAATTGTAAATGCTTTGACACTGATGCAAATGATTATGTACAATTGTCTGCTGTTTCCTGCATTACCAATTGCTTATGTCATGAAATGTCATGCCATCACAATGTATTATACCAGTCTCTGTAGCTGCCAAAACATCTAGGCTGAAGTTCATTGCATAAGTCACTACATGCAAAATGGTTGAACATGTTGTCAAAATCAAAGTTAAATAAAGTCAAACTTCATTGATATTCTTTGCATACAAGTATATAGCTGAATGAAATGTTGTTTCGTATGGACCATAAACAACGTAAGAATAGACAACAAATCACAACATACTACAATAGCAACACAGCCCTCAGACCATTCACCCGATACACACAATACCATACACAGTAAACAGTAGCAATACACAGTGAGGAGTGAATAGTGCAAATCGCCAGTGTGTGTGTATATGTGCTAACTTCAGCTGTGCTTGCAAAAAACATGCAGGATTCGAGACTGAACTTCGCCCTATATGTATATGTATGCATGCATGCATGTATATTTCTATATTACATTTCTAATTTTGTCATTTTTACTGTTGTGCTATGCAGTGCTGTCTTTTCCTTTTCTGTATCACAATGACATGCTCTGTCAACAAAGTACAGTATGAACAGTAAAAGCATAACTATGAATCCTGTCCAATCTCTGGCAATGTATAATTTTGTACTGGTAAAAGTGATATGTGCCATACAGAAAATGTGCAGCCTTGTGCATAATCATTGTCATCAAAACCTTAGCCAAAGTGTACATCAGAAAATACTTACAGAGGACACTGTTTATATTGGCAATATGGCTAAACATTTTGACTTGTTCTTGTTCGTAAACAATGACACAAGGACTTATAATTCTGATGGCACTGCCAATTTCACTGACCTAAATATTTACTTTTCTTCAAGAAATGCACTTACTGTTTTGCAAATGTCAAGGATGATTCGAGAAATGCAACAAAGCGACTGAGAAAAACTAATCCTGAACATTTATTTTTTTGGTGTATTTGGCAACGTAAGTGTGTTTTTGTAACTCTTATTCCATAGATCTTTGTGTGTTGTTATGAACGTCATGGGGCTGTGTTGCTATAGTCCACAACACACAATAACCCAAGAATGGTTAAATAAATAACAACTACAGCTCCAATATGTGTCCAGAATCACCCCCTTGTTTACTGATTCGCCACTCCACATGTAATAGTCACTCAGTAATTTACTCTGTATGTCGATTTTTGACATTTATTTATCATCATTATTTTGCGTCACTTAAAGGTGTTGAGTCTCGCAATGTTAATTTTCATGTCAATAAAGTACAACGTTTTGCACTGTGGGATTGTTAGTGAAAAACTATGTACATGCCATGGACATGCAAAACCTTAAAGGGAGCTGTGTTTTGTGAATGCTAGCAAAATAACCATTCCATGTTGAACTGACTGTGTTAAAATCCTACTAACAAGTACAATGGTGCCCTGCGATGGACTGGCGACTTGTCCAGGGTGTACCCCGCCTTTCGCCCGGTGTAAGCTGGGATTGGCTCCAGCCCCCCGCAACCCTGTACGCGGGATAAGCGGCTGACAATGGATGGATGGAAGTACAATGGTAGAAACTCTCTTAAATTAGAGTATGGACAGAATACATCAGTAATACATGAAACAGAAACTTGGACATGGTCTAAGGCAACTCCCACCCTTGGATCCATTATCCAACAGGTTTGAAATCCTGTTCAACCAATTATCCAATGACAATTGTTCACCTGCTTTAGGCTGTCAAAACAGCAGTGAATGACTAAACCCCTTTGACCTGTGAAACCTCATGAAGGTGTGACACAATAATTGGGTTTCCGCTAGATTATATTCAATGAAAAGTTCACATGTTGCAAGATAAGATTATGTGCTCTCTTAAAAGTCTGAGCGTCCCATGTAATAATGGGGATTTATACTGTACAGGGGAAGTGTGGAGAGAATGGGTCACACACTGAATGCCATCATTGATACTGCATAAAAATAGAAGTTTTGCTTTGCACCCCTACTGGCAATGCAGTGATAACAAATATATGTAAATGTCTCACCAAGAATATGCCATTAAAAAGACATTCTACAAGTATCTGCAGCTTGTCCGTCTTTTAGTTTTATTTCTACCACCACTGACCCATTGAACTACTTGACTCTGATGAAAACTTGGTCCCAAGTTCACTTTTTATATATATATATTTTTTTTTACCAGGAACTATAAATATGGGTATGTTGCCCATGGCTTATCTCTCATTATGAATATGTAAGAGTGTGCTTTTCACTGTTTGTTTTTGTGGCTAAAGCAATAACGCACACCAAACTGATGTGGTTCTGAATATAAATCAAGTCTCGCAATGGAAACAAATTAACCTTTCATTAGGCGTTTAGTTGGACTGATAATCAAACTTAGTGTTTGTTTTCAGATGCTGTTATGACTGATAATGGCCTGCTGGCAGGAATTTATGTTGAATGGTATATTCATACGTAAATAAATGCTTAAATTATAATGTGTTTGGAATGCAGATAACATTTCCGGGGAATGAAAAATGAATATTGTTTTTCCAATTTGTAAAGAGCATTTGGCAGTTTTAAACTTTAATGATGAAAAACCCTTGGGTATCAGTCTAATTCAAAAAAGATTCACCATAGCCCACACTGTGTTACAAATAAGTTTGTCTCATAAATGCAGTCTGAGTAATATGATTTTGATTTGGTAGCCCGAAGCTAATACTGCTGAGTTAAAATAATGACTAAACAAAAATGAATGGAATTATACAACAAACAAATAACTGCGATGGACCTTTTTGGGGCTGCAGATGAAAGAAAATTCTATAGATATTGAGAACCTAGATGTCAACAGTAACCATCTTTCTCACTTAATGCAGCTGCTAGTCTGGCCAGAGCAGTCTCCAGAGGGTGTTATCGTGGTAACCATCACCCCAGACTACCCCGGTTCACGCCACACAGGATTAGTCAGCGGACTCAAGAAATTCACCTGGTACTTCGGCTCCACCCTCTGCTTCACAACACCTGGAGACGGCCCACGCAGCCCGCCCACCCTGCTGCAGACACACGAGGACAGTGAGTACACACAAACACACGCACACACATTTCTATGTGAATAAAGCCAGAACACAAAGAACACACTTTCTGCCTCTCCTGTGAATAATGAGTGCTCTGCGTTCAGTCCAGCTGTTAGAAGGCAGTGTGACACACAGCTGTGTACACAATGTCTTTACACCAACATCCCGTGTTTCTCTCAAGCTCTTTCTCTCCTTTTTGGTCTTTTTGTTCCCCTCCACTTCCACTCTTTGATTTTTCCTCCGCCGTGTCTTTTTAAAGGAAATTGATTCATATGTTTTCAGGCATCCTGGTATTTATAGCCTACTGTTCCATGGATAAACATAATAGCTGCCACTCCCAGTTGAAAGTACACATGCACACAGTCGCACCGTCACACAATAGCCTATAGGCAGACAGACAAGCAATTATTACCAACCAGCAATTATCGAGTGGGAAAGGGATATTAGAAGCCATTTGTACACACACACAAACATACCCATGCACACACACACTCCCACACGTACACACAGATATTGATTGGGTGCTGGGCGTGTTGCAGGGTTAACAGTGGGTGTAATTCTTGCTTGATGATAGCTTTTTGCGTGTGTGTGAGGGTTATTGAATGTCTCAGATGAATAGCTTAATCGCTCTGCAGGGAGAGGGGTTAGAGAGCCATACATGAAATGAGAAACGACAGGCATTCGTGCACCTGACGTGTGTGGTGGTCAGTGCAGATGTGATTAGAAGGTGGTGTGTGAAGAAGGTCGGTAGGCAGAAGGTAATAGGCTGCATAGACAAGAGATGTGTGTGCTTGTGTGAAGGGATGAATTACTAAAATCTAACTTATTTCAAATTAAAGTTTCGGTTGAAGAAGTTAAAATAAAATTAATATTATCTTTCTTTCTTTCTTTCTTTCTTTCTTTCTGTCTTTTTTTTTTTCAGCACCTGGACGTGTTCGTCAACTGAGCTTCACTGAAATCTTGGACACGTCACTCAGAGTCAGCTGGACAGAGCCTGAAGACAAGAACGGCATTGTAACTGGTTAGAGCATTACAGCGCCGATGTATAAAATCTCTTCCAGTCACTCGTGATTTCCTTTACCACCTCCATCATCCCTCCATAATCAAAACATTTTCATTTTACCACTTTATTTTCAGTCCCATTAACAGTTGATGAGAGAAGTTAGTTCTTGTCAGAAAGTAAAACACACACTGGTTAGACATAATAAGCCCAGTGTTTCCAATTAAAATGTATTCTTCTCAGGTGGACAAATATTGTGTGTAGAATGACTAATTATAGTAAAAAAGTGAAAAGCATTCCCTTTGAGGAAAGCAGCAGTGAGTAAGGAGCTATACTTTCTTCAGTATTCTCCTTAGTCTTTTATTTTTTGTCTGGCTTTCACAGACTCTGACACTGTGTTTGTGTACAACTGATTCATCATCAGCTAATCCCTTCTCTCTGCAGCTTGTCTTCTCACATTATCTCAAACATGCCCTCATCCTCATCCCACATCTCCCATAACCCAGGGTGTTGTTTGTGTGGCACATCTCAGAGCTCAAGGCACCCCCCCCCCCCCAATTAATTTTGCCTCAGCTCGTTGATAGCTGTGTTAAACAGTGGTGTTGGTTAACACGACAAGTTGCTGGGAATTAAACAATCACACTACATTGAGCACATATGCATATGTATCCGTGTGTTGACGTGGCCACACCGTGTCTAACGTTGATCAGGCACCTACGCAGACCACAGTCTAACAGCACAAAGCTGCAGTGGCTTTACAGTCAGTTTGCACACTCAGAGGAGTGAGAAAATGATTATTCAATCAAGGTCACCTTGCACATTTACTCTTTTCACCTCAACCTGCTTTTCATCCAGCACCTGGTGAGCAGGGAGACAGATGAGGGACCATTCACTCTCTCCAGGGCTTTACACACAAGTGGCCTGACACTCTCTCACACACACACAGGTTTGAAGGTGGTGGAGGGTAATGCATGACTGTGAAGATGCAAAGGGACAGACAGGGATTTTAACTGTAGTTACCCCTCCCGCATTCTTTTAGTCCTTTTTGGCTCTGTACCTGTCATTAGGTGTAACTATGTGTGCTTGTGTATTGTGTGTGTGTGTGTGCAGACATGTCTGCTCATGTCTATGTGCACCTTTATTAACCCAGCGTGTGCTCCACGCCCCTCAGGCTACGTGTTGTGGTGGGAAGTGTCTGGCGTAGAGTCGAGTCGTGAGGAACGTTCACTGTCCAACTCCACCCTGCAGTACCAGCTGACCGGCCTCACCTCCACCACCATGTACACACTACAGGTGGCAGCACTCACCGCCGCAGGACGGGGCGTGGTCACATCCTCCACCATCTCCACTGGAGTCCCACCAGGTAAAGTAAATACACACACATACACAAGCTCAGGAGTCTGTGACAGTGGATGTTTAAGAATATGCACACATGCATTGATCTAAAATAAGAGCAAATACACAGAGATTTTGGCGTGTGTGTGTGTGGCAGAGTAAATATGACTGATGAGCTCTCACGATGCCATTGTCTTTCCTCAGGCTGATAAGTGGCTGTTACTGTGCATCCATGAATCATCACCCACACAACCAACACACACATTTTTCCCTTCACAGTCACACACAAGAGTTAGTCATTTACAGCATCTCAGAGAGAGCTTTAGTGTGTGGTTTATTTGCGAGGATGTGTGCACACCACACTCATGCGCATGATGAGTTTGTATGATTGGACTCAGGCCAAGTTGCAATCATTATTAGTGCTGATTAACTGCAAATGGAGAAGTGGAGGGAATGCAGCAACGAGAGGGCAAGAGACAATCAAAGAACAAGACTGAAGAAGGGAGAGCAGATAGAGAAACATAATGAGGGAAGAACAGAGAACACTAAAAATGCAATCTCCGAAAGAACAGAAGACCAGAGTCTCTCAGAAATGGACGGCAATGCAGAGAAAAGTGGAGGAGAATGAAAGAAAAACCCAGCTCGTACAGCAGGATTTTTGTCCTAACATTTTCTGATTACTAATTTATGAATAAAAGCAGAAAAAGTAAAAGCAAGATGGATACAGACAGTTCTTAGATTCAAAGGTTATTCATTAATTCATGAAAGCAAAAGACTGAAGGAAAGACGGAGGACTGAAGATTAAGAAAAAGAACTAAAGAATGAGCAGAAAGAGAGAAAGAGAGAGATCCATCGAGCATAGATTCTTGTCTTGTTTATTTATTCATGTATTCATGGAGTTGAGAGAATTTTGTCATTCATCTGAGCAAGCCAGCTGATATCAACATTTCCACATTATAAACCATACAAGTTTGCTGCATGCGCTTACAGAGCAATGGTGGCTGATAGCTATAATTTGTTTTTGTTGCACCCATGTACCTTGCTGTATTCAGAAAATAAATATTGCCTTGTTTCCATAATAACTGGACTCAGTCATGTTATATAGTCATTTTACAATAGAAATCCCCTCAATTATTTATTTATTGTTTCTGATGTGTCAGTGTACTGATGTGTTACAACACAAGGCTTTACACATCTGTATTCTGCCATGTTCAGCAAATATGATGCTTGTGATGCTGCAGCAGAATTGGATGCATTACAGCAGATCACACCGGAGCACTTTCACCATCCAGGGATACCAAGTATAATACAAACACAGTGAAGAGAAGTGGCTGAGAAGTGGGTCTGAAGTGCTAGGTCTTGTTGTGATTGAATGAGACAATTTTGAGGAAAGTGGATTGTGATGATTTCTGATTATGTAAATGTCATTAACAGAAACAATCTGCTGTATGGTTCATTCATTAGGACCTGATTTAAACAACAACAACAACAACAATGGAAAAAACAGTCTCTATAGGGGTTGTGAAATGTGCTGCCTGCCTGACCCATGCCAATTCACTTCAACAGAAGTCTATTCAGAGCCAGCTATAAATTGTGTGTGGCATTTGAAAAGTGGAGTTGTAAACCTTTCATTGGAATATTTAGTTGTGGTTGAAGTGTGCATACAAAATATATTATTATTCCTCTTTGATTTATTCCAGCTTAAAAAAAACCCTCACCACCAGGAAAATAATAATAGTCTTCCGGTTGCTTGTTGTTGACCAAATTAAGTGCAGCTCTCAGCTTGAATGTGACAGATGCAACTATTCAAACTTTTAGTTAATGGTGTATGCAGCACATGCCAAGGAACACACTTGGGCTGTATCAATGATGCTATTGTCAGAGAATTTTCTTTGTACTGTAAGCTGAATTAGTTGATTTCCAATTGTTTCTTCCTCCAATTATTGATACTATCCCATTTGTACCATTTGTCAGTTGTGGAATACAGTTACTGTCTAATTATTTTTCCTGAACAAGCTATCCCACAAAAAAAGCTTCTTAAAAGTTTCTATATTTTAGTCATATATTATTTGTGGAAGGAAGGAAACTGCAAGATACAAACATATATTAGACTTAAAATATGAATATACTGTCTGTCAGCTACATTTTGTCGGCTCTGCATGGATATGTTTGGATTTTGGACAAAGTGATCAGATACATACTAATTGATCAGTCAGACTGTAAGTATCATTGTTAGTCTAAGAATGGGTAAGACATAATTTATGAGGCTTGCATCTTACTCAGACATTTATAGGTCTTGAATGGACTTCAGTGAACTGTGCATTTAATTCACATTTCGCCTCCACTGGTCCACAGATTTATCTCTCTGTATTGTATTGTCGACCTTGGAAAATATGAATTAAATTGCTCTCACAGAGAGAAATATACAGCTGTAGCATGAATGCCTTTGGTTTATTAAAATTAACATTTTTTTTCTTTGACCAATCTTTTATTTTCCTTTTTTATGACCAAGCATCATGGACACATAAAAAAGGACTGGAGGCTACTTCTTGGCTCACTCCTACTTATAGCCTTTTTGTGCTGAACTTCATATTAGCAACATGGTTTTCTTCTTTTTATCTTTCTATTATCAGTGCTACTGCAAGTGTATTAGAGATAAGCCATGTTACAGTTCTGACCACATTTCTTCAGTTTTTGCATTGTACAAATTTTCATCCCTTCATGGAATAGTCTTTACAAAAACAGTATTTGTCTTGTTCATTTCTTTTGATCTATCCCTTTGAAATAATTTGCCATGCTGTGATGCTACGGTCCTTTATTGCTTGAACAAAACACTAATTTTTGCAAATAAATGCTTACTGCATCTGGTTGCTGGAGCAGCATTTCAAAGAATTTGTAACTCACTATTGAAACATCACAAATGCAGTACACAGACAACTTTTCTTTTCATAAATAACATAACTCTGCAACAACCACCGCAGGATCTGGTCGATAAATATTTTGTAAGAATACATGAAATGAAGTGACCTTCCACTATTAGCTGCATGATAGCATCATTAATTCTTTGTAGCATTGAGTAAAATACTATTCTATCTGTTTTCTACCTGCAGAACTTCCTGGTGCACCATCAAACTTAGTCATCTCCAACATCAGCCCTCGGACAGCAACACTTAGGTTCCGCCCTGGTCTGGATGGCAAGACCGCCATATCTCGATGGATAGTAGAAGGCCAGGTGCGTGTGTCTGAGTTGATGCACATGTACTTTTGTGGTCCCTGCTCATTCTTAAACAAGGCAGGGAGAAAACTGTTTTGGAACATACAATATCTGTCTTTAACAGGTGGTGAAGGATGGAAAAGATGAGGCATGGCGAGTCGTCCTCCAGAAAAACAACCAGCCAGATGCAGACACACTGGAGATCCCCAACCTCACACCGTTCACCCAGTACAGGTGAGCAGAAAACACACACACAGCCTACACAAGAACATAGTCAAGTGCTACCACATACACACACACACACACACACACACACACACACACACAAACTCACTCACACACATCTCACTCTCCGCCAGTTTCTGCAGTATCGCAAGACTCAGGTGAAGTTAGATAAATCACACAGACACACAGAGAGACAGTTCCATCTTAGACTTTTCTGTTTGTCAGCAACTTCACAGCTGCTGCATGCAGATCCTTATTACGCTCCTGCAACTAGCTAGAGGGAAAGAGAGGGGAGTTGGGGGGAAGAGGGAAGAGGACAGGGGAGAATAAAGGTGATGAGAAAGCGGGAAGGGCAGCAGAGAGTATTAAAGGGGAGAAAAGACAAAGGGATAATAGACAAGGAGAACAGGAAACAGATGAGAGAGGAGTGTTTGTAATCCCTACTCAAGGAGAACCTGCGGTTCATAAACGTGATCTGATGTCACTCTGAACAGCAGCAACTCTCCCTCCGCTTTCTCTCTCCCTCTCTCTTTATCTCTCTCTCTATCTGTTGTATTTATCAGTCTATTTGTCTATCTCTGCATCTTGCTCTCTGTATCTCTGCCTTCATCTGTAATGGGACTGCAGTGTGTGTGCACACATTGCACACTCACAGGGATTATGTTGTCACAGGCGACACCATTGGGACATTAGATGAAGTGATGCACTTGTCTGTGTTTCTTATCCCCCCGCTTTAAGCCTCCCTTTACACCCTGCTCTCTATCTCCCTATACGGGGACGAGAGCTCACAGATGTAGTCTCTCACCCGCACTCTGCACGCTCACACATTTTATCACTCGCACCCACACTGAAGCATGGCTGCCTTTAGAAGTAACAGAAGAAACAAATGCTCCCTCATGGCTGCATGTATGTACGTGTGTCAACAGGTCAGATCTCCTTTTCTGACTGAGTGTTTGGCAGTAAACATTATATACTTGTTTTCACAGGCTGAGTAGCACTTCACATGACAAATAAACTAAACTTGTAGTTGTAAAATCAGTGGAGTGTCCCTGTAACTGTGCTCTGTGTTCTCACCAGGTTCAGGATGCAGCAGGTGAACATTGTCGGCGCCAGTCCCATGAGCGCCCCCTCCAGGCTGATTCAAACCCTACAGGACGCCCCTGACACACACCCCTCTAACCTCACTCTGCAGTCTGCCACACAGACCAGCCTGTGCTTCAACTGGAAGGTACTGAAACACACATACACACAGATACACACTTAGCTCTGTAGCACATGAAAACCTTACCCTGACCCTTTACAGTCATTCCTAATTTGACTGAAAGAGATTTTTTTTTTCTTTGTGTTTCTGCATCTCTGTGTATTTGTTCTTATTTTTATATCTGTGCATGTGTGCATATGCGCGTGCGTGTGCACTCACCAATAGCAGGCCTGAACAGGTTGAGTGGTTGACAGCCTATAATCAGTGTCTCTCCTTGTTATCAGTGCTAACACTAATCTGTCACATTTCCCATTCACCGTGCAGACCGCGATGTAATTTTCTCCTTACTGTCTTTTCTTTTTTGCTCTTGTTCCTGCTCTCCGTCTTTCCCTGCCTCTCTCTTTTACTCCCCCTACCTTCTTCTATTATAACATAAATGGAGAGCAGAGTATTTTCCATTTAAGAGTTGGAATGAGACAAAGAGCCTGTCAAATCAGACACAGACACTGAGGCGCTATGGGCTACCTGTGCAGCATGCTAATGGGATTTCACCTGCATGTTAGCGCCCAGCCTGAGCTATGCTAGGTTTTCTGCTGTAATGGAACCATCACAATGGTTTTAGCTAAGGCTATTATTCTAAGCTGCATATTAAGGGTAATAAAGCTAATGTGACATTTTGTATTATGGCTCCTAAATGCTAAGCTGAGCTGAATCACTCGGGTATTTAAAACAGCTGGGTGTCTCTCTTCTTATCTGCTGCACAGCACAGAGCAACCACTGTACAATGTTGGTTAAAATCTTCTGTGGAATGACATACTAAGAGCAAACTGAACTTCTTACTTGATTTTACGGAACAGAATACTATAGGTGGCTGTAGCTGTAATGCATAATGACATGGTAATTCACAGGCAGTAGAGAGGATGAGGTGACAGAGAAAAAGGGTAGACAGGAACAGGAGGGAGGGTGACAGGAAATGAGAGAAGAAGCGGGTAAAGGTGATGACAGTGTGAATAAAACAGGGAAAGGAGGGTGTTGAAGAGAGAAAGATCAGAAGATGGGATGTCAAAGGGGAGAAGACAGTAAAAAGGTTTTAGGATGTACTTTAGAGTTTGACACTGCCACATAAATAACCATATTCTTTAGAGCTTTTTCACTTGTGAGTGTGTGTTTGCGTGCATTTGTTTATAACATATTATGGGGACCTTAACTTGATATTCCACTTGTGTTGTCTGGACCCAACTCCATTCTGGGTCATAGCGGCTTTAACTTTTGTTTAAGAAGGGTTTAAATGCCCTTAAATATCTATTTTCTCTATCAGCTCATTACTATGAGTGATGTGGTCCTACATGATCTCACAATTTTCTGCCAAATTCACACGAAACATTTATATATTTTGTTTTTGTCCTTGCTTTTTGCACTGAAGTGGGCGGGACTCTGGAAAAAGGTGGTGTCACATATTTGTGGGATCCAATCAACAACACTCAACATGTGATGACAGTTGGGTGGGTTGTTTGCTTTTGTTGCCTGGCTGCTTTCAATCAAATCTGATCAAACCACACCCATGTCAAGTTTTTGAGTAATCAGTTCATAACAAATAATTTTTCAGAACTTTAACTGGGAATACAGGTTTTTGTTCTTGTTCTTAGGGGTATGTATGCGTATGAGAGGATCTGTCTGAGCACGGTCCAATCTTTGTGCATATGTGTGTGCATGTGCATGTATCTGATGCATATAATATCATTGTGCTGTATGTGTGTTTTTGTTGTTGTGTGTGCGTTGTATTATGAGTCCTCCTCTAAGGACCTAAAGTCATATTAAATTCAGGCCATCTCTTCATGTTGGTTATGAGGAACTGTTTCATGTTGTTTCATAGAGCAACAAGGTTCTGTGTGTTAACTAAATTATCATTTTATTAGTCACACTTTTACCAAAATTGGTTTCTCGTTCAATCAATCTTTCTGCTCTTTCTCTATATGGATAGTTCTTCTTCCATTAATCAGAGTCAGAGATAAGTAATTTCACCAAGTGCAGTGATGGCACAGGGTGGCTAAGTGCTGACACATTATAAGATACTTGGCCAGTGTGCCAGATACTGTGCATCATTTATTAGGCTATTGTGGAATAAAGTGCACAATAAAAAAAAAATTGGTTTTGGAAATTATCGTAGCATATATATAGCAGATATCATCTAAGCAGATATGTTTACTTTTAGTCATATGTTGTATTTTTTAAAACATGTATAAGCCATGCAAAGCTTATTTGTGTCATTTTTTCTACAGCCACATGTGTGCATGTAAAACAAGAATAATATTTGGCAAGACACCTCTATAATTTGCTGTTTTTTCTCTCTTCTCTCGCTCTTTGTTACCCTCCAGCCTCTTCCAGAGTCCGAGTACAACAGCAGTCCAGAGACTGTGGGATACAGGCTGCGTGTGTGGAGGACAGACGGCCAGGGGGATGACAGGACTGAGGATGTGGAAGGAGCAGGAGGGACCAGTGAGGCCACAATAGAGGGCTTGAATCCCTGGACCCAGTACCAGGTTCAGATACAAGCCTACAACTCCATAGGACCTGGACCATGGAGCAGCACTGTTGCTGCACACACTGCAGAATCTGGTACAAACACAGACCTCATTCACTCCTGTTGGCAATTGTCCAACAGAGCTGTCAGGCCAATAATTTTTTTGGTATTATTTTGTTTTTGTTGTTGTTTTTTGCCTTAAGTGTAACTGAAATCCCAAAATGGGATTTATGTTATCCACCAACTAAATCGTATTTCTAGGAAATCCATGACAATTGTTTTTGTGGTTTTGTTGAGTAGGGCTGCTTAACGGTGCAACAAACTTCCATTGTGATTTTGAAGTTTATTTCTGCCATACTTATTACCAAAATAACACCTCTTAAAATTACATTTGGGACAGAATAGAAAATCTGTCGCTGATTTCAGTAAAGTTGGCAAGAAACTTGGTTAACAGGCAGGTGGAGCCGTTTTACTTGGTACATATGTTTCAACAAATCAGGGGAAAAGCCCTTGCCCTAGCAAGTGCTAGCGAGCTAGCTGTTGGCTAACTTAACCCTTTTGTTAAAGGCATACAGACATTAGGCTTTTGTTGATAAGAAAGGCATGTTTGCGTTCCCACAGGAATTGGTAAGTGTTTAATTTATTATCTGACCTGGCTGGTCACATTTTGTTGCTCTGATCGGTTGAAGACGAAATAATCTTGTGTCACAGCCCTATTGAACAGTGTGATGTTGCAGCAGTTCAGGGGACATGTAGTCCCATCCAGGATGTCTAATTCACCTTCTTCACCTTCTTCTATCACATAGTCTCAGATCATGGATTTGACCTTTGGTGAGATCAACGCAGTTATGCTGATGTTGAATTTGTTACACAAACATTTTTGATCAGTGTTGTCTGAGCAAGAATATTACAGTAGGTGTAATGTGGATGAAAATATAAGGCCAGATGTAAGCAATAGGGCTGAACGATTAATCGTTTTCAAATCGAAATTGCGATTGGAAAGAACACGATTAGCTAATCGTGCAGACGGTGATTAAATTGTAGGTTAATCATGCTGCAAATTCATTCCGTTGTCATCCTTGTGTGACAGACCTGTGCTAACCAATCACAGGTGCCATACGCCTCCTGTTACTGTCCTACTCACCAATCAGAGCGGGCACAGGGCGTAACTGTACATTGTACAACAACAAACGAAACTAGAGGAAAACCTGTGGGATAATAGCATCAGGCGAACCGACACAGGCAGCGGCTGTGCCGCGGTTTTGTTCGGCGTCTGTTGTTCGGTGTTCACACTGAAGTGTTTCAGCAGCTGAGCGTTTAGCCTTCCCTGCGATGTTGTTAATTTGTCCTTTTTTGGGCTTCAACTACGGTTAACAGCTCTCAGTGAGCTCGTTTAAGGATTATTATTTCGTTCCACTCTGTGCAAGCTACACATCCCACATGGAGCATTTCAGAATAAGAGCGTTTTGCCTGCCTGATTTTTGTGACTGGTTCTGATTTTGTTAATTTGTTCAGTTGTCCTTGCTTTTTGTGCTTCTACTATGGTTAAGTAGGCTATGTAGTTAAATTGTTTCTTTTTTGTCTGTTTTAACTGTGTTTAATGTTGATAGACGACCAGTGGCCTGTAGGCCTACTACGAAGCGGGGTAACTGGCTTATCCAGGTAACTTCAGAAGTAACTTTGTGACGTCGGGTGTAACTTCCTGATTAACCCGCACTACGAAAGATGGATAGGTGTTAACCGAGGTCTGTTGCCATGGCAATTTATGCTGCATCTCTAAACTGCTCCGAGCAGGTTTTGTTCGTGGTTATCTCAAGGTTACCCTTCACTTGGATACACACCACATCTGTACTGATGAGAAGTAGGATATTATTACACACCACTTTATAATGTATTTAGATTTCATCCTGATTTGTTCCACTGCGGTTGCAATGAAGTTGCTGAACACAACAGCATTACGTTCAGACAGCGAGCCCTGTAGCCTGTGATTTTAGAGATGAAATCTTAATTAATTAACGGAACAGTTTCTTAGATTTAGCGCAACTGTAGTCTATAATTGAATTCTCCTAAGTGTTTTCACACATTTAGATTGACTATTTTGCGTGTCCAAAAAATAGGGAGCCAGGGTGAGGATTAGCCTAATAATCGAGAAAAAGATCCTTGTTGAAAGTGTGAAATTTACAAGAAGAAAAATCGGAAATTCCCTAAAATTCAATCAAATCAATCAAATGTCATAAAAATAATCCAAAATCACTCTGTTTTCTTCTGAATACGCCCAATCCAAGGCAAAGTCTCTAAAGTGCATGGTAGTGATTGTGGGCTAAACTCATGAGTAATTCCTCACTGCTAAATCCAACTGCAAAAGTTTAATATTACTTTCCAATGCATGCTACTACACAGCAGAGGTGTGTGTGTGATGTTGCAGCCTTGCAAAGTGAAGTTTCTCTCATAAATGTGTGACTATAACATCAGAGAATATTCAAGTTTTTACATGTAAATTAATCTTGGAAATTAAATTTTCTCTCGGATTATTAGTAGGCTACCTCTCTCCGCTGGCTTAAACTACAGTAAGAACCCTGTGAAGATAATTCATTTACTCAATGTGATGCCTTTGTCGTCCGCCACGGTATTAGATTTAGCCGTTAACTTGTCTTTACATTGATAATTTCCTGACACTTCCAACGTGCATTCCTCTGGAGAAATACGGAGCATGCGCCGTTGTAAAAAAAACTCTGCCTGCATTGCCGAACACACCCTTATATGCAAACGCGTATAACTCCAGTGTAGGCGGTCAGAGTTTGTGAACCCTGACTTTGCCTGATAACCCTGAGTTAACTCTGAGTAGGTTGAACTTCCGTCTTAGTACAGGCCACAGGAGTCTGCATAATTTGTTTTATTTTGAAAATTGACTGGATTCTCTCCATTGTTCTGTGTTCTGACTTCCTGCCCAGTTCATGTGCTGCTTGTCACGGCTTCCGTCAAAAATAGACTGGCAATGAAAATTTAACTTTTAAAAAATAATAATCGCAAATCTAATAGTAATCGCAATATCTGGCAGAAAAAACGCAATTAGATTTTTTTCCCCAAATCGTACAGCCGTAAAGTAAATGGAATATATTCTGTTCAGTGATAAATGACTGCAGGCGTGTTTTTTCTATTTGCTGCTTGCCTGCTTACTTTATGAAGATTTTTTTTGTTACACCATTTTCTTGCAGAAATGTATAACAATAGTGGGATTTTGTTGATTGAATCATTATTTTCTCAAAATTGTGGGTCACATCTTTAAAGTCAGCCAGCACAGTTTGTCGTTATCTTTAGATCTATGTTTTATGACCTCATTGGATTTTTAAGAACTTCAGCCTTACTTTATTTATGTATAATTAAATAATGTGGTACTAACACTAGAAAGATTCAATATAATTGGATTCAGGGGGATATTTCTCTAGGGGAGTGTCATTGATTTTGATATCACATGCAGTGAATTTAATCCTGACACATAGATGTCAAATTAAAGAAAAAACAACATGAAGTGTCTTAGTATGGAGTCACAAGCCTCCTTGCCAAGTCTATGGAGCTCTACTGGAGGGATTAATACCGTTCCTCCACAAGATATTCCCTCATTTATTTATACAAACTTTATTTTATCAGGTTATCTCATTGAGATGAAGATCTCTTTTAGGGTTAGTTGTAGGGTTTGGGTTAGAAAGAAAAACAAACATAGCTAGACATAACAAAAGAACATACAGTATCAGCTGATAGCATCAGATGTGAAACTGGGTTCTGCACATTACAGAAAACACATTTAACACATTTAATCTGTTATTGCTTTCATTACAATTGTTTAAAAGTTTCGTCTAACCAAGATTGAACACACTGCCGTAATGAAAAAAGTTTTAGTCTGACTTTCTGCTGTAGTGGCATAATATTCATTTAATTCATGCGAAATTGAAGTGGATGTGATTTATTTTCAGAATATTTGTGTCACAGGGTTAAAAACAATATGGTAATAAAATAAATAATGACGTCAAGAAAGACTTTGTATCTTTTCATATTGCTTTCACTGCAGGCCATGAAGGTCCCCTCTTTGCTAGGTAGACAAACGGCAGGGTTTCAAGTCCCCTCTTGGCAATTTGTTTTTTCAAAATGAGTAGAAATAGTCATCTATTCTTGGTTGGTGTTGAATGATCCCCAGTTGGTAATGAAAATAATGAAGGAGTGTGTGTGTGTGTGTTCTCTAGTTCCATCTGGATCTCCAGTGAATGTGACTGCTGAGGCTGTGAGTTCCACCAGGATCCTGCTCACATGGTCTGCTCTCCCTCTGGCACAGAAGAACGGAGTCATTCTGGGATATAAGGTTTATAAAACACACACACACACACACACACACACACACACACACAATCCTACCCTGGAAATCTCACTTGACCCCCTTAGCCCATTTTATCACTTCCTCCAACAACTTCACATACTCACACACACAGAGATGCACAGACACACAACAAAAATCTAATGTAAGATGATTATGACGCAATATCCTGTAACTGCTCTAGTTTGTTCTTCCTACACGCAGCTACTGTAAGTATGTGTGTAATTGTGCACATGCATATGAGAGAGGCTTTAATGTTTAATACCCTTTTGATAAAAAAGCTTGTATCATGTTGTAGTAGAAACAATGGCTGGATTATTCACTTGTGAAAAATGGAAACTAATCCATAATGCCTCTTGGTTTTGAAAACTACTTTGTTTATTTGAAATTTAAAGCATAAACCGCAGTTTAAGCAAGAGATGGTGATTTGTTGAGAATACATGCAGAATGTGGATTTGCTTAGCATTAGTATTTAAGTCCAAACTTGCGATGCACTTAAGCAACATAGCCTACAGTCTCTCCACGTCTGCCAAATAGGAGCTCATCCTTTCCTTGTGTTTTGAAACTAAGTTAGAGGAGTCTGTCTTGCTGGAACCCTCCGATGGTGAAGTTGTTGACATACTCTCATGTGCAGGTTTCTAAGGAAAAAATGGATAAATACTGTTGATGGTAAAGTGCAAAGTGCACTCATTCTTGAGTGCACCACTTACTGGCAGTCACATCTCTCGTTTCACACTCAAGGTGGTTCTACCTGCTTTTTGTGCACTCCCACGCATACCCTCCAGGGGTTTATTATAATGTACTGCACTTCTTGTTTGATTTTCAAATAAAGAAAAGACACGTACCAGTTTGTCTGTATTTTTTGCAATATTGCCTTTCTTGTTCAGTGGCATGTACTATATGTGGCAACCCTCAGCATCCTTAGAAAGAAAATTTTACAGAGAAAGAACATGAGAAATATATTTGCTAATTTAAAAGCAGCTTTGAATACAGCACTTAATCACCACCTAAAAAAACTAGCAGAAGAAAGCTTTAAAAGGGAGGACATTTATCCTCAATTGTGTAGGCATGGTTGTATTATAAATACATACATCTACAGAAGAAAACAGGCTGTGACTGTGTGATATAAACCAGCCCCATCCAGTGTTTTGTGGTGTAAAATTCAGGTCATGTTATCCACCATGCCCAAAGCACATCACACCCCCCATCTGTGTGTTTTTTGTGCCCTCCTGAGGTTCACACTGGGCTATATGCCTACCATGTTAATAGATAGGAAGTGGCTGCCAGCAGCAGCTCTTCAACACCTTTTATCCCCAAGTAGATGTCAAATAGTTCTCCTGCCTCCTGCCACGCACTCCTCCTGACTATTTCTGTTTTTAGACACTTATTAAGAGCTGACATTTTCATTCATAATGGTTTTAAGTGTAGCGTGCAGTTCATGAACATGGCAAAATGGAAAGAAAACAACACATAAAGAGCAGTTTATACCTACATACTCCTGTTGCCAATGAAAGTGCATTGTGTTCTAATTTGTTTTGTTTTTTAGATGGTGTAGTTTTAATTTCAGAATCAGTTTCATTTTAAGGATGGGTCTGGTGATATTCTACATTTTTCTCATTGTCAACAAATCAACAAAAACGAAAACACCAAAACTAACAGGTATTTCTACTGAATACAAAACCTGATATAGCCTATTCTTCTCTGCCACAGACCTCCATTGTTGTAAAATAAAAACAAAACACATCAGTAAGCCACACCATTACGTTGGCTGACATGTACGTTTATGATACAGTATCTTGTGGCACATGTGTGATTCTGGACTATATGAAATATAGCAATGGCAGTAGGGGGCCGATGGGGCAGTTTATAAGACACATGCCTCTGGTCGGGGAGACACGTGTACAATTCCCACTGCAACATCCACCAATGTGTCCCTGAGCAAGACACTCCAGAGGCGTGCAACCTCTGACACATGTAGCAATTTTAAGTCACTTTGAATAAAAGCATCAGCTAAATGACTAATTAAATGAAATTGACTTGACTATGAAAAACGTTGCTCTGTATTTTCTGTCTGTTCACGCTGCTTAAAAATATAACTTTGCTTCTTTTAAAAATGAAACTGTATATTTGTGATCAGTTTTTTAACTTAAATAACTGATTTTTGCGCCTCTTGGGGGCAGCCGAAATAAGTTATGAACACTACACTAACATATTATCACTGTTTAAAGTTTTTTGAGAACAGTTGCTAGCTGTGGTATTAAACAACGCTATGAGTGGTGACAGTGAACCAAAACAGTAAAGACGCTTCCTGGACAGCTAAACAATGAGCTGAAAGTTGCAATAAAAACCTTTCACACACAAGTGGACCTGTGATCTATTGTTAATATTAAAATAATGATTATAGCAGTTTTAAAGATTTAAATCTGAGGTATGAAGGAACAGGCTTGGGACTTGAGACAGGTTGCAATGAAAGTACTGAGAGAGTTGGTTTTGGTCTTTTAATGGCTTTTGATGACAATCACAAAAACATCACAAACCTGATCCTTTAACATCACCAAAGCTTCTGTAAATGAAGGGAAAAAAGTGCAGGATGTAATGTTTGTTAAATCTATATCTATATTTGTGATTACGATCACGTGTGACCTGTATGCCTGTTTCTGTGTGTCTGTGTCCAGGTGTTGTACAGCGAGAAGGAATCAGAAGGTCCCCCCAGTGTTCAGCTGGCAGAAGGAGAGGGGAGTGTGTCGCTTCTCCTCGGGGTTCTCCAAAAATACACGGTGTACGTGCTGCAGGTGCTGGCTTACACACGGTTGGGTGACGGTCCACCCAGCAACCCCATACTGCTCAGAACCAAAGAAGATGGTAGGATCTCTCTCTCTCTCTCTCTCTCTCTCTCTCTCTCTCTCTGTCTGGTCACTGACCTTTCTGTCCAGCAGTTTGTTCAACACGTTTGCCTTCTTCTCACCTCTGTGGCTGTTTTTCACCTCTTTACACCTCTACAGTCAGCACAGCCAGCAGCCTCTTTCCCTACTTCACTGATCATCCACTGGGTTCACCTCACCCCTCAGACCCCTCCACAGCCCAGACATGGAGAGCACATTGCCGTAGTGTGTTCCATGTGTGCGGATCTCTTCCGATGCTACCGTGGAAAATTTTTCAGTATGCCAGGAACCCGGCCTGGTCTTTTTGAATAATAAAACACAAGCAAGCACACACAAACAATCTCAAAAATACACACCCAGAAAGACTCACACACATACACACACCCTCATCCTCTGTCAAATAGTGTCACGTTTGAAAAGTTTTTCTCATTTCATGAAATGAAACAAGAACGGGGAAGTCAATTCCTGGCAATGTATAATGAACCTCCATCCTGTCTGTCAGTCATACGCATACTGTACACACACATAAATGCTTACTCACGTTAGCATGTATTTGGTGATGTGGAACATGTACTTTCATCAGGAACAAAGACATTTACCAAAGAAAATTACATTTTCTATTTTGTCTCTTGTAGAAGTGCCTCTTCAAAATGTATAAGACGCTCACTCTATATACAGTTTCTGTGTGTGGGGAGAGCATATGCACATACATCTGTGAGCCTTGGTACCATCACACCAACTTATTAGAATATTAGAAATTAAAAAGTGTTTGATGTTAAGATACTGTCTTTCTCACTACAGTGTTGGGGATTCCTTTTGTGCTTCTTTCTGCTGCTCTTTGTATATATTATCAGTTTTATTCTGCTGCCAACTCCCTTCTCTATTTGTCTCTCCAGTCCCAGGCCCCCCTGTCAGGATGGTGTTTCCAGAAGTTCGATTGTCATCAGTTAGGGTGGTTTGGCAGCCACCCACAAACCCCAATGGCATCATATTAGGTACAAAAACAAGCACACACATATGAGAAAGCAGATATTTTAAAGCAACGTTGAAATCATAATCCAGTGTTTTACACTTGTTGTGACAACAGATTTATTTTCAATTGCTGAAAGACAGAGCTCGCCTTATAGAGGGAATGAGTTAGCAGTTTTGAACACACACACACCGCTGTGGTCTTTCAAGGGAAAGAAGGAAGTAAAAGCCGTAAAATGAAAAAGAGCTGATTCTGTTTTTAGCTTTCAAACAAGGGTCAGCTCTCTATTCTCCACTTCAGTGCCAATTTGTTGGTGTTTATGTACGTGTATAAATGTGTGTGTGAGGGGCGGGAAAGGGGCTATTATATCTGCTGAAGCAAGACACCTTTTCTAATGCATACATAGCCTCATATACAAACGCACTGAGATTCACACATATCACTTGTTTCTGAAACTGCAAGCAAATAGCAGTGCGCGGCGTGAATCAGAAAGAACACATTAATGAAGAGAAAGAGAGGCAAGAGGAATGTGAGAGCAGCTGAGCTGGAAACAGAGAACAGAAGGGGAGAGATGGCAAAGAGGAGATGTATGGAGGTGAGAAGAGGGACAGGTGTGTCTCTGTGTGTGTGCGTGTGTCTGTGCCTTGCACAGGGGGGAGAAAGGAGTAGTGTTTGTCCTCGGGAGTTGAGCCGGACAGTGTGAGTGATGTGTGACTATATTGTAAGGGGAAGGACATTTAGCGCGACACCAGTCTGTGACAGAAGGATGAGTGGGAGGGCAAATCTCTCTCTCTAGATCAAACAGACACACACAAACACGCAGTCCTGCTGTGTCCTTGCTTAGTACGTGGTGTGTGTGGAGACTGTGTGTGTTTATGCAGACACAAATAACTGCTCTAACAGTGTTCCTTTAGTGCTCATGACTGCCTCATTTCTCCTTGGGTTCACAACCCATAGGGGACTGACACAGAAGGTGGACAGAAGAGAAACAAGACCGCAGAAGGTGCATTATGTAATTTGGCACAAGGCTGTAAGGCATTTGTGTTTTCACATAAACTTTCGATGAATATAATATAGCCACACACACGCATCCCAGTGGCAAATACATGCTGCATCCCAATTCCATACTAATTGTAATCATGTTTTGAGTATGAAGTGTGTCAAGAAAAAGCTACTCAAACAAGTCAGTATGAAGACTGCTTGAATTAAACATGTCTATATACTATGTGCAAAAATAATATACTATAAAATACTGTATTAGTTGTACATGCTGGTTGGAAAAACTACAATGATGGCGGTGGCGCTGGCTTATAGAACATCTGTTGTGGTGTCTATACTCAAACACAGAAATCCATAAGTCGTTCTAACAATTTATTAGTTTGAAAATTTAGTCAGGGGTGGATGGATGATTGTTGAACATTAAGAAAATATCACAAATTAGAACAGTAGCAGTAAACACAGGTGTAAATTAGTAAAGCAAATCAAGTCATCATTATTCTCATTTAGTTCAATTAATTCATTCATAATCTCAGCATTAAGTACGTCTTGCAGCTTACTAACATAACATCTAATATAAATGCAATACAAAACAAACCATTAAACACTTAACCATGAAATATTAATCAAATTAATTACGATTGTAATTTTGATTAACAGGCATAGTCTTTTTGTTCGGTATTCAGTCGTGGTTTAGAGGAGAAAAGCCTAACAAGCCTGTGGTGAACATTATAGTAAAACTAAGCTTGTGTCAGTGTGTAAAACCTAGACCTAGGACCTAGAGTCACAATACATACTGCTGCAGTTTTACTCACAAGCTTGGAGCTCTAAAGTACTTTATTGTACAGTCGTAGTACTGATAATATAAGTTAACTGTTAAGCTGGCTTAGTTTTAGCTTCATTAACACAGACAAGGCAGCATTGAGCAGCTAGAAGCAGAAAAAGTACTGTACATGTTACATCTTTTCAGTGGAGATGGACTTTCACTATCATGAGACACCACATGACATCACATGAGTCACTTTGCCTCATGTGATTTAGCCTCATGTATCCGGTAGCAGCGATGCCCTAATGATATTTAGTACAGAAGATAATGCTATGCTCTGACCCAATTGTTTAGATGCAAGCGGATTTGTTATCTAGCTGTTATCCAATAATCTTCTACACACTGCGCTCACATTAATATACAATCAGACCATCTGATGAGATTATCACCCGCACAACCAGATTAGGTGCCTCTGAGCAGATTACCATCCTGGCAGTCTTACTGTGAACCAATCACCTCTGCACACTTGTGTGTTTGTGTGAGTTTGCGGATGTGCCGCTGTGTGTATTTGCAATCTTCATATTGAGAGCCTTTGTGAGTGGCCAGTGGCCTGTGGAAAGCTTGGTTGGGGATCAGTGGTTTGAGTGTATGTGTGTATGGGTTGAAGGGTGTTAGTGTTATTACATGGCCTACTGCACATGAGACAGAGAAACAGGCACAAGTCGGGTACACTGGCGGACAGAAGAGGGGCTGTATGTTTATATAATGTATGTAGGGGATTTTTAGTATATATGAGTATATGAGCTGTGAAGTGTGTGTTCAGTGACAGAATTATGTCTTTCTCTCTAGCTTTGTGTGTGCTTTCGGTAAATGCAGAGTCTAAGGGCTTCATTCATACTCAGGTATTAATAGCAAAGCAGCTTCATGGATCACATCTCTTCAGAACAGATAGGGACGGTTTCAGGAACTGAAAGAAAAGTGTGTTTGTTTGAATACGTGGAAATGAGAGTGTGTGGTGCATGACATTGTATGGTTATGTTTTCAGGCTTTTTCCTATCTGATATTGGGCTGTGTCTTTGATGCCCGCGGGCTCTGTGATTTAAAGTAGGCCACAAAAAACAAAACAGAAATGCATTCACACACATTTTTCACACATATTTCAACTATCTTCCTCTCTTTGTCTGTCTTTCCTTCTGTCCCTCACTAGGCTACCAGATCTCCTACCGCTTAGACAGCAGGGACCCTCAGCGCTGGACCACAGTGGAGGTGGGCTCCAATGCACGACAGTTCACCGTCACAGGACTTTCCCCTGAGCAGAACTACATGTTCCAGCTCACTGCTCGCACCGCCGTAGGCTGGGGGGAGGAACAGGAAGCCCTAGTTGTTACCACTGAACGTAGAGGTAAAGGACACACACGCATGCGTTTTACATAGTATCTGGTTTGCTATCATATCTGTTTCTGTAGCCATGAAGATGTTAATCCCTCCTATTAAAAGCTAATTGGAGCCTGACCCCTGTGAACTCTCAAGCTGCCACAAAAACATGAGGTGCTGAATTTATTTGAGCAGTTCACATTTTATTGAGATCATATTTGAATTAAAGCTGCAAGCAGCGTTGGGCGGGCCCTTGCATGTGTAGTGCGTCAGGGTGTGAGGCGGCCGCGTTGAATATTCTGGAGCTCTGCCGGTGCGGCTGTGAATTTTTCACGCGCTTCGGACACTGCATAAAGGTGTTATACGTCACTTCCTGTGTCCCCTTTGTGGCGCTACATAGCACTTGCCGCTATGAGTATAAATTAATATTGGCATGTAGATGTGTTCGGGGCGGGACAGTTATCAAGCACGTAAAGTTTTGTGCATGTATACTGAAGTTACAACAACTTCCTGTGTCATGGCGAAGCATGGCACTTGATCTTTGATGCCACGCCACAGATGAAAACTCACAGATAGCAAAACTTTTCATCGTCAATGCCTTTAGAATGCACAGTAGAAAATGTAAGTCGATACGATTAATTCCCTAGGAGGAGTTTGTTAAAGTACGGACCTTGTAAAAGGCCATAATTGGGCTGTAATTGCACATTCAAATGATGAAACATGATACATGTACCACAAAAGTGTTGTGCATGTTGGTGATTCAGTGCGCAGGGGCTGCATCTTTGAAGGGACTGATTCCAGCAGGTGGCGCTATGAGGTTGAGTAAATTTTAACCTGTAGATGTGTTCAGGGCATGACCCTTATCAAATGTGTGAAATCTGGTAGAGATATGAGCATGTACAGTGAAGTTACAACAACTTCCTGTGTCATGGCGAAGAGTTGATCTTTGACGCCACGCCACAAACACACCGTTATCCGCAAACTCACAACATTCACAACATAGTATCATCAATGTCTTAAGGCTCTTCTGAGACCGTTTTGAAGCAGGTGAGGCAAATATGTTGGGAGTAGTACATAACAGCATGAAACGTCTCATTTCCTGTTACCAGCACATGGCGCTCTGACATCGGGTGTTTGTTGGCATATGGGTGTGTCCAGGGCGGGACTTTCATCCTACATGTAAAGTTTGGTGCAGATCTGAGCATGCACACTGAAGTTATAACAACGTCCTGTTTCACGGCGAATCATCGATTTTGGATGCCAGGCCACAGACACGCCCATTGACGAAAACTCACAGATAGCACAACTTTTCATCGTCTATGCCTTTAGAAGGCACAGCAGAAATTTGAAGTCGATTGGACTAATTCCCTAAGACAAGTTCGTTAAAGTATGGAATGTGTAAATTGCCAAAAATGACCAATTAATCCAAAATGGCTGACTTCCTGTTGGGTGTTGGGCATCGCTCCAAGAGGCTTTATTGTATGTCTGGACATGATACACCTGCCACAGAAATTTTGTGCACATAGGTGAAACTTTGTCCGGGGGCTGCTCTGTAGGGGGCGCTAGCGAGCCATTTTGCCACACCCATGTGGGAAACCCATAATATACGAAATTTTTCGCCGCATCTGAATTATGTGCACAATTATGTTAAATATTATGTTAAGTTTGGTGAGTTTTCGAGCATGTTTAGGCCCCCAAACTTGAGGTTACTTTGCAGAAAGAAAAAAAATCCCTTCAGTTTCAATAGGGACCTCGCACGGTTCGTGCTCGGGCCTTAATAATAGTACAGTACAGAGTTTCTTATTTTTAAGAGCGCACACACAGCGAGGTGCAGACCAGTGAGATCCCAACTCTTCTCCAGTGCTTTAATCACCAAACATTTGAACTCATTTAATTTTTACCTAATCTTTTAAAATAGTCATCTGAATAATTAGGTTGAAAGAATACAGAATTGATTTACTTGATAATAATTAATGACATTCACCCATTGATGGGTTAAGATGAAAAAGTGTATTTGTTAGGGAATAATGTGAAAAGTTGATTATATTGATGTTATACTCTGTCTTTGTGGTTATAGTTTTTTAATGCAGATTATCTGTCTATGGAGTTTATTGCTGAATAAGTAATACCTGGGGATGTTGTCTTAACTTCAACTTATATTGTTGCTTAGTAAATCATGACATTAAATGTTTGAGAATGTGTAGAGAAATACTTCAAGGTTGAAACCAAGTTTTCAGGGTCTTTAAGACCTTTAATATGACAATAAGACTTTGACATGCCCCAACAGCAAGAGGTGTAAATGACTAAAGGTCTAAATGGAACGGAGTCGTCATTAATGTTACTAGTTGCACTTGTGCTTTTTCTGCTATGCTGAGTCAAAATGTCAGCTGTAAAAGATGCCTATAGGGATAAACAGTATGTTGTTAATGGGTCAGTTAATGGGTTAGTTTGTGAAGAATGAAATAAACTTTACAGTGTGTACACATTAAGGCATGGATTTTTCCCTCTTCTCTCTCTTTAGATTTAAAGAGGTAGAAATAGTAGCAGTATGATTTAATTCGGAAACAGTATTGAATCACACACTAATTGAACCAGAATAACAAGTGTGTTCATTTTGTTTTTTTTTTAAAAATTACTTCTCTACTTTGCTGGATAATTCAGCAAGAATAATGGGGTGTAAGCTTGGATGCTTTGACTAATGAGGAGTAAAATGTGCTTTTTTACATGCACAAAAGTATCTCATACCTCTTGTGGCATTTGCACCACAGCAGAGAATTAAATTGTAATGAAATTCACATTCAATTATAATAATGCATAAGGAAATGAAATGTGTTAAATAAACCAGATTAGACATGAAATTCTGTAAATAAGCCAATTTTAAGGAGGGACTTGATTTATGTTATTAATTTTACCTGTGCTTTTCAAAGTGTTTGCCATGGGGAAGTTCTATTGCAGGAGACAGCTACAATAATTTTATGGTTATTTTGTGCTCTCTTTTCATGTCAACTTTTAAATGGTCAAACATTTTATCTTATCACCCATTATGTTATTTCCTACAATAATGCCAATGCAGGAAGAGTCTGGAAAGGTTAGCTGAAGTTTTAGCATTTTAAGATTTTATGATCTCTGCAGCTCTACTTAGAGGTGTAATGAGTTGTGTTCGATGTGAAGTCCTTGCAGAGATAGAGAAAGAAGGCGTGGAGCTCGGATTGGTTATCATTGCTTCAACAACATGTAGTTTGTAGAGGGACACACATAATGCATTGTTAATGGGCTCCAAATATTAGCACAAAAAAAGTATGACCTTTCCAGTGTGTGTGGGACATTTTACATACAGAACAGGACGAAATGACATTTAGAAACTCCAGTGAATGGGAAGCTGCTTGGCAGTAAATGTAGATATTAAAATCACCAGGTATTAGCCCTCCTGCAGCGGGGAGAGTAAGGAGTTCCAAAAACTGCCTGGGTGGTCCATGCAACAGTAGTCCATCAAAGACAATCGCTGCATTCAGTCTGTTGATTCCTTCCACCAAACAGGCTAAACTTAATTGACTTGTTTAGTGAGACAACAAGGATTATTAGCTTTCTCATGCAACTGTCTCGCAACACTATCTACTTTCTCATAGGACAATGCTCTGTTGTGGGCTGGTGAAAAATGCACAGTTAATAGGTGAGAAAAAGAATCAGACTGGCAATGTGTTGAAATGGCAGCAGTTGGGAAGTCTTTTTTTGCCAGGAGAGAGCTGAAACTAAGATCTGAATGCCATTAATCTTAGATTCTAAACTAAGCTAATTACTATTGATCAATAGTTCTATCAACACTCTGCAGTCATGGTAATTTTCTCTTTTAGGGCAGCAAAAGTGTTGCAAATTTCTCTTAAACAATTCATGTAATTTTAGCAGTCACTTGCTTCATCATAGTGTATAAACTAGGAATTTTAAAACAGAAACACACTCAAACACAGTATGACAGCCCTTGCCTATGGCAAGATTTAGGAGGCTAAGCAGTGACTGTAACTCTCCTAAGACAGTTTTGTCTCCAAATATCTGTAACAGAAGAGATATATCCTCCAACACACAGTTAGTGGCCAAAAAGATTTTACAGTGACTTGACTTTGAAAGAGGTAGAGTAGTGCAGTTATTTTCCCTTCAATTTAGAAACTGCTGCCATTTGAAGATTCATTATTCTTTACTGTCTCACCAATGGTTACAATTTGCACAGTTATGAAAAAGAAAGTATTTACTGATCATAATCAGAATGATCAGTAAAATCTGACTTTTATTCTGAAGATGTGGGAGGCTAATCTGCCGTAGATAGGCTGCAGGTGTGTGCATATTGACTAGACAACACAGGTTCTATTTTTGGTTACTCGTGATAAAAGATTTTTGATTTCACGATGACAAGAGAAGGTAACATACTGGAACAAACTGACAAAAGATGTCAAGGTAGAAATGGCCCTGTATTACATTAACATTAGTAAGGCAAGAAACAGCAGTTGACGATAACGTAAGCAAACAGGAATCGCATGGATGGATGTTTCTTGAAACTTGCTGAATTGGTTTTAATACAAAATAAGAACACCAAAGAAGACACCTACAAATAAGAATGTGTTGTAGATAGTGGTATGTAGTCCATAACATAAACTTAACCATATTGTTTAACTGTGTTAGATAAAGCTACAAGCCATAATAGTCAATACTACAGTTCCATCATACATATACAGCATATCAATGTGTGTTACAACTACACGCTGAGTCACTACTGTTACATGACAGCATGTTCCCATGCTTTATACTGCGGTGTTTGTCAGCCTAGCATAGCCTGGGAAACCTGACTGCTTCCATTATAGAGTTAGGACAGAAGATGATTACATCATCATTACATATTATGTGTCCACCTGATGAATGTAAGTCCAATATTCACTCTCTTGTAGCTCTATTTTTAATCTCCATCAACACCTGAGGCTATATCTTCACCAGCTAGGTGCTAACTTTGAGTGCAGTTTGGTGCTTGGAAGGCAGTACAGTGGGTTTTTAGAGCTTTTTGCTGAAAACTACACTGATGAGAAAGCAAGAGTGAAGTAAGACAAGAAGGTTGTGGGCTGTAACACCAAGTCAGTGAGCTAAAAGATGTTAAAACACTCTGAATAGGCTGGAAAATGCAGAGCCATGTGATAATTCTCTATAGGTTACTATAAACGACACCTTTCACATTAATCTAGTGTTATTAAATTAAATTATTATATTATTAAATAAAAAAATATTGATTATAGTAGCTAGACTGATATTTTTGTTTTCTTTCACCAGTATTCCTTTCCAAATGTCAATAATCTTTATTGACTTAAATGTTCATATGTCTTATCATGTACTCTTGTAACTTATGTTTTTAGAGAAGCAAGGAGCATTAAATGACATACATGTTGTTTTGAAAATGTGGCTGAAAATTCATAATAAAAAGTTAAGATTCATAATAAAAAATAAGAAGTTTGACCAATCCTGAACTGAGAAGACCTATCCCACTAAAGTGAAATATCACTTTAAAAAGGAATTTCCAGTGGTTCTGTCGTCTCAGTAAGCTAACGCATGAATAACTATGGTTTGAACGTGTCTCACAGGCTTTGATATATGTCATCCTTGATCGCTCTCTCCAATTTTCTCTGTCAGCTGGCACTGTGTATGTCTAGTAAAGCATTGAAATGCTACAAAAGTTCCTATATTGAAATGTGACAGTGGAGTGATTTTTTTTTTTTTTTTTTTATGAAAACCTGGAATCATGATGTCAGATATTCTATTCAGAGCTGTCAGCTTGTGTAGGGCATTTTAATTGGATCAGATATCATAACATCGGCAGCATCATTATCAGGATTTCTTTAAAATAGAATTCAGGGGTTCTCTGTTCCACTTCAGTAACAAAATGGCCCATTTTCACTGGGAGATGGACAGAATAGCCTAATAGAGATTTCTTTCTGATGATGCTGAAGAGACCAACTTAATCTCTAGACAAAGAAAATTGGCTTTTTGAGTGTGCATGTGTGTGTATAGGCATGGGAGGTTGTGTGCATGTGCATGAATTATTTAGAGAAAACCGCACTTCCCACTAGAGGGAATAATCTGTGCTGATTTTTGTCTCCAAGTGGGTGATGACTGATAAAGTAATGGACAATATCATATTTAGCAGAATTCATCTCCCTACAACCATATTTTTTTCCCCTCTAGTACAAACAGTCTCTTTTTTTTCTCTACCCATCACTTCTAGCACACTCCTCTCCCTTGCGTAGCAGTAAACAGCCGTGTAAGTGCTAAAAGGACAGCACTTCTGACAATTATGAGTTTATTATCAGAACATGATCTTAACTGTGGAATGGAACAAGAGGAGAACAGACAGGGAGACACAGATGGTATCAGGAAAACAAAAGAGGGAGAGGATAGTCAAATCTTGAAGGGACTGAAGAATAAGGGCATGAGGGAAGAAGGGAGGCAAACAGATTTTACTTAAATTACTTGTGATAAGGATGAATGAAGAAAGGCAAGACCTTGTGTTCGTGTGTGTGTGTGCCTGTGCTTGTGTGCACGTTTGAGAACATAAGTGCAGATTAATTAAACTTCAGAGAGAATCGATAATGCTTTTATTTCTAGACTAAATCAATAACCTGATGCCCCTGAAATTAAACAGTTATGCCCCCCAACCGTGTGCTTTTGTTTGTTTGTGTGCGTGCATGCATGTGTGTACACACACGTCTACTAATCACACAGCTACTGCCAACACAGTTGTGCAAAGAAACTGACTCCCAGAGCCATCTTTCATCTTCTAATTGAAAAGCAAAGACACACACACACACACACCAGCAATCTGTTGAAAAATTGTTTCTTTGATGCTGCAGTGGTAATATGTCTTGTTTCATTTAACATATGTATTGCAACAGTCAATGTTTATGTGATGTAGATGTAGGCTGCCTGTATTACAAGGTATTTACAGAATTTGGTCAGTAGCTACCGTTGGGTATCATTTGAAGTTTTACGATACCAGTACCAAAACTAGTACCCTATTGGTACCGATACTAATTGAGTACTTCATTCGATACTTTTCATAAGGCCACCTGTTGAAGCCATAACCATAGTAGTTGATTGGTAGTCTATTGATGTTGTTATGGACAAGCAAGGTTAACTATTTTATTTTTTTCTTGTTTCAAATAACTGTTAAATAAAAGTATTGGGCAATTGTATCAGATCGCTCCTCATCCTAATTAGGTCATCCTCACTGGTTGTATTAGCCTATAAGGGGAAAGACAACAGCTTGGGAGTTTTTTTTGATATTTGAAGTAGTGAAATAGTTTACTGACCAAATAAGTTGTGGTATTTTTTTGATACCTTTGTTGAAAGTAAACAACGGAAAATTATTTTGTTAACTTTCGATAAATAACCTTAAAAGATATCCGAGAGTGTTTGTCTGTCACAAATATAGAACGAGTAAGGAGTCTGTTTATACAACTCACTTAACTACACTAAAGACTCACAAACGGAGGAAAAGAGCGGCTGCACATCCAGCTGATCAAACCAACTACACCTGAAGCATGAGTAAAATCAGCTGATCGCTGCTGCGCCACAAAAGCGTTTAATTAATGTAATGGAACGCAGCGATCGATCAACGACAAGTGATGTGAATAGCAAATAAAAATGCACAGAGAAGTGTTAAATGATACCAGAAGATGAAACCAACGGAAAGCAAGTTGTGGCAATAAACATGCAACAGTGACGAACATGCCTGAAACCGCAGCCGAAGGTGAGCGGCTGTTAAAATCACACATGGACTTGTGTAGGCCTTTTTTATACAGTCTATGGTGCAGGCACATAAGGAAAAAAGGCGTGCTCTTTCTTTCGTGTGCTGTTTGCATGTTTGTCTGCAAGCAAAACCATACAAATCATTGTCATTTTTTGCCGCAATCTGGTTACAAAAAGTATCGATCGAAGTACTGGTTTGACTGGAGATGTTTCAATTCTACTCGTTACGGGGCTATTTCGGTCACAAAACACATCCCTATCCATAGCAGTCTCCATTGGTCCAGATAATTCATTTCAACATGTATAGTTACAGACAGAAGGCAGATTAAAAGAACCCCCTGAATTAATGAGTGGCAAAACATATTCAATGCAGACGTTTCTGTCAGGGAAGTAACTGGGTTACAGTCGGCTCTCTGCATTAAACGGATTTCTTAAACATCATGTTAGCTAGATTTCCACTTAAAAACAGGTTTCTTGGTGAGGTATCTGAGGGGTCTTTAATCTGCTTTTTACATGACAAAGACGTCAGAGGAAGTACCCCTTTATAACTGTGACAGCAGACAAATGAAAGGAAAGATCATTACAGGTAGCAATGTGTAAATAAAATAATTCTAGTTAAAATAAGAGCATTGGAGCTGTTCTGGAGGCTCCTGTGAAGATGTTTTGACTTTTTTTAATTGTCTATCTTTTTCATCCAGCAACTTCTTGACTAAATGTGCAATGCTCTGTTCTTTACTTTGTCACCCAACTGTCTATCTAAAGCTAGAGATACCTTATATGAAGTCTATGATGAACAAAAGTACACACACATGTATGTATGTAGTGGTATGTGGTAACACAATCACACAATGTTAAACTACTAGAGGACATCATTTTATATTAATGAATGTTTATAATGCATCAGATTATCAATTATAATCAATATATATTTTTATCAAGTTGTAATTGCTCTTGAAATTTTAATGTGTTGCTCTCTTTTCCTTCTCCTTCTACCACTTCAATTCCCCTGTTGTGATCTTTGTCACATCACTTTTTCTACTCTCTTTCTTCCCCTCTCATCTCTCCTCTGCCTCTTTTGTCTCCTCCCACTCTTCTCTTTTTTTAACTTCCATCTTTCCCTGTCCTTACCATATCCACAGAGCGTCCCCAGCCACCCAGGAAGTTGTCTGTTCCTCAGGACGGGGTCGAATCTCGCCGTCTTCGCCTCCTCTGGGTTACAGGTGGTTCAGGGTCTTCCCCGCTGAGGTACTTCACTCTGCAGGTCAAAGAGCTGCCCAACGGAGACTGGAAGACACACACCGCAGACATCTTGCATAATGTGACCACCTGGACCGTTAACAGGTACTCGTGCACATATGTACAGTCACACACACACACACACACACATACATATCTGCTTGTGGGGCGGCAGCGTAATAAATTTTGAATGCTAGTTGACTGTCCAGTATTGTATACGCTATATTAAAAGTTTGGAGGGTGGTGTCTTTTTTAGTGTTTCCAAAAATAAAAGCACAAGTGCAAAAAAGTAAGGAATGGAATAAACTGTTTGTTTGCTTTAACATAAACTGTAAACATATTGACCACAGTGATAACCCATTACTTCCGCGACCCTTCCATGGCAGTTACAGGTTACATTATAAAGCTTTATCCACAACAGCACATCCACTGTGTAGGATTCCTCCACTGAGTGGAGGATGCTATCAGAGTTTTGTCAAACATTAGCACCTCTGTCCTGCTCGTTACTGGATTTGGGAAAATTTACACTCTAGTAACTCCTGTACTAAAGCATAAATCTAATCTCTGTCTGCTGTTCGACAGGATTATATTAGAATGAAACAATCTGAGCTTACATTTTCCTTATCATATTCATAACACTAGGCTAACTGGCTCCACACTTTAGTACAATGCTGTTTCTTTATCTCCATGTCTTCTTCGTGGATCATCAGCTGGATGCAGACTTTTTGCCTGGGACCTGTTTTAGCTTTAGTCTCAGTCTTTTTAGGGTGGTATCATGCAAGACCCTTTTACAAGATCCTTGTTGTAATAAGACTCCGTTTTTAAGTAACTTGTGGAACTAACATTAGTTTAATTAGCTAGCTAGCAGTTGCCATTTCAGCTGATAAATTTGAAGTGGTAAAGCTGCCAGAGTGATCATTGTAAGCTGCATATGTGCTGTGCAAGCAAAGAAAGCTTGACAGGCATTTCTAAGGGGAGGCTGGGGTTACCTAACAGTCAATTAGGCCATCTCAAACATCCTTGGAGAAAACAGGAATAAAAATTCCACATTACTGTTTTTTGCTTTCCTTACAGAGCCCTAACATCCAAATGTTGTTTAGCATGACATGCTGTCCTTGAATCAGTTAAAGCAGTCTGTAAAAAATCTAGTAATGTTTATGCTTCCATGGGGAGAAGATTGGACAGAGAGAGGGGGATGCTGTGAATTCTCAAAGTAAACAACAGAGAATTCGAACACAGGAGGAAAAGTTTCATTTATTTAGCACATGATGTACCGAAAAGGTTTGTGGAGCAAAAAAAAACACAACATAAACCACAAAAAACCCACCAGGGAGAGCAGAGTAATCATAATCACTGCAGAAACGAGGAGGATCTCAGTCACCTAATCACACAGGCACAGCAGGAACTGCTCTCTTTTTCTCTTAATACCTTTTTTCTGACTCTGCCTTCACGCTTTCAAGTTTGTGTCTGCCGTTTGTCCATGGTGTCTCTCTACAACCATTTTTACCTTTTCATGTGTCATCGCTTCTTGTTGTCACCACCTCCTTACCCCCCCCCCCCCCCCTTCCATCCATCAACAGCCAGTGCTTTCAAAAACCATAAGGCATGTATTATTTTGTTTATTCATCCCAATGCATCACATCCACTGATCCCCTGGAAGAGGGTATCATTCCTGTTCCAGCTTCCTCCATCCCTCCCTCATTATTCCACCATCCTCTTCTCCCTGTTGAGACTGTCATTATGGCAGCAGGTGATAGTGGTCAGACTCGATGGCTACTCCAACTTCCCTGACAGTCAGAGTAGCAGCACTATGATAAGGCTTTACTTGTGTGTAGTGTGTGTGTTCCCCACATGTATCTTCGTGGCTGTTTGTGAGCTCTCCGTCGCGAGCTATCACAGGGCTATTTGAGATGCTGAAGAGTGCTCTCACTGTGTGTCTGCATCAGCCTGTTTCAACCTGCCTCGGGGAGAGAGTCTATCTGCCATGATGGCGGTGCTGCTGTAGTTGTTTTGATGCCGTTTTTGAGCTCATTCTATCACTGAATGTTCTCATTACATCGCCGGATGGAGGAATTAGCTCACATCTCCACATGCTCGCACTCATACTTACTTGTTATCTATCCTTAATTGTTGTTTTCCACAGAGATGTCTTTGGAACCAAAACATTGAAGTCCCCAGGCTGATGCACACATGGACACACACACATTACACACATTTTGAAACATTGTCCTTAACATCCTCCCAGTGCTGTTGGTACCCCACCCTCTTTGAGCTTGGTGCCTTTGATGTTTTATTCCTACGATACCCATAACCCCATAGGGCCTTTTCCTGTCTCTTATTGGGCCCGGCTCATTATTATACAAGAAGACACTTGAGCAGTTCTCCTGTTGCCTTCTGAATTTCTAACTGGTCCTCTGTAGGCTCGAAGTCACTCTGTAAATAAAGTCTAAAGATGGACCTTTATGTAGATGTGTATGCAGTGGCAGAAGAAGGGTGGAATGACTAACAAATTATTAAATTGCTCCTGTTAACTCTTGTTAATAAGGTTAGGTTAAATCAATAAAATATTTGGACAAATTACTGTTTTTGCCGTATGTCCTTTTTAAATTTTAAACAAATTCCCACAATGTGCAGGCAAGGGTACATTTAAACTATTAGCATGCTATAAGGCATGGTAGTTCAGACTCATTCACCTAGTCCCTAACAATGGTTGCATGTACATGGGGCTGATTGTAAGTGGCTCTAGAGTGAAGTGTTTTTAAAATGATGATGTAAAATTGTTATTCTGTGCTTATTAATGCATTCACCTTGCACAGAGGAGAAATGCAGATAAGATATTGTGGTAGTATGGCAGTAAAAACAATAATTTGACAGTGGAGACAATTAGTAAAGGTGTAAGATGATCATTATTCAAGACCTTGTCTGCTCTTCAAGGGCCACTGAAAGAGTGGGAGAATGAGAGGGGGTGAAGGTGGTTTGGGAGGGTGGAATTTATGACCAGTTGCGGTGCTGTAGAGCTGTGTGTGTTTTGTTTGTGTCTTGCATAGAACATGTGCCTTTTTGTGTGTTTTTGTGGTGGAGAAATAGGAGATCCTGTAAACAATGCAGTCAAAACATGAAGAGAATGCTTTACAAATGTCTTTTGTGTTTGTAAGGTCTTACAATGCTCTTTGGTGAGAAACCAAAAATTAGTTTACAATGAAAATTCCACTTGGTTCTTTAAAGCTATATTCCCTGTTGTGTTATTGACTGAATTACAAATGCAATGCATGTGGTACCTCGATAGCTCACCATTAATGCTCCATTAAGGAGTCCTCACTGCAGCGGCGCTGGTTCGATTCCAACCCCCAACATCCCCTCTCCCTCCCACCTTTCCTGTCTTTCTCTGCAGCTGTCACTATCCAATAAAGGCAAAAAAAATTTGCTTTGTGCCCAGCTGTACATGTGTCAATGTGTATGTTTGTGTTTATAGGCTGAAGCCCTTTACATCATACAAGTTTCGTATGCTGGCCACCAACGATGTAGGAGACAGTGTCCTCAGCAAAGAGACGGAGGCGGTTACAACTCTGCAGGATGGTGAGAGACTGGGAACACACAATGGAGCAGGGGAGGAAAGAAGGAAGAAGGAAATATGTGGATTTGAAAACATAATAAAGGAGGACTGTAAAATGGTTGGCCAGAGGTTTTTTTGTGTCTGTATGTCTTTTTCTTCCTCACTCTCTTTCTCTGTGTTTTCTGTCCAGTGCCTGATGAGCCTCCAGTGATCCTGGCAGTGAAACCAACAACCACTACCTCAGTCCTGGTGCAGTGGAAGGTATTTTCAGCCTTCTAACACAACAGTGACCCCTGAGATACCTGCACAATAACATTCTGAGTGCAGGCTAATCGCCTAGAATGATACCCCTGCTTACTTACTGTTTGCGGTGTTTGTAAGTGTGTGTTTGTGTCTTTGGATGCACTTATCATTATTTATTGAAGCAGGGAAAGTCAGAGGGCAACACAAACAGATTGGAGGGATGGCAAGAGTGAGGGGCGGACAGACGGAGAGACAGACAGTGCTGGCTGGGGGGGAGAAATTATCAAAATCTTAGTGATGATATAACTGCAGGGGAGACATTAGAGGGTGAGAGAAGTAAACATCAGCAATGCACAGCAACAGAGGAAAAAGTAGAAAGGGAAAAAACAGTGACATGTGAATAGACAATAAATACAGCCTGGCTGCTACACTGCTTGTCACTCTTCCTCTTCAGTTTGGAAGTGTCTTCTCTCACTCCTTCTAGCCTTATGTCAGAGCAGAAGTAGGCAATGAAAAACAAAGTAACCAGCAATTTTCATCGTCCTTTACAAGAGTGCCAAACCCACCGAAGCATCACTTTGTCTGTGCGGGTTACAGCCAGACCAATCCACCAGCCCTTTAAAGTGGACTCTGCTGATAAAATACTGCTCTGCCAGCGTCCTGTCAGTCACCTCAGTACACCAAGAAGACTAAAATGAGCATAGTCCAGAATTCTCAGAAGTTTCTTTTTGAGAAATGGATACTTCTTTACATGTGCCTGTGTGTGCTTGTTTGTATGTTTTCAGCGCCCCAGTGATGACAGTATTAACGGGATGTTGACTGGGTACCGGCTGTATTATAGAGAGCTCCCAGTAAACACCTCCAGTTTCGCTGAAGCAGAAGTCCAGGCAACCAAAAACAACACCACAAGTGCCCTCATTACAAGTGAGTAGTACTGATGTTAATTGTTCGCTAAGCCACACCCCCCTTAGTTACTGTTGCTGTGCCGGTTTGACTTCACACAGCACATACACAGTTTAAAAAGTGTAAATTTTTGAAACTAGTGGTTCTTGATTGCAGACACAAAAGGTACACAAAAGCAGGGCTCTGACTCTGTCGCTAATGTTAGCGAGTTGGTTAAGAACACATTCTCTGACTTTTAATGTGTCAAGCTGACTAATTTTATCCATTTGATCCATGTAGAAGCACACCAAAAAAACATCATTAGCGCCCGAGCACAAACCGTGTACATTCTTGTATCGCAGTGTAGAGCTATAGATAGTCCTAGTATTCTAAGAATGATAAGGATTAATTTTTATTTACTTTTAAATAATCAAATTATTTACTTCTATCATAACCCTGTTTGCATAACCCTCAGCTTACATACTTATTTTCATTTATTGTTTTACTTTTAAAATTAAAAGAGAAAGGGCTTTTTGGATGAGGACTAACTAATATAGTTATCAAACATGAATCATGCTTTTTGTAATAAAAACTGTAAATTGTTACTACACAAACTAATGTAGTTAGTTAATGATGTGTTTTTTGGCCTTGGAAATAACGCTTTGTTACTGCAAGCGGTAGTGGGTTAGCCAGACATGCCAACAATTGCTGCTTAAATTAGCGCAAATAAACTTTTAACATTGTTCAGACTCAGATATAGAATCGTATTTATTTCCAAGTTCCTTTTTAAATATTTTTTTTTTATTATTATTATTTTATTTTTTTTACACATACAAGGAATATATAAATACATATTCCTTGCACTTTTGCTCTTGTGGTTTGAGAAGGTAAAACAAACAAACACAAACAAACACACGACACCACACGACACCACCCGCCACACTCTTTAAAAGGTAATTGTCCTACAGTCCCAGGCACACCGCTTAAACATGTGGCGATATTGAAAACTTTACAGGTCTGTCCTACCTAGTTGTGGTTACAAAGCTATGATTGGACAATCACTGTTTGGGGAAAGGGTTTAGTGAATGGTCAGTTGCTTTAGGATTTTAGAAAGCTGCATGTCCTTATCATGTACATTGTGAAAACAAGGCAGATGGTTGACTCCATTCTTGTTGTCAGATGATTGCACAAGTTAAAAATTTCATTATATCATAAATTCCACCTCTTTACCAAGACTAGCTGTTGGTTTTGTTTTCATAGTAAAAATATCAATGGCCATGAAAGTGTCAGTATTATGTTAAAGATCACAAAATAAGCATCAATAGAGAGGATCAGGTGAAAAAAGTTTGCCTTGTAACAATAAATATGACTATCACGCTGGCTGAGTGTTACGGCAGGGAAACAGGAGTGTGGACCCAAAATGCAGACACTGACGAGGAGGTTGCAGTTCAAATGAAGATTTATTCAGTCCAAACAAAACAGGAGTGCTAACAGAACAGGCTTACTTCTTAATTCACGGTGAGTCCAAACAAAAGGTAAATCCAAGGGGCAGAAACAATCCAAAACACAGGGAATATTCCAGGGAACAGGGAAACAGCGCACGAGGCAGAACACTCAACAATAGACGATGACACCACAAGGACTAAACAGAACTGAGAACAATATATACACACACATTAACACAGGTGAGACACATAGGCAATCAGCAGACAGGAAGCTAAGCTAGACAAAAACACGTGAAACTGATCGCTAGAAAAAAAAACAGGAAGTAAAGCTAGCGACAATACACAAGGACATGTGAAACCAAATACAACAGAGAACAAGGAGGCAATGATCAACTAACCAAACCTAAACAAAAACACAGAGGCAATCAAAATAACAGAAAAATACCACACAAAACCCCAAGAGCATGACAATGACAATGTTTCTATAAAGTGTATAACCTGACAATCATACTTTAGTGTTTATTAAAATATCTTTTTAATGGTGTATGATGCTGTGCAAAGGCCAGCACTTTCAACGTATTCCATTTTGCAGTGCTTTTTGCAAAGGTCTGAGAAGAAAAAGATTTTTTCAGACGTGTCCACATCAGGGCAGGGACCGGGGTTGAACTGTGTCACCATGTTGAGAGACAGAACAAATGGCCCTCACCAGACCATTGTTTTCTTATGAGAACTATAATTTTGCAATATTAAAATATTGCTATTCACTTTTCAGCCTGAAGTGCTTTTTATATGTAGCAGATTGATCTGCTCGACTAGATTGGACAGTTCTCTTTCCATCCACTGTCCCCTGAGTCTGACGACGGTGTTGAAACATCTTTCAAACGTGTTCCTCTTAAACACAGTCATTTTATTGAATGGCATTATAATTGCACAGTTTATTGTTGAACTTGAAACATGTATTGATTTACTCTTCATCTATCTTTCTCTCACTCTACCCAAGCCAAGAGCACCTTCAAGACAGTCAGCAGCGCTTCACTAACAGAGTTTGAGTTGACACGTAAGTAATTTTAGGTGGAACTGGGAAGAAAAGGTCTTGGGAAATGTTTATGTTTATTTTAGCAAACCTGATAAGCAACCAGCTTCTACAATAAGAAGAACACATAACAACAAATGTACATGCATGTTGTGTAAATGTAAATGTAAGTATTTGTTTTTATTTGTAGAACTAAAGAAGTTCAAACGCTACCAGATTGTTATGACAAGCTACAATATCATCGGAGAGAGCCCACCCTCCACACCAGTTGAGGTGTCTGTTGGGGAGGCAGGTAGGTGGAAACAGTATCAAGCTGTTAGATTTCAATGAGTGATCTACACGTCTTCTTTTGTGAAGGTTTACACTTTTTCCATAGCTTTCAAGCGCACGCTTTCACATACAAGTTCAGTAGCTGTCATGATTTTATCCAAAGCACATCATGTGCTTTTGAAGACTGTGGGATATGGTTGAAACCTCTGTAAGAAAATAGTAAAGGGACCTTGAGTTAGCCTTGAGGTTTTTTTTCTCTGTCTCTGCTTTCTGTCACTCTTGTCCAGTGCTCTTGTCGCTCTCTCCTTGTCTTTCTTTGTCCTGTTCACGCTTCCTGTCTTGCGCTTACTGCCCGTTGAGTGACATTGTCTTTGAAAGGCCCACTTATATTCTGTGTTTGTGGGTGTGTGCATGTGTGTTTTGGGGGGGGGGGGTCCACTAGACAGATAGGAGTGCAAATATATCTCTCTTATACTCACATGCAGAAACACACACACACACACACACTACTAGTACTAGTAGGTGAGGAGGTAAGAGTGCAGGTGAGCAGATCTGCATGTTAGGATCGTAACACCCACACGCCAATTTTGCAATTTCTCTCACACTCCCTCCATTGGACCAACATTGCATCCATATTCAAAGGGTATGTGTGTAGTGTGTGTGCGTGTAGGCCATACACATGCAGACGAGTGAGAGGTGAGGATAAGCAGGGGGAGCGGGACGGGGATGCAGAAACCGTTGGAGGGGGATGATGAAATGGGGTGATATGGCCTTTTCTCTAGCCTCAAGTGCACACTGCTGAGTGTTCATGCATATGTGTGGCACAGTGGAGTAACAAGGTATTGCCTTAGGCTCACTCTAATTGGAAGGGAAGAACATATCTTCCCTATTTCCCACTAACACTCAGCTGTGCGCACACACACACACACACACACACACACACACACTAACTGTCTAACGAAACACCTCTCCTTCTGCAGCGCCATCAGTGGCCCCTCAGTCTATCAGAGTGTCAGCTGTGTCTCCCTCCATCCTGGAAGTGACCTGGGACACCCCACCCCTCGAGACCCAGAATGGACTCATCCAAGGATACAAGGTGACACGCAGGAAAACAAACACGTATACACACAAAGAATATCTTGTGGCAGACTCATGCAAAGACAAAACAAAGACCCAAACACTCTCACAGAAGAGTACTTATAGCATGTGTGTTCATGTGACAGAAGAGCACACAGCACTACTTCTCTCTGTATTTAAGTCAGGTAATCTATATAGCCCAATATCACAAATCATAGTTTGCCTCATGGGGCTTTGAATAATCCATTTTAAATATCTCTCCTCTTGTCTTGGAGGGGTTTTGCTCTGATGCACCTTCAAGTGTCCTATAGAGAAGAGAGGAAGACAGAGAATTAAGTTATAGGAAGAATCTGAATATCCTTTAATGGTTTCAATATCACTCGTCTGCCTGTCTCTCCCCCTCAACTCCCCTGTCCCACCCCTTCGCTCTTAGTACTTCAAACACAAGGTTATCTGTCCTGCTTTAGACACATTGATTTCTGCCAGAGTAGAGGGGGATTGGAGAAGAAAGAAGGGAATGTAATATTTGCCGAGTGAAGGAATGAGATGAGCAAGTGATCCCTGTAGAATCCTGATTAGAGGAGAGGATCGAGGGAATTCGTTTAAACTACGAGAGACGAATGGACACCGGGAGGGAAGTGTGAGGCAGAGGGGGTTAACGAGATTTAAGACAAGAAAAAATTGAGCAAAGAAAGAATGTTTAATGAATTCATAGGCTCTGACTTATGTTAACACTCCTACTCTGCTCCATGAGCAGCATAGACAGCAGGTAGGACTAAAGGTAAACTTCATTACAAGTGTATTTTTTGACAGTTGAAGTTTACTGTAATGCTCTAGAGGGCTTGTTAAACACACTCAACGTGATGGGTAAGTGGTAACAGGTAATACCAAAACATGCTCGTCCTGTCAAGTGGACTTTATCACACGCACCAGATGAAAAGATTTTGTACAAATCATCAATCATCTACAGATTTTTCTTTTTACTCATGAGACAATTTTCAACTTAAAGACAATAGCAACAACATCCATCATGCAATTCCCACCAAAATATGTCAGTCATTTCTAATAGAAGTGCTACAGACACAAACAAAAACCTGAAAATAATAAGATGTTTCCTCCTTTGCAAAACAAACATCCTGTTTTTCATCAAGACTTAAGATCCTAAATCGACTCTTTAACAAAGGAGATGGTTGGAAAATCCAATTAAGGTTCTTGATCTTCTTGGTCTTGATCATATCAAGACCATGTTCATTCATGGCAGCTTCAAACTGTTTTTTTGACTAACCCTGATTTTTCACACTCATATCAAATACAAAAATAGATCCTCGGAACACCAGAAGAGTGGATTACAAAATGGCCTGGACTTTCTACTAAACCATGATAATAAAGATTTATAAGGGATGTTGCCTAAATGAAAACACCCCTTTTATGCACAAGGCAATACATTTTTATTTTAAAGTGAGTATATGGATGGGTTATTCTCTAACTCATTATTCTAAGAGCATGTGGAAGGACAGAGATGGTATAATGCTGCCCTCAAGTGCTACTCATAAGCTGCTACTTCGAAGTCTGGAAGTTGTAAATATAGCTTAAGGCGCTTTGTAGTGCTTTTTGTTAGGAATAATAAAAATGGATCCCAAACGTAGCTCTTGGCTGTTTTACTTTTTAAACCAAACTGCACAGAGACAATTTATGTTGCAGGAAAAAAACAGTTTAGAATATATGTAGCAGCTTTTATATATATATTCACTTGAATTACCAAATAAAAACATTAACATAAATCACTTTTGCCATCAATTGCTGGCAATTGAATACTAAAAATGTTTTTAAACACCCCTGATAAATGTCAGGTATCATTAAAGATCTATTTACCATGTTATTGTTTCACACTGCTGAACCTACATTTATTATGATAATTCATAAGACAGCAGACAGTCATAGCTGGTGCCAAATCAATTACATCGTATCAGTATCTGGCAGGTTCTCACTTTCGATCGACCGACACACAGAAAACTGCCTGTCCCGTCCGTCTGTGCTTACAAAAGCCACCATTTTGTGATCTGATTACAGTCTGAATGAACTCCTCTGATACATGTTTGTTTTTCTGTGAATTTGCAGTTAAAGCTAAAATGTTTAAGCTTAAAATTAAGTAACCATCATAACAATGATAACAGCGGCTGTGGCTATTTTCTCACCCAGAAAGCTTTTTCTGATTTATTTCTAATGCATGAGGCTCAACCACCTCTGTAACCTTGCTGTTAGTGTGTATCTGATATGGTTGTATGTGTAAGGGGAGTCAAGGCAGTTCCCTATCAAACCAAGCCTTTTTTGCTGGGCTTTACGATGTTGTTTAAGACATTAATAGATAAAAATATTTCCTCTACATTCAGCTAGGATTAAACAACATGCAGTGATTTGTAAAAGTGCAGATTTAAAGCAAATTACACTGGATATGCACCTGTCCAGTAGCATTAAGAGCAGAAGGCAAGCTGTTTTAGTGCATTAAACAGATTATGTTACTGGATATGCATTTATATAGGCTGTTTACTGGCAGCAAGATGTCATATTCATTATATACAGCCTGTTTCATTAAAAGTGTGTGACCTACACTACAATATAAAAGTCACACATTCAGAATTTCTAAAATATGTTGTTTTTTCAAAGCCAGTAATTTCTCAAATCAGCACAGTTACAGTGATAAATTGGTCTGTCTAAGGTGCCAAAATACCACAGAAACAATATTTCTTAATGATAACTAACACAGAGGATAAACTTTAAACCTACTTCATCATAACGTGAATATGTTTTATTGAACAAAGCTATTTTTGGCATCGTTAAATTGTGACATTCACAAGCTACATGGTCTTAACATTGATCTAATCATACTGGGTTCAATTGTCAGGTGACCTTTGTTACAGGGACGGACCGTAGTAGCCCATGTGTCTTCATTACTAGCCAATGTCATGACGGTTAATGGCCACGTCCATGATTCTTGGTTCCACATGAGCATGGACAGTCAGGCAGGAAGTGGCATGCGGCTCACATAGGTATCTTAAAATGCAACACACATGGACTACATTCTACATTTGTGATTGATTGATTACCTGAATTGGTTCAAATGAGCAAATCTCATGTTGTGCGATTGCAAGAGTTGGTCGTGTGAGGTTTAAAAATATGGTGCATTGAAAATATAGACCTATATACAATAAATTTACATCTAATTACTTTGAACGACTCTGGCAGATATAAGGCATCCATGTTGGTTTGGTTTTCAGGCACTTCTCTATTACTAGGCGTCATACTGTAAATCAGAACTCTCTGAAAAATCCCAAATTTCCAGTAAAAGTAATAAATTGGATGTTTTGGAAATCAAAAACACGGCATTATGCTTTTAAATGTAATTTTAACGTCACCGAACATGTACCGGGTAGTCTGTAAAGAAGGAAAATGTGTCTATTGTCCTTAGCTATGTTAAGATTTTTTTGCTTGAAGTAGAGACAAAGTAATATGTGTATGTTCAGACCAGACCAATGGTATCTGTAATAAGAAATTACACCTACTCTACCCTTCTGTTAAACTGTCCAAACCAAAACAAATCTCTCCATAATCAACTTCTGCTCCTTGTAAAACACAACATGAGCACTTGTTTATTATATGGATCGATTAGGAGGAATGGACTGAAAGTAAATGATATATATAGTTGGTAGAAATGAAGAGCGAGAGGAGAAAAACAGATGCAGTGGAAGGTGTTAGGAGAAAAACTGATGCAGTGTTATTTATGGTGTTGTCCTGTGTTGCAGATCCACTACTGGGAGAGGGACAAGCAGAACCAGAGTGAGAAGGTCAAGGTGATTTTTGTGCCAGACACCTGTGTGCACCTCACCAACCTGACCAGCTACACACCTTACCTGGTCACTCTCACTGCGTTCAACACGGCTGGAGACGGCCCACCCAGTGAACCCCGGGGGACCCGCACTCTGCAGTCTGGTAGGCACTGGTTACAGTTTGATTCCCTAAAACAAAATTAACAAGCTTCAAATGAAAGTGTTTTCCCTTTATTCCTCTTATTTAATTTTTCACCCTCCATGTGTCATGTAGCTCCCAGCCAGCCCAGCTACCTGTCCTTCTCCGAGGTGACAGGAGGAAGTGTCAATGTGTCCTGGGGAGCTCCACTCACTCCTAATGGACAGCTGGAGGGCTACAGGGTCATCTACCAGCCCACTGGTCCTGTACAAGGTACGCACGCATGCTTTATACACACACACACACACACACACACACAAATACATGTTGAGGAGTACGCTGACATTTCTTTTGAATTGTCTGTGTGAGAACAGGAGTGAGTAAAGTGGTGACAGTGGATGTGAGAGGCAGCTGGCAGAAATGGCTGAAGGTTCGAGACCTGATCAAAGGAGTGACATACACGTTCAACGTTCAGGCACTCACAGTCAGCTATGGACCACCCATACAAGCAAACATCACTGCTCAGCCTGTGCAAGGTAATCATGGTCACAATCCATGTGTGTGTGTGTGTGTGTGTGTGTGTGTGTGTGTGTCTTATGTTAATCATGTTGTGTTGGAACAAATATCTGTTTATTTAGTCCCATTATGGGAACTCAGATAGAGCTGCAACTAACCATTATTTTAATTAATTAATTGATTATTCTGCAGATTCCTTTCTCTATTAACTCATTAATTGTTAAGTCTATAAAATGTCTAACCAACAGCGCAACACCCAAAGATATTCAATGATAGAGAACAACAGCTCAAACTCACATTGAGAAGCTTTAACTGCCAAATATTTGGCATTTTTGGCTTGAAAAATAACTGATAACCAGGGACGGACTAGGATAATAATACAGGTTGGGAATATAATGTCAGTCCAGGCCAATCTCCACATTCATGCCATACACAACTGACCATGTAAGCCTATACTGTAAGCTTTTGTTGAAATATTATTTTTCTGTTAACTGTGTAAGCCAGTAACACATCTTATATTCATATATATAATATATATATATTTTTGTGCACTTGTGAAGTGTTTGTTTTGCATCTGGCATTTCCTCAGAGGTCAGACTGGACTTAATCATTATGAAGTTCTGGTAGCTCTGAGTAACTGGAGATACTTCAACCTGTCAGAAAAGAGAATGCCAGCCTTTATTTTCCAGATTATTTCCAGAAATACACATCTCCTCCTTTCCTACATAGCATGATTAAGTTTTTTAAAACATAGACTGAACTGTAATTAATAATGTAACTGTAATAAAGCTAATTGTGATGTAATGTGCTGAGGGCGGCGCTACTAGTGTGATTGTTCTTTTTTAAATACCAACCACGTCCCTTGTTCGTACAGATATCTGTAATTTTACTGCATTTAGCGCCTCTTTCCTCCTTTCAATGCACTCCCTCCTCCTTTTGTACTGTCCGTGTTTTTCTCCACACTGCTCGGCCACATGCACCCCATGCACTGACTGAACATTGTGCTGATGTGTATGGGCATGCCAATCACGTGTGATGACAGACAATCAGGTTAAAAGCAGGCGGGGGGGCTGACGGTCTTCAGTTCTGAGGGACTGTGTTGTTTTCTCTTTGATTTATCCATTTCATTTAGCATTTTAACACTAGCCTGACACTCCAGGCCAATAAGCTTGCCAGACTTGCTCCCGATGGCCAGCTAATGACAAATCAATTTATCGACTAATCATTTCGCCTCTGGACTATACTCCCATTTAGGGACATAAAACGTCAAGACTTGGTTTTTGGTTAGGCTTAGAATTAGGTTTAGGTTAGGCTTGTTCAGGTTGTTTTTCAATTGAAAAAACACTGACATACACAATGAAAAACATGTGCTATTATATCCTCAGATGTAATCCATGTCAATTTAAGCATTACTCAAATGATCTTAGTTCATTGTTTATAGACACAGACAAGAGTCTTAGTTATGTCACATACCTGCATGAAAATGTGCTGACAGAACTATATTGTACGTACATATATATACACTGTAATTTACTGTTTAGTTTTTTATTTGATCGTGTAAAGTTATTTTATATGTTTGTATTGTTACAGTTACATCAATAAACTAACAAACTAACAAGTGATTAAAGTAAAGGTTAAGTGACTAAAACAAGTGTGTGTCCCTCTGATACTCCAGGCTCCCCAGGGTCACCTGCAGACATCTCCATCACAAAGACATCCTCAGCGCTCACTATCCACTGGTCAGAAGGAGATATTGGTGCAGCACCTGTCACCGGATACGTTATTGAGGCTCGTCCCTCAGGTAAGCTCAAACACAAACGCCACACACCGGTCAGCCACTAACTTACCTGGCATACACCTTTTCATCACGTGCACCAATTCTTTTCATTTGTCAAGAGGGAAGTTAAGTAGTACCTAGCGCTAAACCACTGAGATTCATTCGTTGAGACCTGCTGTGCAAATCAAGTCAGCAGCAATTTTCTAATAAAGATTACCAGAGGTGTGCTGCAGGAAGGAAACGTCCGTGGCAAGCTGTTTGAACACACTGCTGGAGAGATTGTAGACTGGTATTATTCTACTACTGATAATAATGATAATACCCCTTTTATTAATACTAATAACAGTAATCATCGTCTTCACCACATTATCATTATCATTTAACATTTAATTTGACGATTTATAATTTTCTGTAATCACGTCTGACGTTGGAAAGGGAATTATTCTCAAATGAAGCGTCCTTTCTCTCGTCTTTGTCGGCCCATCCATCAAACTGTGACACAACCTCCGTCTTTCCTTCTGCAGATGAAGGAGTGTGGGATTCCTTCATCAGACTCCTCCCGCCCAGCAGCAGGTCCGTTTCAGTGCCGCTGGAGCGCCTGAGGTCGGGGATCAGCTACGAGTTCAGAGTCATCGCTGTTAATCGCTATGGTTACGGACAACCAAGTACACCCACTGCTGCTCTCGCTGGTAAACGCACACACACACACACACACACAAGTGGAGGTCAGGCTAATGAACAAGTCCAGGGTGATCCAACTTGTTTAATTGGGGTTTGACTAAATTTCGAATCAGTAGGAAACAGTGTGATCGTTTTGTGTCTGCTGCCATCTAGAGGCGGAGTCACGCAACTTCCACTGTGGTTATTGCACAAGCAGAAAGCACAACTTTGGCACAACTCCAAATTCGGATATTTATCAATGAATTAAGTGAGTAATTAAAAGTCTTCAATCCAGAAATTTATTCAACTTCCTCTCTCTTACCTACTCAACTGATCTGAGGGAAGAAACACTTCCAATCATCTCAAGTGTTTGTGTCTAAGAATCAGCAGGATGAGTTTCAGTTAAAGAGTCCGTCCTCTAAAAGTATCATATACAGGCTCTGAATATTGTTCTCTGGTCCTGTGGTACAAACCATTGCTTCAGGTTAAACTAAAGCAAAAGAGAAGCCGATATGTCCCTCATTATTCGTCCTTCTCTCTCCCCCCCTGTCCGCTCCTCTCCCCATCTGCAGCGCTGTCAGAGCGTCCGTTCTATGAGGAGTGGTGGTTCCTATTGGTCATGGCTCTGGTGGGACTCATCCTCATTCTGGTCCTGGTCTTCACGCTGCTGCTGCATGGACACAACACCAAGTACAAGGCCTGCGGCACAGGTCTGTGGCTCTGATGGCTTTAATGTAATGCTTCTTTAGGGTGCCCCAGTGGTGGCATTCATTCAGATGTGTGGCAACATGGCGCTCATAAAACAAAGGTAATTGTTTGTTGGCATGTGCTACATTTTTGGGGATGTTTTTTGGCAAAGGATGAATTTTTTTGTCTCCTCAGTCACTTTGAGTCACCATCAACAGGGTACTGGTTTATAACACTCCACTCCACTATTTGTGATTCTGAAAAGTTGGCTTACACGCTGCATCACTTTACTTGTACTGTTTGTAGAACAAAATTGCCTCTGAAAGTGCTGTTCCTACAGGACCACTGCCACCTGTAAGGGCCGTATGAGAGAGGAAAACAAGGTCATTCTTGTTCCTTCAGCACCCTGAAGCATTTTGGCAAATATGATCTCCCTGAAGCCCCGATGTAAATTCTGTAGGTTTTTTAATATGGCTTTTGGTGTTGAAAATAAGCTTTTTAATTAACACTAGGTTTTAGTATTAACATAGGTCATGCAAGTTAATTAAAAAATCCCAAGTGAGATGTAGTTTATCTAGAACGAGAGTGACTTGAGTTTAATTTCCAAAACTTATATCGTCTTATTCTCATTTATAGTATTTTAACTAATACTAAATCACTTCCCAGTTTTTCCTACTACTACCTCCACAGGGTCAGCCAGAGAGCTCAGCAGCCTGGAGCTGGAGGGATCAGTCTTACTCAGGGATGCTTACTAACATGGATTGAAGAACAAACTGCCTCCTCATTATGACAAAAAAAATATTAGTTTGTCTGATGCATTGCCCCAAGTTACTCTTCTAAAGCTTCGGTTCTTCATGTTGAGGCTTTTCTTCCTGTTTTCATCTGAGTTTCTTCTCCTCTCAGGCTTCCTGTGATATTCTCAGTTGTGGGCGCAGCAGCGCTGGTACAGTCGCTGTGTGCATGCCAGCATCTGTAATACAAAGTTAGCCCTGACAAGCGCAGGTTACATCAGGACAGCTGTTCATTTGAGTTTCCACGGAAACCTTGGCACAACCTCTGGGCAGTGGAGTGATCAAAAAGAGGGAGGCAGGTGCTGTAGGCAGGAGGAGCACATAGACACAAGAGAAGAATGTACGGCAGTCAGTGAGCAACAGCAAATAAAAATTTTGACTTTGTTTCCTTTATTGCTCCATTTTTTATGGTTATTGGCAGATACATTATGGAGGTATCCTGTGTCGTTATTACCTGAGTGCCATTATGTATCCTAGATTCATTTGCTTCTTATTCTCAGGCCTGATAGGTAGCTGAATACACAATGAATAAAACTGGAGATTGCTCATAAACTCATTTCTCAAACAAATTCTCAGCTCCTGCCCCATACGAACGACTGAACTGCTTTGAATTCTAGTATTTATCTGAACCATCTGATTCCTTTTATTTTCCTCCAGGTAAGCACATGTCCACAGTGGAGGAGTCAGTGACTCTGGACAACGGAGGTTTCACTGCTCTGGAGCTCAACAGCAGAACGCTCAACACCAAGAACTCCTTCCTGAAGAAAAACGGGACCAGGTGTGCACTCATTCATTCACACACACACACACACACACACACACACACACACACACACACACACATACCTTCCTTGATTTGTTATTTGATTTTCTTTAGATGTTACATGCATTATTAATGTGTGCATCCAGGTCTCCTCCCAGGCCCAGTCCAGGTGGTCTTCACTACTCTGACGAGGACATCTGTAACAACTATAACGGAGCTGTGCTCACTGAGAGCACCACACTCACAGAGAAACCCACTGAGGTCTCTGAGTCAGAGGTATATATCTCTCTCTCTCCCTTTTTTTTTTGGCCTAATCCAGTGTCCAGGTTTGGAGTCCGACCAGACACGTTAGTCGCATGTCATTCCTTATCTCTCCCCTCATTTGTATAATTTCTCAACTGCTGTCTGTTGAATTAAAGCAAAGATGCCAAAAACACACATACACATCACACGAGTTGGCACCAACAATCAACAAATAATCACAGAAAGATCACACTTGTTTCGTGGATTTAACTTGGTGTAATGAGTGATTATTTCAGACTTGCTCATTCATCGTAATTCCTATATGCAACAGAGGATTTCAACTGAGGATGTTGCAGTCGTTGGTCAGCGACCACAAATGTGTTAAATTCTAAATAAAATATTTTTCACAAAAAAAAAAAGAAAGTCGAACCAGCCTACCGTTTTTACACAGCTGTGAAAGCCGATTAAGCAATCTTGTCATACTCTTGGAGTATGAATTATTGGGAATATGTTTGATAGAAAGCTCTTTGAAAGTAGAAATTGAATTCTTTGTGCCGTACTGGTGTTGTCAGCATGTGGTCTTGCTTGTGGAAGAATAAAAGAAATGGTGGAGGCGAAAAATAAAGAGAAGCTACACTAAATGGCTAAAACCACTGAGCTCTCTCCAACGCTCTCCCTCTACCACCGATTCAACATGTTGAATTGGCCAAAGGGTCGATGATAATGGCTCAGAAGAAGTACACCATGTAATCTCAGCGTCTTCCCTTCAATTCCAACCTCCCGTCTGTCTCTACTGTCAAAGAGACAAAAGTGACAAAACAAACCTACAGTAAATGGTCAGCCACAAGTGCGCAGATGCTTTAGACCTTCACGTCAACACTAAAATTCCTTCCTCCTGATATTTGTCTGTTTCTCTCTCTGATAAACTGTCACAATAAAACCCATGCTGTGTGTTTGCATCCAGTTAACGGACAGCGACTACGAGGATGAGCAGCCCAAACACTCCTTCGTCAACCACTACATGAGCGACCCCACCTACTACAACTCCTGGAAGCGGCAGCCCAAAGGCCTTAAAGCAATCGGCGCTCCTTTTGGCTATGAGGAGTGCGCCGCTGCAGACACAGAGCCCTACTACCAGACCGTGGTCACCCAGCACAGCACAGGCGGCGCATACACACCCACAGGGCAGCCTGCGCACACACACGTCAACCCCAACACCAACCCGCCGGGGTCACGTACCCCTGTGACGGGATTCTCCTCATTCGTTTGACTCTAGAGACAAAATCTGCACAAAATGATACACACACGTACACAAAATGAAGGAGTTGGTGTGTGTTTGGACTAAAGGAGACAGAGCTTCGGTGGAGAGGGGAGGAAGAGACGGACTAAACCTACACTTCTCACTCGCCTTCTCCCCTAGTTCACAAAGATCCTCACTGTGTCGACGAGTGTGTGTGTGTGTGTCGCTCTCCCACTCTTCTACGCCTCTGTGTCACTGTGCTTACACACACAGTTACTGTTCTCGTTTCCACACACACACATTCACACCGGCGTATATCACCAGATGTTCATGCCTATTCTAGAGACTCTCTAACAAGAGCTAAGATCGATGACTACATGTTTGTGTAAATGTCGAGGAGGGAATTCGACTTGAGCTGGTGGAACCTGGAATTTTCTGCACAACGCTTCTTCTCTGTTTTCTGTATTTACACATAAGTGCACAAATACACACACATGCACTTGATGATGCCCCATTTCAGCATCTCCCACTGGGAGAGATGAACTTCAGAGTTCAGGAGAATTATTAAAACACGGCACAGAAGGGAGCAGCTTTTGTTAAAAGACTGGTTCATGTACACACACATGAATTTCAAATACCACCACACAAAGGAAATGAAAAAAATAACAATCAATAGTCACAGTTTTTCGAACTTGATAAAGGGTGGAGAGTGAGCGTAGGTCGGGGTTCTGCAGAACTTCAGGCATTCTCAGTGAGAGTGTTGTGTGGTTTCTGAGAGCAATATGGGATGTTAGGTGTTGGAATATATGAAAACCATGTTGTTGCCCCCCCCCCCCGTGTACCACAGCCTCCCAAGCCATAATGCTTGCACTGAGCCGAACCCCACACATTTCATCTTAAGTCTGTTAAGATTTAATTTTGTACAAGTTTGAGTGTGTGTGTGTGTGTGTGTGTTTGAGTGCGACACGTGTGCGTACAAGCATGTGGGTGTAAATGGCTCTATGCTCATTTCATCTGTCTCAGTTGTTCACTGCTAAGCAAAGCGTGCCATTGTATGTATGTTTGTATTTTTAAGATGGATTTTGTACAGGGAAACCCTTTTTACTCGTGTGCTGTTGTATGTAGTTCGGCCATGTTTGTGTAACTCCAAGCAAATAGTGAAACAGCACTGCAGCAAGTCCTCAGCTACACTGACCGATGAGAGGGGAAAGGAGGAGACGGAGTCGAGATCGTTTATCAAGAATCAAGCTTTTTTTGAATGAATGTGGAACACGTTACAGGATAGTTTTAGAGAATCATTCTTGTTCAAACTGAGTGTGATTGAACGTTGACTCATAAGGCCCGACTACCTGTACCCTGGCCTCAACCCCAGCAGCCAGGCTGCCACACGCGTACTTTGTACCTCTCTTCAAGTGCAAACAAAAATCATCTGTAAGTTTTTACTCATGTATAATTTAAAGATTCTCCTCCCTCCCTCCCAGCCAGCCAGCAGCCGCCCTCACTCTGTCACGCTTGTTTTGAATCCCATACAGTGTGTGAATAAATGGTCATTGTTTAAAAGTGTGTCTTTGTGGTCTGTTTTAGTACTGGAACAGTGAACATGTCTTTTTGGATCATCCCCTACATTACATTAACTGAATTAAAGAGGTGCCTTAATATTTTGTAGCTGCCTCAGTGACCCTGAACTGAACTGTCTCACTGAACTATCGTAACCAGGCCTGTGAGCATTGTTTGTATATTTTATTAAAGTGGTAAAAGGAGGGAAGGACCAGAGCTTCATCAGTTGTTGTCTATTAATTATTAGTGTTTCAGTGTTCTGCCCCGTCTGTGAAGGGCCTGTGTGACTGTTCCCTGAATAAAGTTGTGTATTCGAGGAAAATGATACCAGCAGGGAGTTGAATTATTAAACAATTATCTAAGAGGTCTTTCAACAGAGGCAAAGTGCACTAACTACAACTGTAGCACACACCTTGTAAACTGTCGTATGTTATCAAACAAAGGCTTGGTTCACTCATATACCCCTGGTGTTATGTAGCACATGCACATGATTTTGGTTTTATTTGTCCAGGTTGTGAGATATTTGTCTCTGAGATGTGTGCCTCCACTCCAATACAATGGACGTAAATGGAATTTCATTTGTGGTGCACAAAGCATTAAAAAATTATGGTTATGAAAATCAACAGTATATGTGTATCTTTCCAGAGTCAATCAATCATTCACTTGAACTGTTCCTAAAGGGCAATCGGTTGTACAGCAGTGAAGCAGATGCACAAGAAGCAAATAAATACAGAAGAGAAATGGGTAAAAAAAAAAAAAAAAGATATGTGATTTAGGTCTCTAATAACTGACACTAATCAGACAAGCAATCACTGACACTAATGGAAGGCACAAGTGCAATTGTAATTAAATGTTATGTAAAGTGATTATGTTAATCATATTTCTTTATTTTCATTCTGCCTATTTAAACCTTGTGATGAGACGAGTGTTACTGATATAATGAGTCACCTTCCTGAAACCTCGATGGTGTGAAATGTATTCTTAGGGTGAGAAAGGTAATATATTAGTTTTATATTTAGTTTGTTGGTTCAATCCATAGACAGTTAATCAACAACAGTGAGATAGATACTTAGTTCATCTTTTTTTTCTGACATTTTAGGGAATACATGAATAATTGATTGGTTAAAACATCATCAATAAATGCATCAAAAATGAAAATAATCATTACTTTACAGTGGTGGACGGTAACTAACTCAAATAATGTACTTGGATACAATTCTGACAGGCTTGTACTTTACTTGAGCATTATAATACTTTATTATTTAAACCCACATTTCAGAGGGACATTTGGACCCCTGTTCGCCAGTAAAAGTGCTAACTAGTTTTTGCTTATGCTATGAGCATATAAAATACAATGCAGTGTGTCACAGTCCATTAAACTACCCAGTAGTGTATATAATAGTTAAAATTACAGTTGCTTTACCTCAAACAGCAGCAGTATGATGCTGTTTACAATTTAATGCATTGGTAATGACAATCCAATAATATAAGGTCGAAAAACACTGACGATGGCCACTCTTCTAGATAATGACTCAATGAGTACTTCAACCATATCAAGACTTGTTCATTAATAACAACTAATTAAAATGAAGTAATGTTACCAGTGGTGGAATGTCACTAAGTACATTTACTGAAGTACTGAAGTGCAATGCTGAGGTGCTTGTACTTGACTTGAGTATTTCCATTTTGTGCTACAGTATACTTTTAGTCCACAACATTTCAGAGGCAAATATTGTGCGTTTTGTTCCACTACACTTGTCTGGCAGCTGCAGTTACTTGTTACTGAAGTTTTTTTTTTTAACAATGAGCATATAAAATATGATTCAATGTTATACAGTAAAATAAACTACCCAACTGTACTTAAAATAGTTCCAATTACCAACACATTAACCAGTTACAACATTTAAATGCTGCTTACACGTTGATGGATCTGTGATAATAATGCAATGATATAATAGATGCTATAGTAAAACACTTAACAGACACAATCATGTCTGCATAATAATAATTAAAATAATTGTACTTTACTGAAATGAATACACGACTTTTACTTGTAATGAAGTGTATTTACATTGTGATATTGTTGTAGATGTGAATAGTTTTTCCATCACTGCATGTAGCCGAGGTTCAGTTCATGGCCGCGGTCATGTGTCTCCCGGCCAGCAGGGGCGCTGCTGGGCGGTGCCGCAGACCCCTAGGGCAGTGCTGTGGTGTCCGGAAGAAGGACAGTCAGCATGGCGGATATATTTTCCACTTCATGCATTGTTTTCAGTATTTTGGTTTAATAGCGTAACATTAATTATCATTGATTTAAGCCGTTGCGTTAACGGCTGTTTTTTGTCACCGCACGGCTCTGAGCTGGAGCGGCCGTTACACCGCTCCCTGCGGTCTGTCTGCACACGTCGTGACTTGTGACCCAGTTTGGTTTGGTGAGTTTTCGCCTCCTCCTCGATTACTGATTAGTCCTGATATCATTCTTCGATAGCTGTGTGCTGTATCGATACATACGCTGTCAGCATGAAAAGCAGTTTGATGTTGTGGGAGACAAACGGTTGTGTCTCAGACCGGCTCGTTTATGGACTGAAATACGACAGTTAAAACCCGTTGGCTGCAGGGGTTTGTAACGTTAGCTTGTGCTGCACACATACTGAGTTTACTCTCATCTTATTGCAGTACATGGTATTATTTTTCCGGCCCCCTGACAACAGCTTAACACACGCTATGAAAAAAGAAACCTCTGAAATCCCTGACCAGCCCAGGGGCCCCTTGAAGGCCCCCCCATCTCCCATGACATGGCCCCAGTCACCACAGACTCAACTGTTAATCTCTCAAAAATGAAGTGGTGGAAGAAGTACTCTTTTACTTAGCTAAGTAAAAGTACCGAAACCACAATGTAAAGATTATGCTTTACAAGTGAAAGTAATGCATATAAAATACTGCTTCAGTAAAAGTACAGAAGTATTGTCAGTGAAATAACGTTATACTTTGTGGATTACTTGCAAAAGCCCCAACTTGTCTCTCAAAAGTAAATATTTATGTCTGTGAAAATGTCAGTGTCATCAGAATGACAAGTCCTTGTGTCATTGTTTTATAAATGCGATAGTCAATATGTTTATCCATGTTGTCAACATAACAGTGTTACTCTCTAATTTCTAAAGTAAATTATGGCTAAGGTTTTGATGAGAATGATTGAAAAGGCACAACGCTGCACTTTTTCAGTAAGGCATAAATCAGTTAAGACAGTAGAAATTATACATTGATATATATATATATATATGATTGGACAGGATTCACAGTAATGCTTTTATTGTTTGTACTGTAATTTGTTGACAGTCATGTCATTGCTATACACAAAAGAAAAAGATGTGTTTTACTGCTCTGCATAGCACAATGAAAAAAATTACAAAATTAGAAATGTAAACATAAGAAACACCCCTTAGGCTGATGTATCCGTCTGTCAGGCCACAGATTCTCATCCACATCACAATTGATATCTTCATCATTTCTAATAGACATGTATAGAAAATATGTATGACAGATTATGACAACATTTTCAACAATTTTGCATGTAGGGACTGAATTTCTGCTTAGATGTTTTGGGGGGTAAGACTATTCAACAGAAAACCAGTATAATACATTTTGATCAACATGACATAAGCAATTAATAATGTAGGAAACAGCAGACAATTGTTAAACATAGTCATTTGCATTAATGTGTCAAAGCATCTGCAATTTGTTTTTAAAAAAAATGGGAAATTGCTTTTATGATGTGCACAAGTGACTAGATGTTGAGGAGGCTGAACAAGTAGTTTTGATCTGAGATCTGAGAAATGTACCAAAGTGACTGAGAATATATACAGTAATATATAGTTTAGTCCAGTGGTTCCCAAACTAAGGGTCAGGTACCTCCAAAGACAAGATAAATATTACAAGATAAATATGATTTAATATGGTATAAAATAACAAAAACAAATGCTTTTTAATGTTCAAATATTGGAGATTTGGTTTGACCTCCTCGGGCCTCCAACAATAATTTAAAAAGTCCTATAAAGTTTAGAGGGGAAATGGCTCTTTTGTGACAGTCATAACCACTAATTTAGTCTAAAACAATGTTAATACGTTGTATTTTATGAGCTTGTATGTTTTTTGTAAATGTAAAATCATTATATTAAAAGTAGCTTCATCTGTCAGATAAAAGTAGTGGAGTAAACTGTACTATATTTCCATCTGAATTGTAGTGGAGTAGAAGTATAAAGTTGCCTTAAATGGAAATACTCAAGTAAAGAACAGGACTTGAGTAAATGCATTTTCCACCGCAAACGTGAGTAGTGGTATTTTTTAAATAGTGTTTTCTCACTAACTGACAAAAAATAAATTTAAAACGTTTGTTTATTTTCCAAGAGTCAGTCAGGTCAATGAGTTGAACTGCTTCCCATTAAGCTGTTTCATGCAGGTTTTGATTGATGATGTGTGAATTAATGTGTTTCTTATTCTGTATTTGGTGGGGGGGGGGAGAAATAATCCATTCTTATATGCATCGCGGTGCAGACGTGGAAGATTCTGAATCGATTAACAAATGTAAATAAATAATTAAATGTTCATTGATAATGTAATATTGACGGAACGCAAAAGGTGGAACTTGCAGAAGTGCCGCGTCTGTGGCGCGGACTTCACAGAGAGAACAATGTTCCCCTGTATTTGGCACACCACCGCTGCAGAACGAATAACCAACCTACTAAAATGTCACACAATCATTAATGTCAGTGTGCAAGTAATGATTTTAACTCGCAGACTGTGCGAGCATGGTGACACTAAACGTTAGCTCTCTGTGTATCTTGTGTGTGAGGCCGAGCGAATGAGAGGCAGAACATGAGGATGAAAGTTAGCGTATAAAAATATCAGCAGTAAGTTTCAGTCTGGCAGTAAATGTGCAGTGCAGGTCACTGTGTGTCCGTTAATAAAAGTCTGTAGTTTCCTCCTCAACTGCTGGAAAATCGAAGGCGGTAAGCGCTAGCTAACGTTTCCCCTGTACAGCACATTTTTGGCTGTTTACAACGTTAGTTAAATTAGTAGGGAAGTAATATTAATTAGCTCAGCTGTATGTCATTAGTTATAACTTACCTACTTGTCAAGGGTTGAGAACATCAGGTACAAGCTTAGACTAAACCAGTGTACAGCTCTGTAGTTACACCCTGTTTTCAGGGGAGTCTGACAACTGGTTGTTAAATGAGGGACCATGGAGATAAGGTTAATGAAGAAAATTAGGGATGCAAACTAGCCATTTTAAGCTAATTTGGATATGTTACTTTTAGATTACTGCCAGCTCAACGATGTCGCATCCGACATCAAAGCATACATATTAAGTCATCCTTAATATCTCCGCTGCATGCTGGAGACTTTACTTTTAAGTTTACCGTTGCGCCGTTTCGAGTGCTCTGGTGCGATTGTATCACTCTCAGCAGCGTTGCAGTGTCTTTTTGGAGACTTTGTAAAATTTATCCATAAAGATGCATCCACTACCAAATGTCTTCTGTGATAATTTATCCATCTTATCAGTAAAAATCGTTATTGTTGTTTTCCCACTGGCAATCCTGTGATGCATTTGGTTTAGTCTGACAACCAATCAGTGGCGTTGTTTTGACATGTTGACAAATCAAATGCTGTGTGGGCGTGTGTGTTGCAGCACTGATGAATAACATGCGATTTACCCCATCCCCATGTAAATAAATCTATATGATCAGGGCACCACCTGAAATTATGAGTAGAAGAGCGTAAATGTAATAAATAAAGTGTAGTTTCTCCGTCACACGTCCACGGCGCGTGTCCTGTGCGCATGGTAGGGTTATAGTTATTATTTGTCTTTACCACAGAGGTTTTTACACGTTTTGCTTGACTTCTTGACATGAAAAAGGGCCGCATGTGATAGACGACATCGCTGTCCTGTTTAGAGGTTCATACTGCACTTTTCTGCAGCTCCTCTTTTCACCCTGTGTTGAAGGCTTCGTTTTAGCAGTAGGAGTGATACATCTTGTCTCTAAATGATCTTTGTTGGAAGTGTGCACATGCGCAGTTCTTAGTTAAAGACTACTAGCCAATCAGAAGCAGAGAAAGGAAAAAACGGTAAACAGCTTCAATTCAGCTGTAGGCTACGTGATGCCGACCAGCTTGGCAACATAGACTGGAGCAAGAGTTTCAGAGTGGTGAGTTATTAATCTGTAACAAAAGAATCTTTCATCCATAAAGTTTTAACTCAGCTCTGTCTCTACATCACAGTAACAACTTCATGTCCATTGACTGCTTGGAGGGTAGCTAGTGTTTGGAAGGGAGAGGAGAGGTGTGCTGCAGCTCAGTGTTTTTCCACCTGTGTTTTTGAGGGCGTGTCAGACTAGCCGCTCAGCCAGCATTATGACACGTATTTTTATTGTGACTTCACAAGAAAGGGGGGTACAGGAGTTGGCCGAGTGAAATGGCAAGGATTTGAGGAAATCTACAGGCTGACGTGTAAAGTTTTCTTCCTTTCCAAGTTTCAACAAGGATGTTCCTTGTTGCCAATTCCACACCTGCGCAGTGTGTACCACAGTCGCTCTCGCGCATCAGTGGTACGTAACGTGTTGGGCAGTAAAGAGTAATGTAACGGATTACTATTTCCAAAACAGTTATGTTATTACAGTTACTAATCCAAGTAACGTTGCGCTACTGCACGCACCATCCCTGACGTGAATGCGTGACTGTGCAGCAGCTCAGCGGCACCGGACATTATGTTGTCCAAGTCAGCTGTTAGCCAAAAAGCTAAAGGAAGACTGGAGAACAGGGAGAGAGAGGTATTTTCAACAGCTGTAAGTAACGTTATTGCCATTATTATGTCACAGTCTAAGATGCAAAGAACATTGTCGTCAGTTGTAAACTTTGTGCCACCAGCAAAAAGTTTTTTTTCTGCGAGCAATTCTATATTTAGGCTAATTGAAGCATCAGCTAAAGAAACACAGCAACGTGAAACTCAGAAAGAAACTCCGGCCGCTGCTGCAGTGATGCTTGGACTATAGTCTATGATCGGGAAAGAGTGGCGTTATATCACCCAGTAATAAGTAGAGTAGCTAATATTACTTTTTTAAGGAGTATATGCTGAGTAAGTAGTTGGTAATAATTATATTATTTCTGAGTAACTTGCCCAACACTGAGTTGACAAAAAGGATCGGATAAATTGGGTATGTTTTGATTATTGCTTGTTATAGGCTAGGGCGGGCTCTATATATTTTCCTGCTAATCTTTGTCTTATAAGAGTAAACCTACAGAAAACGTTACACCTAAATGTAACTTCCTTTTTTGTGTGATCATCAGTTTGTAAAGATACACTTATTTTTGCTCCTTGTACTGCTGGCACACCTGCAACCACGACTTAAATAACTTTTACCTGACGACTGTTGATAAATTCTCAAATTGACCATCATAACATTAAACTGGAAAATATGTACAACTAAATAGTGAAAAAATATATTGAGAGGAGCTAAATTATGTTCTACTCAGATGGGGGTTTGATGTCTTGCACATACAAATTATTGGAAAACACAAATAGCATATTCTGTATGCCTTCATACTTAACATGTATCAAATCAATTAATCTCATATTGTGTATGTGTTTTATTCAACCTAGTTTGCCTAATTTTCTAAGCTTGAGAGATAAAACTAGCCCATACTTTTCTACTCAGTCCACTTCTCATTTTCATTAAACCAAAACAATGACATGGGGTACACAATGACATTCTAATGTCAGCATGGGTAATGGATATTTCAAATTAAAACGTAATCAAATCAAATGTAAATCACACTCTGTCGTGGAAAAGTCGTGAACTTGCACTCAGAACAGACTGAGAAGTTCATGGAGCTCCCCAAAGCACTGCTTCTTACTTCAAAACTACGCCCATCCTGGTAAAAGTTTTTAGGTAGTCAAATGGTCGTTCAATTGAATCAGCACCTCTTTAAAACTGTTGCAACAAAAACAAACATTACAACCTGCATGAAGGTAAGATTTACTGCAGGATTGTTGTATTCGACTGCATTAGTTTTAGCTAGTTGTACCTAATGAGCTGATGTGGAACTGAGTATGTTTCAGTGCAACAGAGTTTACCTGTCATTGACCCTGAAACTAACTTGTATGTGTTTCTTTCACAGTTTTCCTGGACTAACCTGAGTGGAATGAAACATCAGGAGCCTGAAAACGGACCAGAGAGGGTGACATCTTAATATTCTTATTTGAGTCAAAGAAGAAATAAAAAATAGCCCCTGTTAAAAAAACAACACACACATCCCCCCCCCCTCCCCCCCCATCCCCAAAATCTAACAATGGTTGAAGTGGCCAAACAGGACTTCTTCTTGGAGCCACTCCCAGAGCCACTACTGATAATCCTGTCCCCACCTCCACCTTTCTTACCTGTCCCTGGTGAACCGACTATGTTTTGGCATAAGTGGCTTAAAGCTTTTGAACACTATGTTGAGGCACTTGGTGAAAACGAGCTAACTGACTCCAGTAAGTGTGTGCTGTTACAGAACTGCCTTGGCCCGGAGGGTCAGCGTATCTTCACAACACTGATCCAGAGTGAAACCACGTACACAGAAGCCATCTCAGCGCTGACTTCTTACTTCAGCAGTGATCACACCTCTCAGATGTACCGCCTTAAATTTCATCAGAGGGCTCAAATGCCCGGAGAGACTGTAGATCAGTTTGTGTTTGCGTTAGAAGAACTGCTGAGGCCTTGCAACTATGGAGACTTAAAAGACAAACTTCTCCTGGATCAGCTGATTGAGAAGACAAACCTCCCACAACTCAAAGAGAGGCTGCTGTTGGAGAGGGAAACTCTGACCTTGGATAAGGCATTGGTTATCGGTAAAGAGTTTGAATCTGCGTTAAATGAATCTGAACTGTTTGGTGTTCATGAGGTCAGTGTAGACATCGGAGACTTTTTAGACCCTCCTGTTCAAAGAAAGGCCAAAAGAGGACGTCCTCGGCGTGGGGAGGAAAGGGCGAAAAACAAAACAAAACCGAGCTCGACGAAAACCCCAACAAGATCATCTAGATACAAAGATGATTACTATTACAGCCATGACAAGCTCTATTATAGTGATGATGATAAAGATAAATCTAAAAGAGCTAATGAAACTAATCTGGTTTGCGATGTAGCCAGCGAAAAAACAGGTAAGGATGATGATGATGCTTTGTCGTCATCATCTCAGAGGATGGAAGAGGGAGGCTGCGACAAAGCTTGTGATGGTGTTGATAACGATGATGAAGACTTTGTCCTCTCTTCGACTAAACGAAAAGGCCCCAACTGTCCCATCTGTATTGACAGGCGCTTCAGAGATGCAAACAAGCTCGCCAGACACATGAGGACGCACACAAAGGAGAAACCGTTCAGCTGCCCCATCTGCGCCATCACCTTCAGTGAGTCCTACCACATGACCCGACACCTGAGGAACCAGCACGGTGCCGGCCCACACGTCTGCTCCACATGTGGGAAAGGTTTAGGGAGTGCGAAAGAGCTGAAAAGTCACAAGAAGACTCACGCGTCGCAAGTCATGTCATGTCCTGACTGTCATGCAAAATTCACTGACAAGGGTGCGTTTCTTAGTCATATAGTGACACATGACACCGACCAGTCCACCGAGATAGAGGGACAGAGTTCCCAGGAAAGTGAGGAAGTGAAAAACCAAGAAATAATCGAATCATGCAACAAAGATAATCATGAGAGTGATGATTGCCAAGATAATGTTGAGAATGATGCAGACTCTCCTGATTCTCAGGATAAAGGGTCTGAAGCTGGTGTTAAGACTGAAGAAAAGGACACTAATGAAGCTGAATCTCAAGATGGAGGCAGTCAGGAAGAAAATGTCACCTCTAAGACTAAGACAGAAGGCCATTATTGTCCCATCTGTGTTGGCAGGCGCTTCAGAGGGCCAAACAAACTTGCTAGACACATGAGGACGCACACTAAGGAGAAACCGTTCAGCTGCCCCGTCTGCGCTCTGACATTCAGCCAGTCCTACCACATGACCCGACATCTTAGGAACCAGCACGACTTGGGCCGCTATATCTGCTCTAAATGTGGGAAAAGTTTAAGTACCTGGCTGGAATTTAGAGCACACAAGAAGACTCATGCAGTTGAAGGCCTGACATGTCTTGCATGTGACAAACAGTTCAAGGAGAAGGCTGCACTTGTGAGTCATCTTAAATTACACAAGAAGGTCCAGTCCAGCCCGCGAAGCCTCGTCTGCGGCGATTGCGGCAAAGTATTTGGTCGGATGTATCATTTGAAAAGGCATATAGTGACCCATCGCAAAGCATCAAACGGTGAGTGTTACACATGCCCTGATTGTCAGAAGAATTTTGCCTTTCCAGAAGACCTCAACAAACACCTGGAGATTCATGTGAAAGAAAACAATGGGACTTGTCCAAAATGTGATGAAACCTTCAGTAGTCCGGAAGAACTGGAGACGCACATGGGGGTTCATGAAAAGTCTTACTCCTGCAACACCTGCGGCAAGAAGTTTAAGGTCGAGTATGCGCTGAAGAAGCATGAGCAAGGCCACAAAGATGAGCAGTATTATTGTTCGTTGTGCCGCAAACGCTTTATCAAGCTATCTCACTACAAGAGGCACATAATGGTCCATGACAGACGGGAATCCAGATGTCCACACTGTGACAGTGTCTTTCTAAAGTTAACAGCTTTGAAGTATCACTTGCGGACTCATACAGAAGAAAGACCGCACCAGTGTAGCTGTTGTATTGAGACCTTTGAGGAGAAGGAAGAGCTAGAGCAACATTGCCTCAAACACAGGAAATTCAAGAGGCAGAGGCCGTACTCGTGCACTCGGTGTGATTTCGCTTTCTCTACACTAATTGAGCTGACAGAGCACATGAGCTCCCACGAGGGCGAGCAGCCGCTGAACTGCCCCGACTGTGGCAGGACTTTCTTGAACAAAAACAAGCTGGAGAAGCACATGAGCCTTCACACGGGGGAGAGACCTCACCTCTGCTCTGTCTGCGGCAACGGCTTCCCCTCGGCCGCCAGTCTCAAGTTACACATCCACATCCACACCGGAGAAAAACCCTTCCAGTGTTCGCAATGCAGCAAGAGTTTCAGGTCATCCAGCGGGCTGCGGCTGCACAGCAGACAGCACATGGAGGTGCGGCCCAGCTACAAGTGTCCCGAGTGCGACAGGACTTATGGTCGCATGACTGAGCTGAAGATGCACCAACGCTATCACACGGGGGATAAACCGTACGCATGCACCTGCTGCAACAAACGCTTTATTAGCAAAGACAAACTGAACGTTCACATGAGGATACACACAGGCGAGAGGCCATACTCCTGTCCCCACTGTGGACAAACCTTTACACAGACGGGGGATAGAAACAGACACATCAGTAAATACCACTAGTTTGATACTGTAGTAACAGAACTCCAGTGAAGCAGCTTCGGTTGTTGCTTTTGAATTATCGCACCAGTGTTTTTGCATGTTTGCAGGGGTAGGTAGCATTAAGATTTTTCTCTTATTTGAGAAAATATTAATCAAAATATGTTGAAAGCCAATTTAGGCAGATTTATGCTGCCATGAACACTAAATACGTCACACATGATGAGGTTATGTGATTGTTTTTGGTAAAATAAAGAAGAATATAGATCTTCTCTCTCGTTGAAGGAAAAAAAGAAGAAAATCCTAAACACCATCTCAAAGTAAGGCTTTTTAAAGTGATCAACATGAAGAGAGATTAACATGTATGAAAGTCTTTGTCTTCTCAAATGTTAAATGTCTAAACACAAGCAGTTTTAAAATAACTGTTCATAAAGAGAATAGTCTGGTCACTGTAAATAATGAGTTACTGATGGGGTGATGATCATTACTATTATAAAGGATTTATTTATTATTACCAAACATTAACATCATCAGCATTTACAGTGGGATTATGGATTGTGCTTTTAAGGACGGTCTGATGTCTAAGACACTAAGCTGTCAAACAGCAACCTCCTTAGTGCAGGAAACTACAAATTCACTTGACTTCATGTTTGCTGGGTTTGATTTTGTTGAAAACATAGCTCATGAATGTGGTGCTTCTTGTTGGCAGACTTTAACTTAATGGATAGTGGGCTAAAACATGCAAAAGCACTGATTTCTCTGTGCAGTACAAGCCTTCACTGTTACCATCCAAATAGTTTGTTACTTCATACCTCGGCCTTCTTCTATATCACTACATTGCCACAAATGACACTAAAAGATTTCAGAGCTTGTGTTTCACTACTTTTTATTGTATGTTTTGTTTTGCTTTTTGCAATATTTTTATTTAGGCTTCTCCGTACTGTAAGTGTAATGCATTCACTTGAGAAAAAAAGATTCTGCTCTGTTTTTCTGAATTAACGAGACACCTCAAAATCCCAAGAGAAGCTCTCATTTAGCTTGAATTAAAGCAAAAATGTCCTGCCTGTTTAGTTTAATCCAGTTTTAATTTTGGTTTGAGACATTGGGAGATAGTCTTGTCTTTCAGAAATATAGATGGTATCTGTATTCGTTTATCTACCCTGTCACCGTATAGGCCTAGCACTGTTGCTGTTGGTCGTTCAGGCTGATGGCCTGCTCTCTGCAGGATTTTGAGGCATGTCGTTGATTCAGAAAAACGGAGCAGCATTTTCTTTTCAGCATTACGCTTCCGTATCTCTGTAATCAAGCATTTTGTTTCTGTGTTTAGAAAAGTGCCATAAAAATAAAACCATTATTCACTCTTCTAGCACATGTGAGGAGGTTTATGAATAATGTTTGTAAAATATACACACGTAAGCTTTGTAATTTTTTTTCACCTTAAGTCAACAAGACAGTCAAGTGAGAATCAATCAGGTGTACATAGAAATAATGAATGTCTCCATATAAACCGCAAAATTATATCCATAGTGTTTTATCACTGTTGGTTACTCAAAGCTACAGCAGTAGTTGAGTGCCTTTAACACTAATTGTCTTTTATAGATGTGCATCCTCGCTAAGGGGGCTGTGAAGCAGGAATAAACCTAATCACTTAAGGTTTATTGGTATCAGTTTTAAGGTTATGCAATTGCTGAAACTTTTTGATTAAGAGATCAGTATTGTTGATTTCAGCCCTGTAGACATATGCACACATACAGAAAACATTAGAACAAAGTTAAACAAACAAGTGGTCTCACAGGTTTTCCCTTTGGTTCTGGCACGCAGATAAATATTTTGCCGTTGACGCTGTTTAAGTGATCTCTCCTAAAGAATTTCTGTGCATATAATTAATCTAAAATGAAATAAAGAAAAACATTAATCTAAATTAAAAAAAAAAAACGAATCCAAAAAAGTTACATCTATATATTTAAAGATAAATATTTTTTTCTGATTGTGAAAAAAGATGGTAGATAATCTGATAATGAGTCGATAACAGCAGGATCACATTAGTGAAAACAGACCGGCCACATGAGGGTGCTGTAGGGACATGAAGTTGTATTAGAAAGAACAGTATCGAATGTGTTTTATACAAAACAATTAAACATTGCAACCCCGTAGGTAAATGAATAACAATCTGATTTCTTGTCAGTTTGGTTTTCAAAAACCAGGAATTTTGTTTGGAATATTGAGGCAACACTAAATGGTCCCAGTAAAAAAAACATACTGTGAAATAAATAAATTTACAATTTAAAAAAAACATGAAAAATATGTAATATGATTTTTAAATAAAAAGCTAAGGGGCCAGGAAATGTCTCAATATTCACAGTATAAAGAATATGTGCGATGTGCAGAGATGACAGTCCAAAAAATGGCTGTTAATGTAGTGCAAAAGTCAGATATGGAAACTTTATGCTAATGTAACATGTAATGCCCGTGGGGCAGCTAAACAGTAAGTGTCAGTAGGGGTCCTGGGCCATGTTGATGAGGCCAGCTGCAGTCGGGAAGAAACTGTTCTTGTTGTGTTTTTCCGGCCTTGATGGGCTGCAGCCACTTGCAAGGCAATCTACAAGCGACAAAACATAGATTAGATTAGTTACTAACAGAAGACAAGAATTGTGTAGAAAGAAGAAAGAGAAAAAACGCAATCATCTTAATACGGACAAGGGACTCGAGGTTAAAGGAGACCTGTAAAAGTGTACAACCATGTTGAAGGCAACATATTTCTGTGATCTAACAAGGTTCCAGGGTGGATTTATTTATCATTTTACAACACAGTGTTGTATAACAAGATTAAGTTGTGGTTCTCTTTATGCTACTCATAAAAACATAAAATTGATACAGTAGATGGGTGAATAAATAAGTCATACAAATAAAGCTATTTTGCATTGTGGAGTGCTGAGGAAGAATTGAGGAGTCTCAGCCTGAGGAAAGAAGCTACTCTGCAGAGTAGCGACAGGTGGTGCGACAGCAGATACTTCTGTATCTCACACCAGATGGCTGCAGGGTGAACAGACTGGGGTGGGTGCTGTCTTTTAGTATCCTTTGGGCTCTACACAGGCACCTCACCTCTCCGATATGACTGATGTTACTGTGACCCACTAAGACTGTTTCATAAGGTGACAGAAATAGATTATATTTTCATTTATTTAAAAAAAAAAACATCTTCTGAGTGGTTTTAATGACCTGCTGCAGACTTTATGAAGTTTCCAGTCAGAACGCTTTCTGTTTCCTTAACAAATACAGCTGTTCTGAGTTTTCTCCACCAGCATGGAGATGTGAGAAGACCATGATGCTGATGTCCAGGAACATAAACCTGTCCACCTCAGCTCCACTGTAGACAGAGGTGTGTGTCTTTACCTCCTCTTTCATGAAGCCACAATCAGCTCTTTGGTTTTGCTGACATTGAGCAGTAGGTTGTTCTCTGTGCACCACTCTGCAAGATTGTTGATTTCCTCCCAATATGAAGTCTCATAATTGTTTGAAATCCCTGAGGGGTTCTGGTGTTCTGGCTTGCATCAGTGAAATGTCTATGTAGGGCATAATAATAATGTGTGTCAGACAGAGAGAGTCTGTAGTGTCAGATGTATTGATGAGATACAGGTATGTTTGATGGGCTTCATAACTTACTACAAATAGGAGAGTTTGACATGTCACAGTAGGAAAATCAAAGGTGTTATTTATATTATTGATGATGCCTGAATTCCATTTTTCTGCTTCGTTTTCATGGACCTGTGCGTTTGACAGCTATAGTTACTAGTTACTTATCCAAAGTGACTTACATTTGAGCATCAATACAGTAAGAGATCGACAAGAGACAATATATTAGTAAGAGCTATTAGAGCTAATGGCATGGGGTAAATACCTAGGGAAAGAATAGTTAACAAATAGTGCAATCAATACAAGAGAGGTAGTAAGGAGATAAGAAGAAGAAGAAGAAGAAGAAGAGCACAATAAGTGCATGTTAGGCGTAAGAGGAAGCCATCTTGGAAGAGATGAGTTTTCAAGAGCTTCTTAGTTCCACCTTGACCAGATGATGCATGCTGCTTACTTGGTTAAGCAAAAATGTCTTCAGTAGCCTATAAGTAAATTTAGCAGATAATACATATTGTCTTTTACTTTAGTGGAGCTTTGAATGCAGGACTTTGTCTTTTAATGTAGTATTCTATACTGTTAATTGCTACTTTTTCTTAAGTGAAGAATCTGCATTCTTCTTCCACCAGTGACAATAATGTGCCTGAAACAGTTTGAGTCCGGGGGGAAGAGGGATCAGCCACACAGTCCTCGAGGGATGGTAGATTATGCACTCAATTAATGAAATTAGAGTGCACGAGTTGAAAGATTCAAAGATTCTGCCTACACAGTACGTATTATCATTGAAGGAAGTTCAACAGAAAAGACGACATCCAGTCCGACAGGTGGCAGTACTCATGTATTTACTGCTAGCGGTTAGAAACAGGAAGATGGTAGCTTTAGCTTGAAGCAGCTTTGAATAATAGTAACAGAGCTCTCCAACTTTCTGTGGTTATTTGGATGTTTTGAAGTGACGTGACGGAAGTTTTGAAAATATCAAACTTTCGTGTGTCTAAAAGGTAACGCTGATGCTAACCTAAGCTAAAGCTCGATAACTCAGTGAGCTCACACGTAGCTACCGTCTTTGCTAAGGGTACAAAGGCTCGTTGTCAGCTGTTGTCTTATTCAAATAGATAAATGGACGCATTGTGAATTGTATTTGGTTAAATGTAATGTGGAAAGTTATGTTTCAGAAATGACCAGAAAGAAATCCTTTGCCCTGCTAAACTACATATCAATATGAGCAAGCTAGCTGCGTTAGCTTGCTAGTTTAATATATAATGTTAAAATACTAGACAATGTGAAGCAAATAGTAAGAGATAAACAACATTAACTTTCACCCTGAAAGCATGGTGGCATAGCAAGAACATTACAGCTTTCCTTGTTTTAAATAGGAGTATATTACTTACTTTCATTGAAAGCCAGGACTGAAGCTACAGTCACTCCTTATGGCTGCTTTTGGTTTTACTCCTGCCAGCGGCCAGGATGTTTTCAGCATTGAAAGAATCGAACAATCCAGCTCTACAACAAGCTGTGTACTTAGTGGGGAAGAGGCCAGGCAGTTCTACGAAAATGTAATGAAAGATGAGAAAGGGCAAGATGCATCAAGAAGTGCAATGAGCAAGAAAGGTTATCGCAGAGAGCATCAGAATAAACAGAGGAATGGAGAGTCCAGTAGAAGAGTGAGGAGGAGGGTCAGGGTTGCAGAGATGCATCAGGGTCAAACCGATTCTGCGGTGGAAAGAGGGATTAGAGGTGAAAGTGAAGGCAACCAAAGAGAAACAAACAACACAGAAAGGTCCACGGAGCTCCTGGGGCTCAGGTTGTTGCGCTGTGCCCATGAGGGGGACATCTCTAGCCTCAAAGAGCTGCTCTCCAAGGGGGTCGACATCAATTTCCAGGTACAATACTTTCCACTCAATGTGTTTTCATTTTAGAAATATTTTATTAGTATTTGTTTTAAGTCTTGATGGTGTCTCCTCCAGGATACTTACTTCTGGACGGCGGTGATGTGTGCAAGTTGGTCAGGACAGAGAGCTGCGGTGAGGCTGCTGCTGCAACACGGAGCAGCCTGGGTTGGAGTGGTTGATACACAGGGCCGGGACGCCAAAGACCTGGCTCTGGAAGGTATAACCATGCAACTCTTATTAGCAACTCTAAAATTCTGTGGTTGTGTAACTTTGAACTCATCCATAGCATTGTTTTCTCCCAGCTGGCCACAGTGATGTATTGGATGAGTTGGAGAGCTATGGGAGAAGGACAGAGATGGAGACACAATCTGATAGCAGGTTAGCACACTCTTAAGTTTAAAACCAAATGAACCAAATATGAATTCTATAAAAACAGGCTGTGCAATAGTGACGCCTTCCTACAACTAAATTGGCAGGATGGATCTGCCATTTTCAATTGGGAAATTTTATATTTTCCAATCTATCCATGAAATTATGTCAAAATTAAGGTCCAAAGTAAGCCATGCAGCGTGAGTTTGGGAGAGTTGTGGTAAACATTGTCATGTAAATATTAGTTTTTTGAGTGGTTCATATCTTACGTGGCTGCATTGATTTCCAAAGTTGCTGTGCCCTGGCATACAGTAAATCCTGTATCGAAACTGAGATTACTCAAGTGATGTAGTTTGGCTGTCTAGTGCTACCGATTTCCACTTGTTTGTTTGAGCTCGCCAACGAGAAATACATGTTAATTTGAAGCAAAGTCAAACAAATAATGGAATTTTTTCCATACTAAAATCTTCAAAAGTTGAAACCTTTTTAGTCAAAATGTCCTTCTTTTTGTCACTATCCTTTCACTTCAGCAGGGAAACACAGAAGGAATTTCATTATAAACACAGTATTAAAGATCCACACTTGATTGAACTAAATTAAAATGATGAAAATAATATGCCTCATATTAGCTTCAAATAAACTTTGGAATACATCTTTACAAAGAACTGTACATTTTGTCCCTTGTCACTTACAATGAAAAGGCATTAGGAAGGGATATTTTAATGTTAATGTACATACGGCCATCTGACTATTGTTTTATGGCAGACTTGAAAAATGGCCCTTAATATTTCTCCTCACTCTTCTTTTGTTTTTCGCCAGTGCCCCCGAGCCTCAGTGGTGCAGTGTGTGTTGTAACGAGTACAGTAGCAGCTTGTCATCACATCTCTCCTCCACTCTACATCAGTTCAGTCTGCGGCGTCCTCCACCCACCCCCTACTACTGCCTCCCCCCCTCCAGCAACAGCTACAAGATGATGGTTCGTAGCGGCTGGAAACCAGGGACAGGGCTGGGACCAGAAGGAGAGGGGCCACAGCAGCCAGTGTCAACTGTGCTGAAGAGAGACCAGACAGGCCTGGGGTATGGACAGATGAAAAGAGCCAAAGTTACTCACTTCCAAGCCAGGGATCGTAACGCAGTGAAACTGCCATCCAAGGAGAAAGAAGAGCGGGGAGGAAAAGGGCAGAGGAAGGAAGAAAGTAGGAGAAAGGAGCAAAAAGATAGGAGCTGGGAAAGAGATTTTCGTACCTCTTTTTATCTTTGACACCTGCTCACAGTGACTTCTTCTACACACCCTCTCTCCCAAACTCAATATGATTGCCTGGACTCTACATCAAAGCTGATACGGTCCATTTATGGAATCAGTTGTGCTGCTGCCAAAAGGTTGTGCAATGACCAAATATGGCATTGACTGACTTAACCTTTATCGTGACTAAAGACACACGTGTGACTAAATATTTTATTTTTACTGTGACCCACTAAGACTGTTGAGCATACCTGATCTAACAACAATTAGTGTGAACATTGGTTTATGGTGCCAACATTTTTAATCTCAAAGAGCGATGATAAAATGTTTTGTATGTTAATAAAATATAAAACATTATTGAGACATTTATTTCTGAGTATGTAGTCATTTCTGTAAAGCTACTTCAGTAATACTGCTAAAGTTTGTCCTTGATGTGACCGTGGTTCTCTAATGTAAAATAATGTTATGTAACTACACAAACAAACAGTAAACTCTCCCTTTGTTACAGCTCCAGGTACCTTCTCACCTAATTTAACACACCTGCACACATGACTGGTGAGTCACATGTTTGTGCATATCTGCCAAATCAACTTGTCACTTTTCTTATCACTTCCTCACATTTAGCTCAGTTCTTTTCTCCGTTTATGTGTCGGGGTGATAAATTGTATTTAAGTAATCACAGCTCATGCCAAACCAGAGCCCAGTAAACCCTCATGACACGTGGCCTCAAGTACTCAGGCAGGGCCTGTCTGAAGACCACAGGGGACTCAGCTGTGGTTATCAGAGCTCCAAGACTACTGAATAAGTCTTCCAAGAGTCCTTTTCTACCAAAGTCAGTACCATCTTTTAAATCGCAATGTAAAGCTTCTTACACAGTGACCAGGAAAATGAAGAGGCCTGTAATATACGTAAATACTGTTTGTACGAAGTTTTAATTGTTCCATATAGTTGTTGATTTGCTCCTCCATAGATTAGATGGACAATAAAATATCAGAAACACCTGATGTAATGCAGTGCAATACAACAAAACAAAGTACAGCCTAACCCTTAACTCATCATTCAAGTGAGTCATCACCTAGCTGACTTCAGTTGTAGTAAACTGAATTGTTATGATAGTATGCATAGATGGTGATATTGCATTGCCTTGCATCATACAGGTTTTTTTGTATTTTTGTGGTCATTATGTGTGAAGGCGTTGATAAGTTGTCCTGTTAATTATTCACCGTCTTTTTTTCCCTCATTTTCCTCATTTCAAAACTTGGGAGTGTTGTGTGGCTCAGTAATTATACATACATAATTATACATTATACATACTCGTGGGGGTGTACTACAAGTACCCCAGTTTCCTCCTAAATTTCCTGGTCAAATCATCAAATCAGGAAAACTGTATGTGTGACAATGGAAATGAGTTTGTGCTAGACCTGTGGTATTGGTGGGTTAGTAATTATTATCATGCACCATCACTCTCTAAAGAACTACCTGAAAACACACAAATAGAAACATGCATCATATGCTTTGTTCATTAGCCTCCACAAGTATCACCAGTTCACAGTATTTTTATCAAAGCTTATGGCTATGTGTACATGTAACTATGTAATATACACAATCTTTTTAAAGTTTTGTGAAACATTCATATGATCACCACCAAATTTGGTAGATAACATATTTGGATCATTACCAAAGGGTTATTGTATTGTGGTTTATCACTATGCCTGTTTTGACTCAGATCAGATTACAAACTTATGATACACATCTAAAACTTGTTAAGTAGCATTTCTGTCACTAAAATTGCAAATTTAGAGGATAGGTCAGCTATGAGGGATCAAGTACTAAGTGCTTCCTCGTTGCACTTGATTTAACGTGTCACCAGCTTTAGTTTGATTGGTTGTAGGGGTCCAACAAGGCTTAAAGGGTCCATCTTCAAAGGGAACTGGGGAAAGGACAAATTCACCTGTTCAGAAACTTGCTCTTAATGCAAATCTAGCTTGTCAAGTGTCTTATTATGTCAAAGCAAACATGTAGACCATTTAAATATAATCACCTCTGTCTCCTCACAGACTGAAAAGCTGTAGTTCTGCAAAACTTCCACCAAGGCCAGTTTAATCATCACAAGAGCAAATCGCATCCCCAAACAGTTCCTTGGCCCGATCCCAAATGGCAGGTAAGTGTATGGGTTGATGCTCTGCCTGTTCTGCTTACTAAATCTTGTAAAACAACAAAATAAAAAAGTGACTTTCTCAAGATTTACCAAAGATGAATGTTTTTAGTAATGTATGCACCGCTCTCTATAACCGTTCACCAAATCTTAAAACTGCATTATAAATTATTACCAAAATTATTAATTATTGATTAATTAATCTTAAAATAATCCTTGAGTAATGTTTTACAGTACACACTTCGACACTTTACCTTTCAGGTTTGAACTCCTCTGGATCTGGCCATAGTTCAGGGTCACGATGCAGAGCGTAGACGGGGGTCATAACAAGCATGTCCTTTGGGATTGTGATTCCACTGATCTTGACAGTTTCTTTGGCTATTCGTTCCAGACGTGGAGATGGAGGGTAGAGCCTAGTGACAAAACAAGAACATTTCTAAATACTGAATATACATTCAATCCAAACTACCCCAAAAGTATAAGCATGTTCTTTAGACAGTGTTTTTCCTATTGTTTCAATGCCCGGTTAGGTTTTAAACCGTTTTTGTACTGTTTGCATTTTTAAAACTTTCTTTTAGAAAATCTTAGTGGCAAGGCTCCTTGCTGATGGCAATTTTTTGGTCTAGTCTAAAATATCTTGACAAATATTGTATGGATTATCGTGAAATTTGTTTAAGAGAATCATGCATTAACGTCAGTGATCCGCTGACTTTTCCTCTAGAACTACCATAAGGACAAATGTCTGATTTATCCAGTACAGTAGTTTATGATCAACAGCAAAACTAATTTTGCTCAAATTTATATCCCGAGTGTAGACCTGCGATGAAAGAAGCTTCTGCTCTGACGTCAAAGCTTCACTTTAACTATTAAAACAGCATTAAGCAATTTTCAAGAATATTTACCACAAGCCCTGTTTCCTGGAAATATCTGCCTACAGTTTTCTATGTGGGATTAATAAAACGGGTGAATGTGACTTTAATAGCTAAAAGCTGCATATAAAGGTGTTCATTGTCAGTGGGTTTGGTACTACAAATTATTTTTTCACATTACACATTCACAGATAATTTAAATTAATGTTAACGTTAAAAAGAGTGCTTGATAAAGGTTTAATGTTTTAGAAAATATACTTTGTTTTTCTTCTTAAACTTTATCATATTTACTGTGAAAACATCTTGACCTGACGTCACCTCATCAGCCTGTTCAGCCATCAAGTAGCAAAAGAAGACGCTCATTACCTCAGACTCTCATGGACCACACTGTCTAGGTACTCCATCTGCATCAGAGCTTCATATTGGACTGGACCCTACACAATTTGATTGAACACAATTCACACTTTGAATACTGTAGTTTCATCAATGAAATGAAATGGAGAGGACGACTCCTGTAGCAGAAACCTCACTACCTTATTAGGAAACGTGGATTCTATCTCCTCTTGCAGGTGTTTCATGACTTCAGGATTTCTTGCCAAATTGTAGGCCAAGAAAACGAGAGTGGTGGCACTCGTCTCGTAACCAGCAAACACAAACATTGTCGCTTGAGAAGTGATCTCGTGATCAGTAAGACCTATCAGGACACAGGATCCATGAACAGGGAAGGAGATGAAAGCAGGCCTAAAACCTTTGGTGTCAATAAATGTGAGAGTACGTTTGTGCTTCTGTATGTGTGTGATGTCACTGGGTAATTACCCTTATTCTGCTTTTCTTTATTGGGTTCATTGGCTTGCTGAGAGTTCATCATATGTTGAAGGACATCTCCCGAATTCTGAAAACAGGTCAGATAATTACTTTGCATGTTCTCGTGTTTTATGTGCTGTGTGAATATTTGGATTCACAGAATTTTGTGTACTTTTATTTGTACACAATTTTACAGCTGTAACAGCAGTTGACAAAACATTCTCTCCTCAAGGTCGATTTAGCGCCTGATCTGGAGCGTTTGATCGTATCACATGATCTTCATCAGTAAATGGAGTCTGCCCAGTTGTCACGGCAGTGTAGATATTCAAATGTCCTTTCTTTCTGAGCCCGTTGAGGACTTCTCATCCATGTTGGCTTAAAAGTTGAATTTAAATGTTAATTCTTGAATTTAGAAATTTCATTGAACAAATGTTTGTCTGGTATTGAAGATTATGTGAAATGACGTGTAAGCTCCAGAAAAGTTACAAAATGGACCTTTAGGTGAGATTGTTTTTTCAACTGCTGATGTCAAGAATGAACCTTGAAAACAACATAGACAAGAAGTCCTTAAAAAGCTCAGAAAAATATGAAAATTTGTTTCTCTTTTGTTGGAAAGTTTCCATGACAACTGGGTAGACTCCATTGGCTGATGGAGATTGTGTGATATGATTGAATGCTCCAGTTACAAAATGATTCTTGAAGTGAGAGTGTTTAGTCAGCTATCTTTCTTTCTCCATTGTTTTTCTGGAAATGTTACTTTATTGTAATGTACAGTGTATATATCCATCTTAGTATAAGATTATACATAGGCCTACTGCAATACTGCGATTTTATCCATATTGCCCACCCCTAGTTGTGTGTTTTCTCCAGACCTGTTGTGAGCTCTTATTCCGTTCTGCTCGGATCTTCTCCACCACTGTTTTAAAGAAACCAGTAGATGTCTTAGGGAAGAAAGAGACACCCAGCAGTTCCAACAGAGGAAGAAAGAAGGGAAAACACCCTGGGAAGGAAAAGGGGGTTAACAATTATACTTTTATTTGCTAAACAAAGCTGTTTACATCAATAAAAAGAAACAATTCTGTCATGGGAAAGCAGTGATGTACCCTGGAAAAGGAAAAGACTTTTGGAGAACTTAAACAACTTTGAAGCGTGGGTGATGAGTGGACTTGAGGGGTTGTTGATCGTATCCATATCCACACTGAATGCACAGCTCGCCATCACATCTATACTGTAGGGTCCAAAGATGCTGAAATACACACATTAGATTTCATCATGTTTGCTCCCCAGTCCTTAATTAGTCATTATGTCAGCTTGGTGTAAAAGTGCTTTCATCATGGTATTTCAAGTTATTGAGCACATATGTTCATATTTACAAAAATAATTTCTTAATCATATATATGTATATATGGGTGTAATTTCCTCTCCTGTCAGAGGAAATTACACCCATCGAGGAAGCCATACAAGCTGTATGACAAACATAAAATTGTAAATCTGAAATACAAATTAGCCTTTGTGTATATTGTCATTTTAATTTTGCAGATATCACAAAATGTACTGTAATTATGTACTTAAAATAAATATAGGATTTATAGCATATGCCTTGATAGTGGAGACTAGATGATTAATGTCTAGCTCTGAATAGTCAACCTTTATGGACATGTTTTGTATTTTTAAACAATGTTGTCTAATTCATCTGTACAGCAATTTCCAGAGACGACATGTTTTATATTATAGAGCAATGAATGTCTGCAACTAATCCAATGAAGGTTTGTTGCTAATCTAATTGTCAGTCTGCCTAGAAAAAACCTAGAATGAGGGTGGCAAAAGGCATACATGACAATATGATGAAAAGTTAATGAAATACAGTAATGCACTTCTTGGTTTCACTTTAGTCAACTGTGATCTTAGATGCTAACTTAGCTTCAGAAAATGAGGTTTTACTTATGGATGTTTAGAAACCACCATTAGGATAGATTTTCAGTCAAATATTTAAAATCAAATGAAGGAATAGTTCAACTTTTTTGGAAATACACTTTCTTGCTTAGAAGATTGAAACTATTCTCGTGTGTTCTGTAAATATGGAACTACAGGCGGCTGTTGGTTAGCTTAGCTTAGCACAAAGACTGCAAACAGAGGAAAACAGCTAGCCTGTCTCCATTCAAAGGTAACACGATCCACCTACCAACACCTCTTAAGCTCACTAATGAACATGTTTGGTTTATTTGTGTGGCCATCTTGGGTGGTGGTCTGTCATTTAAATGCATAGATCCTTGGGGATCAAGGATAAAAAGGAATACTAGGTTTGATTCAAGTAACATTTAAATGTATATGGTGGTATTACTCACTCTTTTATAGTAATAACTTCATCATCGTGCACCTTGGACTGTAGGCTGGCTGTCAGTTTGTGTGAATGATGTTTCATGATGCTAAACATCTTAGATGAAAGAAAAAATGCAAAAACAGCAGAAGTACATGAAGAATGAAGATGACTGTCTTCAGTCTACACAAGTATGTGCTGAGGAAATTAAGTAAATTGACAATTTACCTCCTTTATATGGCCAGAGGTGAAGAAGGGAGAGAGGATGTTACGAATCCGTTTCCAGTGATCATCCTCAACAGTAGACACTGCATCATAGAGGTCCCCATTCAGACGTATGTTCTAAACGGAAATACTGGTCAGCACGCTTTGTGTTGGTGCGTGTGTGGGTTCAGAAGTATTTGTGAAATAGCTGTTAACAGTACTACTCTGGACAAAGAATCTGCAACTGCAGCTTATTGCACTTTTAATGACATTAAACAGTAAACAAACTAAGATCATGCGGTGTGTCAACAACATTGCTTTTATTATTTGTTTTGTTTTTTTATTGTCTACTAATTCCATAAAAAGACCAAAACCCACAATGAATTGATCCTACTAACAAGTATAGTGTAGCCACGGCTTTATATAATTAATAACAAAATAATTATTTATTTATTTATTTAAATATTTAATTAAAAATAATGATTTTCTCTGTGCCACTGTTGTCCAAAAACTATTATAAATGCATAAATGAGCCTAACTGTTGCACTGGGTGACATGTTCCTTCATTACGATGAACATGGACGTAGGGATAAACATATTTTTTATCAATCTCACATACCCTGTCCTGCTGTTGTTGTTATTACTCACTAGAGCACCAAACACCAAATTATGTATTAATTTGCAGCTATTTATTCCTATTTGAGTAACATTTGCTATGGTACTGAATGCCACAGACAGGTTAGGTAGAATTAAAAAAAATTTGGTTTTGGTCTTTTCATTGGATTTGTTGACCATAAGAAAAATATAGAATAATACCAGTCCTTTTAAATGTATGTGTTAGCTGAACTAGCAGTGGCTCCCTGTGTGGCGTAGTCACCCTGCTGGACTGTTGGCTAGTTATGCACGCTAATATTAGCATGTTAGAGAATAACCTCTTTTGATTTACCTTATTCCAAACTTCTTTCCAAGTTTATTGTGGTTGTAATCTGATTATTAAAGCCTCATGGGGCCTTTATAATGGCTACAATCTTTTCTACTGAAATTGGGTCATGTTCACCATGTTCATGAAAAGATGTAATTTGAACTGTGCATTACTGTGGTAATCACAGTTTGAATGGAAATGTTCTGAGCTCAGAGTTAACCAATTGTGTTTTCATGGAAATTGCTTTTTAACTTTTTTATTTATTTGTTTTATTTACAGGTGCTGGTCATATAATTAGAATATCAGCAAAAAGTTTATTTATTTCAGTAATTCCATTCAGAAAGTGAAACTTGTATAATGTATACATTCATTCCACACAGACTGATATATTTCAAGTGTTCATTCCTTTTAATTTTGATGATTATAACTGACAACTAATGAAAACCCCAAAATCAGTATCTCAAAAAATTAGAACACACCTGCAAAGGCCTTTAAATGGTCTCTCAGTCTAGTCCTGTAGGCTACACAATCATGGGGAAGACTGCTGACTTGACAGCTGTCCAAAAGACGACCATTGACACCTTGAACAAGGAGGGCAAGACACAAAAGGTCATTGCTAAAGAGGCTGGCTGTTCACAGAGCTCTGTGTCCAAGCACATTAGTAGAGAGACTCACAAAGAGTGGACTGCAGCTGGAGTCGGTGCTTCAAGAACCACCACGCACAGACGTATGCAAGACATGGGTTTCAGCTGTCGCATTCCTTGTGTCAAGCCACTCTTGAACAAGACACAGCGTCAGAAGCGTCTCGCTTGGGCTAAAGACAAAAAGGACTGGACTTCTGCTGAGTGGTCCAAAGTTATGTTCTCTGATGAAAGTAAATTTTGCATTTCCTTTGGAAATCAAGGTCCCGGAGTCTGGAGGAAGAGAGGAGAGGCACAGAATCCACGTTGCTTGAAGTCCAGTGTAAAGTTTCCACAGTCAGTGATGGTTTGGGGTGCCATGTCATCTGCTGGTGTTGGTCCACTGTGTTTTCTGAGGTCCAAGGTCAACGCGGTCGTCTACCAGGAAGTTTTAGAGCACTTCATGCTTCCTGCTGCTGACCAACTTTATGGAGATGCAGATTTCATTTTCCAACAGGACTTGGCACCTGCACACAGTGCCAAAGCAACCAGTACCTGGTTTAAGGACCATGGTATCCCTGTTCTTAATTGGCCAGCAAACTCGCCTGACCTTAACCCTATTCAAAATCTTTGGGGTATTGTGAAGAGGAAGATGTGATACGATAGACCCAACAATGCAGAAGAGCTGAAGGCCACTATCAGAGCAACCTGGGCTCTCATAACACCTGAGCAGTGCCACAGACTGATCGACTCCATGCCACGCCGCATTGCTGCAGGAATTCAGGCAAAAGGAGCCCCAACTAAGTATTGAGTGCTGTACATGCTCATACTTTTCATGTTCATACTTTTCAGTTGGCCAACATTTCTAAAAATCCTTTCTTTGTATTGGTATTAAGTAATATTCTAATTTTCAGAGATACTGAATTTGGGATTTTCATTAGTTGTCAGTTTTAATCATCACAATTAAATGAAATAAACATTTGAAATATATCAGTCTGTGTGTAATGAATGAATATAATATCCAAGTTTCACTTTTTGAATGGAATTACTGAAATAAATCAACTTTTTGATTATATTCTAATTATATGACCAGCACCTGTAGATTTATGGTTCACAGCTTGATCATTCAGCAGTGCTGAAAAAGAAAAAGGGCCATATTTATTTTTATTTGTGTTCTCACCCTCCGGTTGGTAAAGTAGGTGAAGCACTCCTTCACCAGGATGGTTTTCAACATGTCAGGGTCCATCACAGCCAGCATGGGCCTCCTGAGCTCGTACATGCTGGACATTTACACAATCACAAATTTACTTTTTGGGGCATTTAGTGTAAAACACTTGTTAGTGTAGTAGGAGAATATTCGCTGCATTTCAAACAGTAGTGCTGACACAAACAACCAAGTGAGAGGTTCAAGGTTCAAAATCATGCTAACACGCCGTTTCACAATAATAATGGGTAGCTCTTTTTAGCAGAACGTATGAGTTTTAATTAACCCTGCAAGCTGTTGCATTATCTTTTTGTATTTTATATTGATGTTTTTCCCTTGCTTTTATGATCTTAACTGTAGCACTTTGAGATTTGCTTCAAATGTAAAGTGCACTACAAATAAATTTTTTTGTTATTATTATTGATGTTAGTCTTAATTCTTATATTTCCACTTTACAAAGCTTTTTAGACTCACCCCCATACTCTTCCATACTTTTGAGCACACTCGTTGTCAGCTAAGTAGTAAACCTTGCAAGAGAGAATATATTTTCATCATATATCACAAATCACATCATTGTCTTTATCCTTACCAACTCAGTCTACATCTTTAGACTCAAACGACAAAAACAATGTAAATAAGTCATTTAAATTCAAAAATAATATTTATAAAGATTTACATACAGGATTGTGCCTGCCAATTGTGCCGAAGTACATCAAAGGCTTGGGACCAGGGATCCCCAACTTCTCAAATGTTCCGAAAGTCCAGTAGCCATACCTGTGGAGAATAGAAAAGCATTAAAGCATATCAGTTACAGTGTCAGTCAGTCAAACACTGTTTATTGTTAACTTGAAAGGAAAAGGGAAAACTTTGGTGCTTTGGTGCATTCCTTTACTGTAGGTTACCACTTTCAGATGAAGTACAAATAATCTGCTTTGATCAAAATCACTCGTATCCTTACGTAACAAATATGCAGATAAATGTGAACAGTAGAATCCATGTTTCTGAAGAGAGGAAGGGAAGATAGCCCATAGCTCTCTCTTGCTTGAACAAATTGTGGTGATCTCTGTTTTGCACTGAACACTGAAATGCATGCCCAGAAAGTCCCCTCCCTCTTCCTGTGCAGTTGCATAACACCAGGAATGACAAAAAACAGAAGTGCACAAGTTTCTGCCACTCACGCAAAGAGAATAAGCCTGGACATGTCTAAATAAAACACTTTTACAACCACACACATCAGTACATGTCTCTATATGCATTTAGGAGGAAATAAATTATGTACTATTATAGCTGTTTTCATAAACTTTGTATGTGTTTTTTAGTACTGAAGACAAGCAATATAATGATGTTTGTATCAAGATTTCTGCCTCAGATGACAGGGCTGATGAAACATGAAAATTATAAATGCTGCTTGGTCTCTTCCTGTCAATGATTCACATGACATTGCCGCCTGCTATTGGTTCAACTCTCACACACTTCCCTTACTCACGCAACAAGTCTGTTCAGCAGGACATAAAAGCCTTTGGTCGGGAATTGGAGCTACAGTGGAACTTGAGCTGCCATTGATAGACGAGAGAAAAGGTGCAGAGATGGGCTACTTTTTCTTTTTCTCCGCTGAGACATGGACCCTCCTGGTTGCTCTCATAACACTGATCTTTGTGTAAGTGTTTAAGAATACATGTCCCAAGTATTTGTATTGTGATTATGTGTGTTTACCTGTGTATATGACAAAAATGTATTTTGTTTTACACAGGTATGTCTGCTGGCCATTTGGAACATTTAAGAAAATGGGCGTCCCTGGTCCCAGACCAATTCCTTTTTTCGGCACTATGCTGGCATATAAAAAGGTTGGTGGATATGACTTTTCACAAGCAATACAACATAAATTTAGCCTGAGTGTACAAGCTTATCAAGGTAAATACTGGATCACCTGACAAAGTGGGAACATTAAAATTGATAATGAATAGTTATAGTGAGTCTATAAAGGTGTGTTGTTACATGAATGTGAACAGTGTTTTCTTGTAGACTTCTAAAATAGTCTGTCTTAATGAAAAGTTGAGGCATAATTTTGAGCAAAACTAGTCATTTCTGCTCTATTGGTGTCTAAACTATGCTTGCTGACAGTATGGAATGGCCCTAGCTATTTATGACAAAGTTCAATAATACAATCAATCATTAAATCTCCCATGGGTTTTGTACATATATCACAGGAGGTGTAGTTGTAGAGTTATCACAGCTTTTAAGCGTTGTTTCAACAGTCTCTTCCTTACCTATGTAAATTGGCAGATGATGAAAGGGGTGAAAAAACCTTAAAAATATATTTGGTAGAAAATAGTTTCTAGTGAATTAATTTCCCATGTTTAAAGTTCACAGGAAAGGGGGAAGTGCTAGACTTTTTGCAGTAAAATTAAAGTTTAAAGGAGACCTATTATACTTCTTTTCCAGTCCTATATTGTAGTTCTGTGACTCCTGTATGGAAGCTTTGCATGATTCAAAGTTCAAAAAAATTATTTTCAGTCTTACAAGCTTTAAGGCCCTCAACCTCAAAGCCCACTGTCTTCTGATTGGCCAAGACCTGATGCATGTTACCAGGCTGTTGTTGTCGCTGAGTGGTACAGACAGGCTGAGCGTAGCTGTGCCGTTGCTGTGCGGAGCAAATGACCATATATGGAACACTACTCCGTCTAGCTCAGTATGTTGTAGAACCGAGCTGTTGGTAGAAAAAGCTGTTGAAAACAGAGTGTTCAGAACAGGAGGAAATCTAAGGGTTTTGCTCACAGGGATTTCTTTTAAATACTTTAGCCTCATTATTTGAAGCTTTGGCCATGTTTAACATGAACATCCAATATTGTAACATTGTAGATAAGTCATAACATATGGAAAAGCATAATAGATCTCCTTTAAGTATATCTCAGTTTTGTTATTACATTTTTTTATTACAATGAAAGTTTCCATTTTACCAATAGTGGCTAAAAAAGGTGGTCTCAAAACAATTTACCGTAAAACTTCAATTATTAGTCCGTGCTTTCATTTGCTTCAATCACTGAACTCACCCTACCTAGATTTGGGACGGGCCTTTAATTCTTAAAGCTTTCAGAGGTTTTGTACATCCAAAGACTTATATAAAAACCAGACCAGGCTTTTAATTGAGACGCCTGTCCCTTTTTGGAACTACGCATTTAAAGATACAGTGTGTAATATTTAGGAGGATCTACTGACAGAAATGCAATATAATATACATGACTAAGTTTTCAGTGGTGTATAAAGACCTTGCATATTGAACCAATATGTTTTTATTACCTTAGAATGAGTCATTTCTATCTACATATCGCGGGTCCCTGTACATGAACTTTGCCATGTTGCACGGCATGTTTCTACAGTAGCCTAAATGGACAAGAAGAAGAAGAAGACATACTTAATGTCTTATGACTTATTAATCCCACAATGGTAAATTCAATGTTTTTTCACTCTGTTCTTAGTTATTACTGTTATTATACACACACAAAGGTCTCTTTGCGCTCTACAGAGCGTGTTTCGTCACTAAATTGAATACGTAGAAGAAAAAGAGAAGAAAAGTTAGTAGTGGTGTTAGTTCTCTGTTTTTTTTAGAATTAAGAAAAGAAGATAAATGTGGACAAATGGAGGCCCACACGTATTATTTGGTGTTAAGAGCCGATAGAGCTTGTTGGACACCATAGCTTCTCCTGCGTGCTTGGAAAAAGAGGGTGAGCGGTGCATTCATGTGGTGTCGCAATAATCAGAATCCTTTTTTCCTCCTTAAAACTTTATTGCAAAAAGAGAAATAAAGTGTACATTGGACATAAAGAAGTATACAGGTTTAGGCTTAGGTTTGTGCAAAATCATTTTGCAAATGTAATTTGTAATACAGAGTGAACTAGATGTCTGCATGTTGTTTATATGGTCTAATCGTGCTAATCCAACATACACATGAACACACACTGAAGTTAGAAGAATGTCTTCACAACTCAGGAAATGGGACCATCCAAGGAGCACGTGAATGTACCATGAGCCGCTGGTTGCAAGTTACAACCCTCACCACTAGATGCCACTAAAACTTACACACTGAACCTTTAGTTTTACAGTATTTGTGGTAAGAGCTGTCAGTGTTTTAAAATGTTGCTATTTAATAGAATGCAATCAACTTTGAAGTGAAGATGTTTAGATGATTGCGTTAACTGTTTTGTAAAACAAAAGATTTATCAAGTTAATGTCCAGTTCATATATCCTTCAGAATTTGTTATTGTTAATGATTAAAATAAATATAGTTGTTCTGTTACAAGTATCTCCACTATGTTAAAGTGGACTGAAAAAAATTGTCCAATTCATAATCTATATATTATATATAAATATATATATTTTATTATCCTTGTACACAGGGATTCATGCACTTTGATTCGGAGTGCTTCAAGAAATATGGGAAAACATGGGGGTAAGTCTGCATGTTGTACTGTGTGTGTGTGTGTGAGTGTGTGTTTCTGCATGCATATAATTTATATCTGATTGTTGTCCTGGTTGTCAGTCTACTTAAAGCATTTCTGTTTATAGTGTTACCTGTTTTACAAGGGTACATTTTTGTGTGACTGCATACAAATCTCGCCTGGTGTTTTTATATTCATATTCTGTGCTTTTCTTATCATATTCAGCATTTTTGATGGCCGTCAGCCAGTGCTGTGTATCACAGATCCTGCCATGATAAAAACGGTTCTGATAAAGGAGTGTTACTCTCTCTTCACCAATCGCAGAGTATGCAAACTTCCAGTGTAGCACATTCACTCACTCATTAGGTTGCTGCATTTTAATTGAACTGTCCTCATCATCACCAGATGTTTCCTAACTCTGTTACAGAACTTCCGTCTGAACGGGGAACTGTACGATGCTGTGTCCATCGCTGAGGATGACCAGTGGAGGAGGATCCGCAGTGTCCTCTCTCCCTCCTTTACCTCAGGAAGACTGAAAGAGGTACAGCCCTCTCTTGCTCTGTACCTCCTCTGCCCTTTATTGCATGTTGAACAGAAAACTTTTCAATCCAGGTCTGTTTTGTAATTTGGTCTCGATCCCTGGGTTGGGAACCATTGATCAGGAGGAAGCACAAACAGAGACAGCAGGAACTCAGTGCCAGTGTACTGTACTGTGTATTCTATTTTCCACTAAGCCTGTGTATAGCAGTTTTCATCTGTCTGTCCCTGTCTGTGCCTCAGATGTTTGACATAATGAAGCACCACTCTGCTAACCTGATCAGCAGCATGAAAAAGACGGCAGACAAGGATGAACCCTTAGAGCTGAAGGAGTAAGAACACTTTATACATATTCCGTTCATTTAAAGTTACTCCAGAAAATGCAAGTAAACTCTTTTTAGGCATTAAAAGGATGAGGACATCTCTGATGTGTTTGTGGGTGCTTCAGGTTCTTTGGACCTTACAGTATGGATGTAGTAACGAGCACAGCCTTCAGTGTAGACATAGACTCACTCAACAACCCTACAGACCCCTTTGTCGCTAACATCAAGAAGATGCTGAAGTTTGACCTTTTCAACCCTATCTTCCTCTTTATTGGTACGGTATTCAATTTATTTCTGTAAAATTTAGCTATTTAAAATTTTGTCCTTTTACTTGGCTGGTAAACCTAAAATATCTGTTCTAGGTGACTTACTGTGGATGTTTACAGTCGATACAGTCACTGCCTTTCTGCTTAATTCCAGCTTTCTTCCCCTTTATGGCTCCTATTTTTGAGAAGTTGGAGTTTTCCTTTTTCCCAAAATCTGTCTTGGACTTCTTTTACGCTGCACTGAAGAAGATCAAAGCTAATCGAGAGACCACCAAGCTAAAGGTATGGCTGTCTTTGCACGTGTGTGTGTACATATGTACAGCAGATTTTGAAATGTAATCAAAGCTATTCTCATATATGTCTACTTTTAGAATCGAGTGGATTTTCTTCAGCTGATGATTAATTCCCAGAAAAACAATGACCTCAGTAAAGTGGAAAATGATAAAGGTGACACATGTGTACACATACACATAAAAGCACAAGTGAAAGCAATTCTAAATCATATCTACTTGCTCTCTTCCCAGGTTTAAATGATCATGAGATCCTTTCTCAGGCAATGATTTTCCTCTTTGCTGGCTATGAAACAACTAGTAGCTCTCTCACTTTCTTGGCTTACAATCTGGCGAGAAACCCTCATGTCATGAAACGGCTGCAGGAAGAGGTCGATGCCACCTTCCCTAACAAGGTATGTTGGGAGTGAGGAGAGTACAACGTTTGAGGTAGCAGAAAGGTCTCAAGATGATTAATTTAATGCTGCTTTCATTGATTTTATATGAGCAGAGGAATTGCGTAACAAGCTAAAAATCACATTGATCTGATACATTATTACATTTATTCATTTAGCTGACGCTTTTCTCCAAATCGACTTACAATTGCTGTTTTATGTCAGAGGTCGCACGCCTCTGGAGCAACGAGGGGTTAAGTGTCTTGCTCAGAGACACAATGGTGGATGAGTAACAGTGGGGGATTGAACCCGGGTCTCTAACACCAAAGGGATGTGTCTTACCCATTGCGCCATCACATTACAAACTTGCATAAACTTGGCTAACATATATTTATACAACATTAACAATCATCAGGACTTGTGTTTGTGGTCACCTGATGATTTAAGTCAAATATTCAATATATATTCTTTCAGCTGTGCATTGGTTTCTACCAACTTTTGAGAGAAGTATCTGAGTCTTTAGCTGCTTTAGCAGAAATTATGCTTCTTTTTTTACGTTTTCCTCTTTGTTTGAATCAACCAATCAACTTTTTGACGCGCAGGTCTGCACAACGCACAGTTGAGATTTGCAAGGAGTGCACATCGGCTTCTCTGCGTTACCCAGAACACCCTTCTCTGCGTAGACCCACAGAGACATTTACATGAATCTTCGGAAATGCATAATTTCAATTTAAGATCACCAGCTATTTGCTAAGATTGTCTGTCTCCTATTTGATGCTGGGCAGGTTGCATACAGAATTTATTTGCTGAAAAAGGTACTGGTAGTGTAAACAAGGATGGAATTTACAGGCCACAAAACCAAAACAATGACCTAAAAGAGCCTAAAAAGTGCAGATTTAGATGATAATATTTTGTGTCTCAAGCTTAGCATAACAAACAGAAACAGCTGTTTTGTTGCGTGGATTAAACAAACAAGATAGAACGTGTACAACAAGAGCAAATTACAAAAGCTTTAAAGATTAAGGTATAGTGTAATTTGTAGTCTTACCATTGTGATTGTTGGATATTATAATCTTAAAGAGTATGTCAGTAACAGTTTTTTTAACCTCACTACATATGTCGACCATCACTGTATCCCTTTAGCACTTGTTGTGGCTCCTAACTTTGGCTGTGATCTTCTCCTGAGTGTCATGATTAAGAATATAGCAGTCATGTATATGTGTGCCTGTGCGTTTGTGTAGGCTCCAGTTGAGTACCAGGCTCTGATGCAGATGGAGTATCTAGATAGTGTTGTCAACGAGTCTCTCCGATTGTACCCCATTGCTCCACGTCTGGAGCGCGTGGCCAAGGCGACTGTGGAGATAAATGGCCTTGTGATTCCCAAAGGTATGGTCGTCATGGTACCCACGTGGCCCCTGCACCGGGACCCTGATCTGTGGCCCGAGCCGGAGGAGTTCAAACCTGAGAGGTATAGAAAGGATTAATATGTTTAGGTTTACCAAAACAGCCACAGAAAGGACCTGGGCTCTGCAGGTCAACAGTCTAATTTCTGTTGTGTGTGCGTGTGTACCTTCAGGTTCAGCAAGGAAAACAAGGAGACTATTGACCCGTACACGTACATGCCTTTCGGGGCAGGGCCAAGGAATTGCATTGGGATGCGATTTGCTTTGGTGCTGATGAAACTAGCAGTGGTGGAGATCCTCCAGACGTACAGCTTCTCTGTGTGTAAGGAGACTGAGGTGAGACCACAGATGTTCATCTTTACACTGCTTCTCTTTTTTTTATTGCACATGAGTAATCCTGTTTATTGAGGGTTACATAATACCAAATGTAGCCAATAAAGATACAGTATGCCTGTTCAAAGATAAAAAGGCACTACCTGAGACTTTGAACAGAATACAGTAGATACTGGATGTGACAATTTCAAGTAGTGCATTCATTACTACCTTTCTACCCTCTGTGATACTGCCACTTGTTAGAAGATTTGTATTCTTTGATGGACTTTTGGACTGTTTACACTTATTTTCTCTTCACATGTAATTTCCTGCTAGATCCCCATTGAGCTGGATATCCAGGGCCTGATAAGTCCAAAACGACCAATCAAACTGAAGCTGGTGCCACGGTCTGAACCTTCAAACTAAAAAATAACAACAAAATAAAAGATCATCGTTGATGTGTACAGACCTATTGTGAAGAAACATCATGTCCATTTATCATCCATTTCTATCATAGTAATTGTACAGTTGTGCGTACATCTATATCAGTTACTTCTCTTTTTTTGTTCTTCTCAAAGCATATGTTAATATTAATTTTTAACTGAGTGACAAACTGATTTGTAAAGCCTGCATTAACAGTAAAGGGTAGTTTGGACGTTTCTCAATCATACGGTCATTCTTATCTGTGATTTGATCACAGTTATAACAACATGCTAGAAATGTGGCTGTACAATAGCAGCTTTACAGAGACATGTATATACTTACAAAGGAGTTTCAAAAATATGAGGGACATTTCTTTCTCTTTGAGTCAAATATAATAGAACATGTGGTCAGAAGAACAAAATAACAAAAACATCTTACAATATACTGCAATGCCACACAACTGCACTACCTACTATTGTCTCAAACATACAATTAAATCAACACTTCTCTGATAACAAAAGATTTTACAAAACTGGCTCCTGTGATGATCAGGTTATTATCACTCATGCATTCATGTAAAAGCAGGGTTTTCTATTGTAGTTGGTTGAAGTGGAGCTAATTTTTGGATTATTTTGTACCTAATTGCAACTAATGATTATTTTCATTATGGAGTCATCTACTGATTATTTTCTCCATTAATTGATTGAATGTTTGGTTTGTAAAAAGTCTGAAAATAGTAAGAAATGCCATCACAATTACCCATATCCCAAAGTGATACCTTCACAATGCTTTATTATAATATGTATAATTGTTACAAATAAACTAAAATTATTGAAATAGTTAAAAGTAGGTGGGAATTGAGATGAGTATCTAAAGTGCTATATATGTAATGCATTATTATTATAATTATTAAAAGAAAAAGCAGCAAATCCTCACATTTTAGAAGCTGGAACCATGAAATGTATTTGCATGAAAAATGTATTTGCATGAAAAACTTCTTCCGTCAATTGACTACTTGTTTCAGCTCTACATGTAAATATTGTTGTTTATTTTAAGTTATAACAAAGTATCATATTTTTAAAGCTCTTTGTTGTGTATGTAAAATCTGAATTTGTATAGTTACTAAAGCTGTAAAATTACTGTAGTAGTAGTATAAAGTTGAACATTTCCCTCTGCACTAACAAACATGGTAAGATAAAATAAGAAGAGAACAAAACTATTACAGAAGTCAAGAAATACAAAAAGAAAATAGAAAATATTACAAACGTATGTACAATATATCTGTTTTTTGAATGTAGTGAATATAATGTAGTAGAATTGTAGTGGTATAGATGCAGAAAGTGGCACTCAAGTAAAATAAAAATACCTCATATTGGTATTTAAGTACAGTACTTGAGTTGGTTACATTCCATTACTGAAAAATGTGAAGAGAGTTTATTTAGATATCAGTCAGACATCCAGTTGATTTTTGCCCAGATATTTCGGTAATAGTGCATTTAGTTACGTTGTGATTGGTCTGTGTGCGCCTGTGTCTATTCTGTCCCCCTGAATATTCCACATCACAACAGTGCACTCGTGTGGATGGTCTGTCTTCAGTTATTGCTCCTGCTCCTTCACAGATCCATTATCCGAGTTTTTCAACCATCTTGTTCTTTCTATGTTTATAAACAGAGGGTAAAGATTAAAAAAAAAGAGGCAGAAAAAAAATCTGAGGTGGGCAAACCAGCCACACTGCAGACGCCACATATTCTTAAGGCTGTGACTGAGATATAAATGTACAGGTTATCTGCTGAAAATAGATGCAATCTGTGATATTACACCAAACCTGTGAATTCAATGCATCGTTTTCATTTCTCTTGATTAGGCACGTAGCATTGAGAACAACATAATGGACTGTAATCCTCATTGATATTTTTTGAGTGGCTGTAACATGTGCGATTTATCAATTTAGTTTTTTTTATAAAGGCCCTGTATTTTTTTTTGTATAATTCACTGAACTAAATGCACTGATTTAAACTTCATATTCAGATCCGCCATCCAGGAAAGATAGTAATAAATGATCACTTCTGAGTAATGATACCAGAGCAGATCATAAATCTGGAGATACTTCTGAACCCAGCCTCCTGTTTCCTGGTGTGACGACATGAACTGTAGCCTATCACCGAAGTGCCCAGATGTGGCGTTCAGGGAAGAGCCTGCAACCACGTTGTGGACTACTTGTTTGCTGTTTGGTTTGTTATCAGTTACTGGTATCAGAATAAGAATCAGCTTTATTGGCCAAATGTGTGCACAAACAAGGAATTTGACTCTGGTTGACTTCATTACTCTCAGTGTAGCTACTTACACAGGAATAAGACATAACAGCTTAAAACAAGGACAACAAAGCTGAACAAATACAGGTAAAAGTACATGATAAATACATGTAAAAAAGTATGTGAAAAAAATTTGCTTTGCCTTGCTGCTCATGTTATTTTAACGAACCAAAAGTACACGTTTATGATCATACACTCAATCTAGTCTGTAACCAGAACAAAAAAGGGGTACACCTGGGATTAAACAGACCTAAAAACCATTTATGTTTAATGAAAAATAGACGCTCTTCCTATACCAAATGTAAACTTGTAGTTAGAAAGCTGAGAAGACATTTAATATAGTAATATTGATCTTTATTTATAGAGCACTTTTCAAAATGATGTTACAAAGCCCACATAAACGATTGCGGGCCACTTCAGGCAATGATGCAATGAAATAATAAATAAATAAATAAAAATCAATCAATGTTGACAGTGAGCTGTTGATGACATGGGAACTGACATAACTCCTACAGATAAATGTACATACTATTGTACTAGCCTACATGAATAGGTGATGTGTGTATATATATATGCAGTGGTCTTTTCTGTGAACTCCACTACATTAAAAATTATCCACTTTATTGCAAATAGTGTGGTGCTTTCACAAGAGCAAATAGAATAAAACAGATAACAAGATACACGGTAAAAGCAGGAGGAAACTTAAATCGGGAAAGGCTCTCCTATAAAAGTATGTTAAGTAAGAAGGGACTTAAAAGAGTTCACTGACTCAGCCGTCATGGTTTCCTCGGGCAGGCTGTTCCAGAGTCTCGGGGCCCTGACTGCAAAATTTAAACGTGATTTTATTGAATTGACATTACACGAAGAGAGATATATGCCACTTTATCTGCACTGGGAGCGCTGTAAACTAGCGGCTTACGAGCAGGCCCTGAAAGCAGCACCGGTCCCGTTCCTGCGGAGACTCCGGACCCGTTCTTGCGCCGACCCGGACTCCATGTTGTTCAGACAGCCACGGAGCTAACAAGTGTCCTAGCCGAAAACTCTCACGTTGCAACTCTGTGTGTGCGAGAAGTAAAGTGTGTGTGTGTGCGCCTGCGAGTGTGTTGACCCTCCGAAAGAAGATGGCAGACTACCGGGACGACACCGGAGCTCGAGCCCTGCTTGCTTTACAGTCGGCACCGTGCAGTCCCGTGCGCGTCGCGGTGACCTCGCACGCCTATCACCAGCCCTCGCTCGCCCTCTTGGGTCCTCCGGTGATGGAAGCCCGCGCCGACGCCGGGATTCTTCCCGTACGCCTCGCTTGTCCTCCTCCGCAGGCCCTGGCCAGACTCGAAGGCCGGGACTTTGAGTTTGTCATGCGCCAGAGGACGGTCACCATAGGCCGGAACTCGTCTCACGGCTCCGTGGACATCAACATGGGTCACTCGAGCTTCATTTCACGGCGGCACCTGCAGATCACCTACGACGAGGCGAACGGTTTCTCCCTCCGGTGCTTGGGCAAGAACGGCGTGTTCGTTGACGGGGTGTTCCAGCGGAGGGGGGCGCCGCCACTTCAGCTGCCCCGAGAGTGAGTACCGTCAGTTAGCATAGCAGCTACCGACAAGGTAATGATGACTGACTGGCTGTTGCAGGACGACTAAAACTTCAGCGTTAATTTAAAACATTGATGGCCGACCAGCCAGTGTCATGATATATGTTGTATCCCTTTTAAAGTCTGCTCCTCTACCCCGCTTATTGAATCAAACTGTAAAAATAACACTTACAAACTTACATGTGGGATAACTCGTGCTAGTTTTGGTGAATATACTAGCTTGATTAACATTTTCATGGGGAGCGAATTAATCACAGACCTCCATATTCAAACCGGAGACACAAGGTGACTGGGATACAAGGTTTGTCATGACACCGTAATCAGAGCGGTTTGATTTGGTCTGTGTTAAGTGTCCTGTAAACTTGGTTTAGAAAGTGAAGCCGTGACACAAGAAACCAACAAGTCTCTCCACTTTAGCTGTGCAATTATAATTGTTATTAATTTGTCTTAACTTCACCCCACTTTGAGTCGGAGAATAAACCTAGCTAGTTTTAGCCGTTAGCAAACCTAGCTTCATTTGGCCTACAGCGCAAACTAGTTAGCAAATGTTTAAAATAAAGTGCAATTTGCTTATATTTCGCACACAGACATATTGTGGTAGATCTGGCTTTCTAAAATATGCGAAAGTTAAACTCCCCCCCTCCCCCCACGAAAGTCTTTTGTCCGTTAGTAAAAGTCATGTCTCAACAGTTTTTTTTAGTGCGATTATGTTAGCGGGGTTGGCTTGTTGTGAGGGTGTTAGCAAACGTGTCGCCGTCACGTAAACATTAATGTAAACAAACGCACCCCTGACAGCTCCGTTCACATGTTTTGTGGCAAGAGGTGTGTTTTGTTTCTATTGTATTTTTGTGTAAAGGACGTTTAAATATGGTTTTAGCTTTACTGCACCATTGCCAAGGTTACACATTTTGCCTTTGCTGGTTCGTTTAATACAGTAGCAATCTCTGAAAATTGAAAGCGTTGACTGTGTGTGTGTCAGTCAGTCACAGGGTGGAGCGGTAGGAGGAGGTGCTGGGTTGGGGGTGGGGGGGTGTTGTGCCCTTATCCTCTCTGATTGGCTGTCAAGATCGTTTGGGGGTGTGTCGGGCATTGAACAGGAAATGCAGGGTGAAATGACATCCTCCTTGCAGGAGCACATGGAGTAAACACAGGACTTACAAACCAAGGCCATATGCAACACAGGCATGTTCGCATGTGTTGTTTCAGCCCTGGGGCCTGTCTCAGGATTACACAGTTGGCTGGAAAGCTGTGTGTAGTTAAGATGGGAACCTCTTCGAATGTGGAAGAGTGCATTTAATTAGTAATTTTAGTTATACTGGTACACTTACAGTACT